ACATTAAGAAATGCGGTTGCAAGCTTCCTGTATTATTTACTGACTAGCTGGATACCCATGCTTCGCTACGAAACTATGTGATGGGGCCTGATAAATGTACACTTAAATGGACACCTAATAAATCTTTCTGGGCCACTGATTTCCATTTTGAACGGAAGGGAGGTTAGGAAATCGTTGTTGTTCATGTGGACAGTGGCTTTAGAAGGTATTTGAAGTTGACCTGGAGCCAGGTTGAACTGACATGATCTCCGGGGTGTGTTTTAATTGCTTCTGGCTTAACACTTGGATATTCTTGTGGCTTGGAAGGCCGGCTGCTGATATTTATGGCCTTCAGAGCACAGGATGGGTTGCATAATCTCTTTGTCAAGGTCATCGGTTGATGTGAGCTGTGCCAAAATGTGTGTGGGGGGGGGGAGGGAAATCAGAGGAGAACACATCTCTGGTTCTTTCCCCCCCCCTCCATCTCTTTCTCCCGTGTGTGGTTTATTTATTTATTTATTTATTGGTTCGATTTATATGCCGCCCTTCTCCGGAGACTCAGGGCGGCTTACAATGCATTAAGCAATAGCCTTCATATTTTTGTATATACCTGCTTAGTAGGGCTTTCGGCCCCACCCTAAGCGGTGTTCTTTTTTATACAAAGTCAGCTTATTGCCCCCACAAACCAGGTCCTCATTTTACCTACCTCAAAAGGATGGAAGGCTGAGTCAACCTTGAGCCTGGTGAGATTTGAACTTGCAGTAATTGCAGGCAGCTGATGCTACTTAACAGCATTTTAGTCTACTGCGCCACCAAGGCTCTGGTTAAAACTAGTAGTTAGCTCATTGTTTCCTCTTGACGCTCACATACCTGTAAGGCAGTGGTTCCCAAAGATGGGGCCCACGCCCCACAGGGGGGCAATTTGATTTTTAATGGGGGGCAACTTGAATTTTGTTTAAACTAAGTTAATGGCCTTTTAGGTTTCCTTCGCGTGAGTAGAGTTCACTTTTTGAGTAAAGTAAGAATTATATGTCACGGGGGGGCGGACACATCACGATTTTAGAGATTCTTAGGTGGGGCATGGCCAAAAAAAAAGGTCGGGAATCACTGCTGTAAGAATAGAATAAGAGAATTGGAAGGGACCTTGGAGGTCTTCTAGTCCAACCCCTTGCTGAGGCAGGAAACTCTACACCACTTCACACAAATGGCTATCCAACATTTTCTTAAAAATGTCCAGTGTTGGAACATTCACAACTTCTGCAGGCAACTTGTTCCACTTATTAATTCTTCTAACTGTCAGGAAATTTCTCCTTAGTTCTAAGTTGCTTCTCTCCTTGATGAGTTTCCACCCATTGCTTCTTGTCCTGCCCTCAAGTGCTTTGGAGAATAGCTTGACTCCCTCTTGTTTGTGGCAGCCCCTGAGATATTGGAAGACTGCTATCCTGTCTCCCCTAGTCCTTCTCTTCATCAAACTAGACGTACCCAGTTCCTGCAACTGTTCTTCATATGTTTTAGCCTCCAGTCCCCTAATCATCTTTGTCATGACCCAACGGTTCGATGCTGTGACTATTTCCTCGTTAGATGAAACTGAAGCATCCTTAATTGGATGCTGTAAAGCCAGGCAGTCTCTTTCGAGAACGGAGAGGCGGTGGATTACATAACCACAATGCTTCGTGAATTGCAGAATCAGTTAAATGAAATAAGCCCCTGTTGTGTTTGCTTGTGCTGAAATCCTGACTTTAATGGAAATTGACTCATGTGTTTTCATGGCAATGGTCGATTTGTTGTCTTAAGTAAGCCCTTCCAGTTTGGAAATCTTAAGAGCAAAAGACGTGTGAGACAGGGGTGGGTTCTAAAATTTTTTACTACCGGTTCTGTGGGCGTGGTTTATTTTGTGGGCGTGGCTTGATGGTCATGTGACAATTCTTTAGGATTTAGCGGAGGTACTGGTCTACCAGGCTTTTAACTGCTTGCAGAGCTGTACTGGTGTACCCATTTATTTTTGCAGGCACCGCTCTACTCATGTATTTTTGGAGGCACCGGTCTACCCATTTATTTTTGCAGGCACTGGTCTACTCATATATTTTTGCAGGCACTGGTCTACCCATTTATTTTTTTAGGCACCAGTCTACTCATGTATTTTTGCAGGCACTGGTCTACCCATTTATTTTTGCAGACACCAGTCTACTCATGTATTTTTGGAGGCACCGGTCTATTCATTTGTTTTTGGAGGCACTGGTCTACCACCAAACTGCCTTTTACGACTGATCAGCTGTAGGGCGGCCCTTTGAAGCCCCACGGCAAGAGTTTAAACAGTTTTTTTCCTTATAGCCCATCAGCTGGGACTCAGGAGGCAGCAATAGATTGGGGTGAGGCCAAATAAAAGGTAAGAATAATGCGGGGGTGGGGGGGCGGAGGGGGGCAGGGGGGACAGAACTGGTTTGGTGATGTCATATCGTCACCACTACCAGCTCGGCGGAACCGGGAGGAACCCACCACTGGTGTGAGAGCACCCCAGGAATTAGCACTGTTTTCGAAATAACATTCCAGGTGGTCCTTCACTTACGACGGTTTGACTGTTCAAAGGGACAAACGGCACTGAAAAATGCGACTGATGATGGTTTTTCACAGTTACGACTTTTTGCACCCCGCGATCATGTGATCAAAATTCAGACGCTTGGCCACTGGCTCATATTTATGACCTTTGCTGTATCCCGGGGTCCCCTTTTGCGACCTTCTGATGAGCAAAGTCAATGGGGAAGCCAGATTCGCTTAACAACCGGGTTATTAATTTATCAGCTGCAGTGATTCACTTGCCAGCTGTGGCAAGAAAGGCTGTAAAACGGGGCAAAACTCACTTAACAAATGTCTCATTGAACAACATAAATGTTTTGCTCAATTGTGGTCCTAAGCTGAGGACATTGCTGGTGCTGAAATCCTGACTATAATCGAAGTTTGCTCGTGGTATTTGTTGATTCATTGTTTTTATTTGTTTGTTTGTTTGTTTGTTTATTCATTAGTTAGTGTACAGCATTCATGGGCTAGCAATATATATTTACATTTAACCTAGATTAGTAGACCCCAATAAAATATAAATGTTAAAAAGATCTAGAATAGAATAAAGCGGAATATAGAATATAGAATATAGAATATAGAATATAGAATAGAATAGAATAGAATAGAATAGAATAGAATAGAATAGAATAGAATAGAACTGGAAGGGACCTTGGAGGTCTTCTAGTCCAGCCCCTTGCTCAAGCAGGAGAACCTATGCCCTTTCAGATAAGTAACTGTCTTCTTAAAAACCTCCAGTGATGGAGCATCCACAACTTCTGGAGGCAACTTCTGTTCCACTGGTTGATTGTCTTCACTGTTAGGAAGTTTCTCCTTAATTCCAGGTTGCTTCTCTCCTTTATCAGTTTCCAACTGTTGCTTCTTGTCCTGCCCTCTGGTGCTTTGGAGAATAATTTGACCCCCTTTTCTTTGTGGCAGCCCGTCAAGTATTGATATATGCTTTCCTGTTGCCCCTAATTCTTCTTTCCTTTAGACTAGTCAAACCCAAATCCTGCAACCGTTCTTCATAGGTTTTAGTCTCCAGGCCTTTGATCATCTCAGTTGCTCTTCTCTGAACTTTTTCCAAAGTCTCAACATCTTTTTTTGTAGTATGGCGACCAAAATTGCTTGCAGTATTCCAGGTGTGGAATTTATCTTGAAATATAAATGTCTAGGCTATCTTACCATCGAAGTGCAGCATTGTTTATATTTTTAAAAAAAATCAAACACTAGGCCGGTATATGCTCTCAGCTGACAGTTTGACGGGGGAACCACACAGTCCCATTGAGGGGAGGTTACTACACCCTGATTTAGGAGATCTAGATCCCATTAGGAGATCTAAAAGAACAGGAATTGTGAGAGCACGTTAGTAATTAGTACTGTTTTGGAAATAGAGTTACTACATCCAAGTCAGATGCTGAAAAGTAGTCTTCAAAAGCCATTTATTTCAGATTAAAAGTAAAGGTAAAGGTCCCCCTTGCACATACGTGCTAGTCGTTCCCGACTCTAGGGGCCAGTGCTCATCTCCGTTTCAAAGCCGAAGAGTCAGTGCTGTCCGAAGACATCTCCGTGGTCATGTGGCTGGCAGGACTCAATGCCAAAGGCTCACAGAACGCTGTTACCTTCCCACCAAAGGTGGTCCCTATTTTCCTACTTGCATTTTTTACGTGTTTTTGAACTGCTAGGTTGGCAGAAGCTTGGACAAGTAACAGGAGCTCATCCCATTACGTGGCACTAGGGATTCGAACCGCTGAACTGCCAACCTTTCGATCGATAAGTCTTAGCCACTGAACCACCCTTTATTACAGATATGCAGTCCATTTTCTGGGATCCAGGCGTATCTTTTTGGTTCTCCTCTGCTGAGAAATTAAACCAAGGTTTTAAACTTTTCCCCGGGGACTTGGATAATTGACCTTCATTCAGCAAAATTGTATTTTGCAATCCTGTTAACTTGATTTTTACTCTAGGGGTTGGAGTTTTTAAGCTTTTGGAGCTGGGTTGACGTCTTGCAGATTTTGAGGCCTGACCTGAAATGTCTTCACGAAAATAAGACCTCCCCGAATTAGTTACGATTTCTTCTGAGATGGATTTGAAATGACAGATAGTTTGCATTCTTAGTAGGCAATATTTTACAGGCCTAAAAATGTACATTTAAGCAGCTACAGCCTAAAACAATGGTCCTCCCTCCCTTCCTTCTCTCATTCCCATCCACTTCCTTCCTTCTCTCGTTCCCATTTCCTTCCTTCCTTCCCTCTCCTCCCTCCCCTTCCATCCTCCCTCCCTTCCCTCCTCCCTTCTCTTATTTCTCTTCCCTCTCCTCTTCCTCCTTCCCTCCCTCCCTCCCTTCCTTCTCTCATTCCCATCTCCTTCCTTCCTTCTCTCGTTCCCATTTCCTTCTTCTTTCCTCCCTCCCTCCCTCCCTCCCTCCCTCCCTTCCTTCCTTCCTTCCTTCCTTCCTTCCTTCCCAGGCTTATGAGAAACGTTTTCCAACCTGCCCAGAGATCCCAGTTTTTCTGGGGAGTGAGATCCTTCGCGAATCCAAGAGTGAAGACGGAGCCATTCAGATCATTGAAAGGAGTTGCAAATTGAACGTGGATGCACCTCGGCTACTCAAGAAAGTAAGGACTATAATACATTCCTTCTAACAGTCCTTATCCTTAAACTATCCCCAAACCCCACGCCCTTAGCTCTTCGTTTGCCCTTTTAGGCTGCTCTTCTGACTTTTTCTCCTGTTTCTTTCCAGATTGCTGGGGTAGAATATGTCTTTTTCATACAGAAAAACACCGTGAACTGGAGAGAGAGAACCCTGGTTATTGAAGCCCATAACGAGACCTTTTCCAACCGTGTCATTGTCCTGGAGACATGCAACTACTCGGTCAGTCATGTAACTGTGAGATTTCTCTGATCCTGTGCGAAGGACCAGGGGCTGGTTTGCATTTTGTCAGTTTTTTTAAAAAAAAATTTTTTTGATTTATATGCCGCCCTTCTCCGGAGACTCAGGGCGGCTTACAATGCGTTAAGCAATAGCCTTCATTCTTTTGTATATTTATACAAAGTCAGCTTATTGCCCCCACAAACTGGGTCCTCAATTTACTTACCTTAGAAAGGATGGAAGGCTGAGTCAACCTTGAGCCTTAGCGAGATTCGAACCTGCAGTAATTGCAGGCTGCTGTTCTTAATAACAGGGTGCTTTAGACCACTGTACTACCAAGGCTCTTTTTTATTTATCCATTTTTATAATGGATATCATTGCAATCCTCCATCATCCTCTTCCTCCTCCTCCCCTTCCTCCTCCTCTTTCTCCTCACTATCACTATCATTTGAAGGACATCAGCCAAACTTGAAATAGCAATCTTCAAAGGTCTCAAAGATGCCTTTTTCAAAAGGCAACTGGACTGCTTTATTTTTTTCTTGAGGAAGAATATTGTGATTTGTTCCTTACCAACTGATGAATTTTCTTGGATGAGAAATGCTTCTTCTTCTCCTTCTTCTCCTTCTTCTCCTTCTCCTTCTTCTTCTTCTTCTGCTGCTTCTCTTCCTCCTCCTCCTCCTCCTCCTTCCTCTCCTCCTCCTCCTCCTCCAGAAAAAAACAATCCAGTTGCCTTTTGAAAAAAATAACATCTTTTGAGATAACTCAAAAAACTCATCTTTTGAGATGACTGAGAATCTCCATAAATAATCTTCAAAGGAAAATGGGTTTTGCTGATATCTATAGTTTTGGGTGGCTTGTTAGATTTACCAGTACAGAGATGGTCATGTCGTACCATCTATTTCCTCTTATAATTCCATCTTTCTCTTCCAATTGAAGCCATAGAAAAGAGAAATAATAGAATAGATTTTTTTTTATTGGCCAAGTGTGATCGGACACCCAAGGAATTTGTCTGGTGCATATGCTCTCAGTGTACCTAAAAGAAAAGATATGTTCATCAAGAATCATAAGGTACAACACTTAATGATAGTTAAAACTCCATATTTTGTTTTATTTTATTTTTTTCTTATTTGCTCCAAACCCACCACCACCATTTAGCTAAGAATGCTTGTAAGCTTCCCTTTGGGTCAGCAGGTGACTGACTGCCTTTGTCTGCCCCTGACATTTAAGAAGCCATCGAGACAATAAAATACCCTTTTTATGCTCGGCCGACAAAATTGAGTTACTGGCATGCTTTATTGCTCCCTACTGAAAAATACAGCTTCATGAAAGCTAAGATGCTTGGAAATAAGTGCTATTTCGCATGACCCCAGCTACTGAAACCCCTGTCGTGGCCCTCCAGCAGCCAGCAAACCTGGCAGCAGATTTGGACAGTGAGGAGGTTAGGGAGGAACATGGGCCAGTCCTGGAGTCTGGGGAAGGCTCTGATGAGGGCTCTGCATCAGAGGCAGAGAGGGAGCCAGGGCTGCATGACAGTTGTCAGCTGCCTTCGTAGGCAGGCATCAGTGAGGCAGACAAACAGCTGGAGCCTGTTCCCAGTGTGTGCATGTGCAGAGTTGCCAGATGAAGGGAACAGCTGAAGAACAAGGGGCGACTTGGGAATAAGGCCACAGGTGGATGATGAATGGCCCCTCCCAGAGGGAATAAAAGAGGAGCGAAAGGGGAGTGGAGTTTGCAGGAGACAATTAGTTCACCTAATTGGTTTGTGACTCTCCAAGACTCCTTGCCAGGTTTTGAAGATATCAGCCTGGCAGCTCTCCAAGCCAGATAAGGTCTGTGACTGTAAATTCTCCTTTGAAAGACTTTGCTGGGTGTGAATGAGAGGAATTCACAGTCACTTAATAAAAAGGGGTTTTTGTTGGGAGAAGGAGTCTGCTTCGTGGTCTTGGGAACGCCTAGGTCAGAACATCTCCCATCCTTGCAAGGTCAGTTCTTGAAACCAGGAACCGTATGCTTGCATGTGGCTGCTTCAGAGGGATAGAATCAAGATCACGTGAAGTGTTAATACCACTTTATAATGCCTTGGTAAGGCCACACTTGGAAGGCTGCATCCAGTTTTGGTTGCCATGATGTAAAAAAGATGTTGAGATTTTAGAGTGCAGAGAAGAGCAACAAAGATGATTAGGGGACTGAAGGCTAAAACATATGCAGGAACTGGGTATGTCTAGTTTAATGAAAAAAAGGACTAGGGGAGACATGATAGCAATCTTCCAATATCTCAGGGGCTGCCCCAAAGAAGAGGGAGTCAAGCTATAGGCTAAAACCTATAAAAAATGGGATTGCTGGAATTGGGTATGTCTAATATAATGAATAAAGGGATGCGGTGGCTCAGCTCAGTGGCTAAGACACTGAGCTTGTCGATCGAAAGGTCGGCAGTTCGGCGGTTCGAATCCCTAGTGCCGCGTAACGGGGTGAGCTCCCGTTACTTGTCCCAGCTTCTGCCAACCTAGCAGTTCGAAAGCATGTAAAAAAAATGCAAGTAGAAAAATAGGGACCATCTTTGGTGGGAAGGGAACACTGTTCCGTGTGCCTTTGGCCTTGAGTCATGCCGGCCACATGACCACGGAGATGTCTTTGGACAGCGCTGGCTCTTCGGCTTTGAAACAGAGATGAGCACCGCCCCCTAGTGTTGGGAACGACAAGCATGTATGTGCAAGGGGAACCTTTACCTTTACCTAATTTAATGAAAAGTCTCTGAAAGGAAGGGAAAATAAAAGATATAAAAATTACCTTTGAGAACTAGCTTCAATGTTCCTTTTCAAAGCTGTTTTTTAGGTATTGCAAGCCGGGTTGGTTTCTAACGGTGCTATTTCTCTGCGGTAGGTGCATCCAGAGAATGAAGATTGGACGTGTTTCGAACAGTCTGCATCCCTTGACATCAAGTCATTCTTCGGGTTTGAAAACACGGTGGAGAAAATCGCCATGAAGCAGTACACAGCCAACATCAAGCGGGTGAATATCGACCTTCTGGGCATTGCAATGTGGGTAATGCGGTGGCTCAGAGGTTACAGGCGCTGGGCTTGTCGGCTGGAAACCCGGCAGCTTGGGTTTGAGACTCGAGCGCCACATGACGGGGTGAGCGCCCGTCCTTGCCTCATCTCCTGCCAATCTAGCAGTTCGGAAGGATGAAAATGCGAGTAGATAAATAGGTACCATTTCAGTGGGGAGGAAACAGCATTCCGTGATGGCATGCTGGTCACATGACCAAGCTTTGGACAATATTGGCTCAATGGTTTGAAATGGAGATGAGCAGTGCCCCCTACAAATCTTGGAAGAGCAAAGACTAAATGATGGATATCCTGGGTACAAGTAGCCCTCGACTTACGACAGTTTGTTTAGTGACAGTTCGAAGTTACAACAGCACTCAAAAAAGTGACATATCTTTTAATACTGACAACTGCTATGGCATCCCAATGCTCTTTGACCCAGGTGAGAGTCTTTAAAGAGTGGATGCAGCAGGAGTGAAATGCTCCTGGTTCGGACCGGATCGCCTGATCCGGTAGCGATGGAGGCGGGTGGTTCGGAGAACCGGTAGCAAAAATCCCTGCCCCCCCCCATTGGCCAGCTGAACCGCACAATCATCAGAGGCTTTTTTTTTAAAAAAAAGCTTTTTTTCTACAACCTTTTCGGCCGAAAAAATGCTTTTAAAAGTTAAAAAAAACCTCTGATGATCGCACAGCTCAGCTGGGATCGTCAGAGGCTTTAAAAGCATTTTTTTAACAACCTCTTCAGCCAAAGAGGTTGTAGGAAACATGGTTTTAAAAGTAAAAAAAAAAAAAAATTGGTCACGCCCATTCAGTCATATTACCCCCACCACCACCAAGCCACGCCCACAGAACCGGTCGTAACAAATTTTACATTTCACCACTGCCTTGGAGGTCTTCTAGTCCAACCCACTGCTTAGGCAGGAAACCCTACACCACTTCAGACAAATGGTTATCCAACATCTTCTTAAAAACCTCCAGTGTTGGAGCATTCACAACTTCTGGAGGCAAGTCGTTCCAATGGTTAATTGTTCTCACTGTCGGGAAATTTCTCCTTAGTTCTAAGTTGCTTCTCTCCTTGATGAGTTTCCACCCGTTGCTTCTTGTCCTGCTCTCAGGTGCTTTGGAGAACAGCTTGACTCCCTCTTCTTTGTGGCAGCCCCTCAAATATTGGAAGACTGCTATCATGTCTCCCCTAGTCCTTCTTTTCATCAGATTAGACATACCACTAGAAACATAACTTTTCATTAAACTAGATCATGCAAGCTGATTCTAAACATCACAAATCAATTCCTTTCAGGGCAAAGAAGTGATCGAGCATTATCTAAAGGAGCTGATATCTCAAGGGATCACTTTTATCCCTCGGTGGACTCCCCCGGAAGTCAAGGGGAGCCTCAGGAAGAGGAGTCCATCCAGAAGCAATAACGGTACAATATCGCAGGAAACCCACCCGCACGGAAGCGAGAAAGAACAGCGAGGCAACAACGCCTGCCCTGCGGGGGAGGCTTCGACTCCTGAAGGTAATGGCTTATAACAGCTGGATCCATGGCAGCTGTTTCCATTAACCTCACCGTTCCTTCTGCCCTATCTCGAACCGCTTTGGATTTTTGAACCCGGTCCTGCTTCTAATCTCCTCTCCATTTCTTTTCTAACGCGCCGCTCTACCTGTTAAAATTTTGCAATCTGGTCTTTCCAAGAAACTTAATGCTCAGGATAACACGGATGAACTTAAGTTTTGATTCTTGGATTTCTGCTGCTCCATCTCATCGTTCCTGTTTTTTCAGTTGCGGTAAACTTGCACTGGGAACGGCGGCTGATCCTATTGTCCACTTCCACGGACCCGGCTTTGAAAAAACCTCTTTCTTTCATTCTCGTCTGTATGCGTGTGTGTGTCCCTCTTTGTTTCAAGAGGCTTCTGGCACCACTGCTGCCTCTGGATTTTTCTCTTCCTGGCACAGCGGCCGATGAGCTGGTTGGATCCGGATGTCCACTCCAAAGTGTGGCTACTCTTTGGAGCATTTTCCTTCTGTTTCCCTGGTCTGGTGCGGTTGTGCTCTTCTGCTTCGGGGAGGAAAAAGCCCACCTTGCAAAAGCATTGCGTTCTTTCCAGCCAGTTTTTTTTTCCCCCTCTCCATCAGCCTTGATCACTTTGCATTTCTCTTCCCAGGCTTGGAAAAAGCTCAGCCAAAAAGGGAGAAATTGATCTGAAACCTGGCTTGATCTGAAACAAGCTAAATCCAGTTGATTTGGAGAATTTAGAATTATTCTTTTTTTTTTTTTAAAAAAAAAAAAAGGAAGTAGGCGCTCTCTTAAACCGTTTCTGGCGTTGCACAGATCCAACGCTTCGGCAGCTCACACCACGAATGTCCTTGTGATTTCTGATATGTTGTTGACTCCAACTACCATGGCTTCAGCACAGTGGACATGTCAAATGCCTCCGGCCTGGGAGGGGGAGCCGGATCCCAAATAATCATGTCATGATAGTTACCATTCCATCTCCATTGCAGGATTGTCCAAAGGAAAGGGGGTCGAGGTAAGAAGAATCAGGAACGGAATAAAACGTACACTGAAATGATGAGTCCGGTTGAAATTTCAATATTTTTTCCCCCTGTATTATTATTATTATTATTATTAGTGAAATACAGGTAGTCCTCGACTTACGACCACAATTGAGCGCACAATTTCTGCTGCTAAGCGACACAGTTGTTAAGTGACTTTTGCTCCATTCTGCGACCTTTCCAGCCAGGAAACACTGTGGTTGTTCAGTTACTAACACGGTTGTTAAGTGAATCACTGCAGCTGCTTGTTAAGTGACCCTGGCTTCCCCTTTGACTCTGCTTGTTGGAAGGTCGTAAAAGGGGGAATCACATTACCCTGTGACACTGTAACCATCATAAATACACGCTAGTTGCGAGCCAAATTTTAACTACGTGACTGTGGGGAGGCTACAACGGTCGTAAGGGTGAAAAACAGTGATTTTTTTTCCCCCAGTGCCATTGTAACTTCGAACAGCCACTAAAAGAATGATCGTAAGTCGAGGACTACCTATATAGACTTGAGGTCTGCTTCAGCCTCCTGGTGGGGGATTTTGGTGAAGGCTGGAGGGAAGAGCCGCTGGTGGCGAAGAGCCGGAGGGCCTCGTTCCAGTGGGACTGCATCATGGCCTGGAACTGGCTGACCATCTCAGCCCGCTGAGCCTCCAGGTGTCGGTACCTGGCCTTGCATTCCTGCAGGTCTTCCCTCTGCTTGGAAAGCTTATGCTCCTAGTCCTCAGCGAGGTGCTTCTGCTGAGCCTCCTTCTCGGTCAGATCCAATTTGAACTGAGCTGTTGTGCCAACTCTTTCTCATGGTGGCTGCTTAGCTCCTACAACTGCTTCCTGTTGGGGCCCTAAGGAGCCCGGGTGGGAAGGCGAGGAGTGGCTGGGAGGGGAGGGGTGATAGAGGCCGGTGAGGCACCCCTCGATGTGAGTGACATCGAGTTGACCACGCCTACCGAGTCACATGACCACCTAGCCACGCCCACCCAGCCGGTCATTAGGCAGATCATATTAGTGGTCCACAGGATTTAAAATTATGACTTTAGTGGTCCCTGAGGTCCGAAAGGTTGGTGACCCCTGATATAGACGGTATAGAAATGTATTGCTGCACATTCTAATTTTTTGGTACTATGAAAACCTTTCAGAAATTGATCATCCTTGCATTCATTTCTCATCATCAGGAGTTCCCGTATATTTCCATCTATCTCAAATCATTCTGTGCCGGATTTGATAAGACCAATGTTATTTTATAAAACGTCAAATTCTGTATTTTGGGAAGATGAGTCAACATCACAATGACATTTTTAACTGCTGTTTCCCCCAGAACTGTATTAACTGCTGTTCTAACTGGAAATCAGGAGTGAACGTAGCTGGAAAAGTCCAAGGAATATGCGTCAAAGAGCCCTCAATTGTCTTACAAGGCCAGCAGAAAAAGGAGCCAAGTTTTTAAAACATTCTATGAAAGCCTCTCAGGTTGAGGAAGAACTATATTTTTGGAAATAACAAACTTCAAACGTCTTCCTCAGGAGCAAACCTTGTAGTTTTTGAACAAGATGGCAGGTAGTCCTCGTTTAGTGACCACAGTTGGGATTGGCAGTTCTGTCACTAAACAAAGTGATGGCTAAGAAGGAAAATAGGTGACTGCAAGTGACTTTTCCCTTTTCCCATTCCTGCCCCCCTTTGAATTGCTCCCGCAGCACTGGGATAATTAACAAGAAAGGAATTAATGTTCATACTTAACACTCATTGGAGAGAAAGGATAACAAGAGAGTAAGCAGGCACACAATGGGAAATGCATATCAAAAGCAATGCATTGGTGACAGCAGCCTGAAAATGCCACACAAGCAGCCAGTGTGCTCTCCACTTGGTATTTCTCAGACAAGTTAGGCACAGGAGAGATTGCCTACAGAGTTTGTTTCATTTTTTCCCCTCCCTGCCTCTTGCAAAGCGAAGAGATTGGAGAGAAAGGGATTTCAAAAGAGTAAGCAGGCACACATCAGGCTGTGCTCATGGCTGTATGCCTGTACTACAATATTGTTTTCCATTGTATGTGCCTGCTTACTCTCTTGTAATCCTTTCTCAAATCTCTCAGAATCTGCAGGAATGGAAGAAGGAAAAACAACAGATCAGGCCCCGAGCAAGCATACTTGACTGCAGTGGGGGGGTCATGGGATGAGAGATACTGCAAAGGTCATACATGTAGGCATAGGTTGTAAAGTTATTTTTTTTTCCAGCACTGTTGCAACATTCAGATGGTCACTGAACGAGGCAACAGGGTAAGCAAGGGCTACTTGTAAACATTCTTACAGGCTGTCTGCAAGCAAATGGCAAGAAACGCATTCATAGCTTTACTCTCCCATGATTGCCTTGTTTTTTTTCCCCCTGAGCTTCTCCCATGGCTGACTTTTCTCTCTCCCTAGGGGACAAACTCGATGCTGATTACATAGAACGTTACCTGGGACAATTAAATCCCATGCAGGAAAGCTGCTTGATCAGACTTCGTCAGTGGCTCCAGGAAATGCAGAAAGGAAAGGTAAATGGGGGGAAGGGAAGCCGTGGTTAGGTATATAACTCATCTCTTCTGGAACAGTAACAGAGTTGGAAGGGACCTTGGAGGTCATCTAGTCCAGCGGTCACCAACTGGTGGTCCGCAGAAAACTTATTTGCATTTTCTATATTGCACTAAATCAGGGGTCCTCAAATTATGGCCCCTGAGCCAGATACGTGCAATGAACGGTTGTGTTGCTGCAGAAAGTCTCTCCCTTTGGGGTCTTTTTGTGGTGGTCGGAGGGGGACAGAAATTCCAACTTGGTGTCTGCTTCAGCCTCCTGATGCAGGGCTTTGGCCGAAGGCTGGAGGGAAGCGTCGTGGTGGCGAAGAGCCAGAAGGCGTTGTTCCAGTGGGACTGCATCATGGTCTGGAACTGGCTGACCATCTCAGCCCGCTGAGCCTCCAGACATGGCGTTGCACTCCCGCAGGTCTTCCCTCTGCTTGGAAAGCCTATGCTCCTAGTCCTCATGAGGTGCTTCTGCTGAGCCTCCTTCTCAGTCATATCCAATTTGAACTGAGCCAGCTGTTGTGCCAACTCTTTCTCATGGTGGCTGCTTAGCTCCAATAACTGCTTCCTATTGGGGCCCTAAGGAGCCCGGGTGGGGAGGGGAGGAGTGGCTGGGAGGGGAGGGGCGAGTAGAGGCCAGTGAGGCGCCCCTCGATGTGAGTGACATCGAGTTGGCCACGCCCATCAAGTCACATGACCACCTAGCCACGCCCACCCAGCCGGTCCTTAGCCAGATCGTATTAGTGGTCCGTGGGATTTAAAATTATGAATTTAGTGGTCCCTGAGGTCCGAAAGGTTGGTGATCTAATCCAACCTCCTGCTGACGCAGGAAACCTGTACTAGGGATTCGAACCGCCGAACTGCCGACCTTTCTGATCGACAAGCTCGGTGTCTTAGCCACTGAGCCACCTAGTCAGTATCTTCCTTGAATGCTCCTGTCCCATTGTTGAACTTGTGAAGGAACCGGGAGCAGCTTGCCTTAACGGTTGACAAGACTGCATTCTGAATCGGTTTCCTTCTGTCTGAAGGACATCTTTGAACGGTTTTCCTTGCTGTGTGACTTCAAGATGTCCCAAAGGTGCTTTTTTTCCAGGAGGCAACTGGACTTCCTTGTTTTTTTTTTCTTTGGTAGACGTTTCGCTTCTCATCCAAGAAGCTTCTTCAGCTCTGACAGGACACTGGGGAATGGAAGGATTGATATTCCTTGCAGACAGCTGGTCATTTGCATCCTTTTAGAGGGTCGTTAAAGCACTTGGAGGTTTATCTGTGTCTTCAGAGTCACCTGAGTGGTTTTCCTGGTTCCTGTAGTCTGCAATTTTTTCCCCTCTGGAAATTCATTCCTCCTCCCACACCATTCCAAGGGCGTTCATCCCAAATTGTATAGCTCAAAGTCTGTAGAGGTTCTCAGTCATCCAGGTCATGATTGTCCCAAAGGTGCTTTTTCAGGAGACAACCGGACTTTCTTGTTTTTTCTTTGGAAGATGTTTCACTTCTCATCCAAGAAGCTTCTTCAGCTCTGACAGGACACTGGGGAATGGAAGGATTTATGTTCCTTGCAGACAGCTGATGTTTGAAGAAACATCTTCAAAAGAAAAAAAAAACAAGGAACCAGGAACACTACTTAGGTGAAAAAGTGCATCTTATACTCTGAAAAATACGGTAATTCTCTCTTTTGCTCAGGTTCCCAAAGATGAATACATCCTCCGTTTCCTGAGGGCTCGGGACTTCAATATTGACAAGGCTCGGGAAATGCTCTGCCAGTCCTTGGCATGGCGAAAGCAATACCAGGTGGATTACATTCTGCAAACGTGGAGGCCACCTTCCCTTTTGGAGGAATTCTACGCTGGGGGTTGGCATTACCAGGACAAAGGTAAGCATCTACCTGTTGCCCTCTGCTCAGTGTCAGGGAATGAAGTTCATCAGTCTGTGAGTCATTCATCATTCAGTTACCTTAGGATGACTCTGGGGTGGGCTTCTTGGGTGCAATGTTGAATTTGCCATTGCTGTTCAGCATTTAAAACTTGTCAGGTGGGACAGATCTGGTCCACATAAAATGGTGGATTAAACTGATTTTGGGGATGTGGTGGCAGAGTGGCTAAGACACTGAGTTTGTCAATCAGAAGGTTGGCAGTTCAGCGGTTCGAATCCCTAGTGCTGCGTAACGGGGTGAGCTCCCGTTCCTTGTCCCAGCTTCTGCCAACCTAGTAGTTTGAAAGCACGTAAAAAATGCAAGTAGAAAAACAGGGACTCCCTTTGGTGGGGAGGCAACAGTGTTCCGTGCACCTTTGGGGTTTAGTCTTGCCGGCCACATGACCACAGAGATGTCTTCGGACAGCACTAGCTCTTCGGCTTTGAAACGGAGATGAGCATTGCCCCCTAGAGTCGGGAACGACTAGCACGTATGTGCGAGGGGAACCTTTACCTTTACCTTTAAACTGATTTATTGCTAAACAGCCTATGAGCAGAAATCTTCTCAACAAACAGCACCTGCTTGGAGTTAGATAAGGGACGATGGAATTCAAGGAAAGTTGGTCTTGGTTCATTTGTGGCTACGTAGGGATTCTAGGCTGATCCCCTTTTTAACTCCGCCCCTCTAGCTTCGGCCATTCCTGCTCCTGCAAATTTCAGTTTTGAACGCTTTTGCCGAAATACATGTAAAAGTAATTCCAAAGAGAGTCAGGAAATAAAATAATAATAATCTTCTATGATGGCAAAGGCTCAGTGTCTACAAGGCTGTGATACCTTGGTCAATATGAATTGCAATGTAGTAATTGCACAATGCATAACCTGGCCTTTTGTACTTTGGTGTCTGGTCCCAAAAGACAAACTCTGTGGGAAAGCTAAAACTACTTTTATTGAGAGGGGCTACAATAATAGAATTTTGTAAATCAAACTGTGCTGTATGTCTTCCATTTCTTACATTATAGTGAATTAGGGAAGTGTCTATTTGAGCCTCTTCTGCATATTTTCTATCTGTTGTGAACTTAAAGTATGTTTCATCCCTCTATCGAGATAAACTTCCTTGCTCTTTATACAGTATTACATCACAACGTTCTGTGCAAATATCTAAGTCACGTGGTTTGTCATTTGTGGTTCTCCTATGGCCCCCCTCTCCCCAAACCTATGGCTCTGAATAGTGATATTTTGGATAGTGAATATTCATTTTCACGTTCTCATCTGGTCCATTTCCAAAACTGCATTATTAGTAGCTATTTTTGTTCATCGTAGTGGTGGTTCTCAATCCTTTTTGAATCTACCGTGCAATATGGAATGTAGCCATTGTTCTGCAGCAGAACAGAAAATTATTAAGCATGTATAACATGTATAAAGCATATATAAAGTCATGCTTTGACTTACGTCAAAGTGTTATGACCCATCAGCGACCTGTGCAGCTAGTAGCTGATTCAGACAGCGAGGAGGCTGGTGTGGTGCTGCACCAGCAGCCTGTGCAGCTGGCACTCGAGTCAGACAATGAGGAGGCTGGAGAAGATGTGGTGCCAGAGGCGGGGATTCAGCAGGGCCTTCAGAACCTCCAGAAGCTTCCATGGGTGAAGAAGAAGAGGAGGAGCCTCTTCTTGATGCACGGGTGCGCAGAGCTGCCAAAAGGCAGGAGAGGCTCCTCAGGAGGAGGTCTCCTCGAGAGTAAGGCTTTGAGCTAATTGGCCACTCCCTTAGCCTATTTAAGGAAGGACGATGACTGAGGCAATTTGCAGGAAACAATTTCATTCACTCTCCTTCGTGTCTTGATCTTAGTTCTTTTATCAGTTTCCTGCAAATTGCTTCTGGGCTTTCTGCCAATCCTAGTAAGATTACGATTATTTATTCTTTGGATTCTTGTAGGCTGTTAAGAAAGCTAATTAACAGCCTTTGTTTGAAAAAGACTAATTTAATTTAGTAAACTAAAGTTTGTACAGACTTTGTGCGGGCTGCGTTCTTTGGGGTCCGTAGCTGGAGCAGAACACAAAGTTGGTGGTAAGTCACTTTTTTTCCTCTTTCCTCCGTACGTCTAAGTTTTACTCTCGGTAATGATGTAAATCAAAGGTGTAAGTCAAGGTTGTGTGCTCAAGGCTGAGCTATTACGGGAAGAATCTTTCATTTCAACAGCAAGTTGTGTTGTTGTCACAAGCTGGCAGTCGGACGTTGGACAAATTGCTGCTAATTTTCATGTTTCTGGAAGCTTATTCTGTCTTTCAGGACAGGTTTTTTTTTCTAAAATTCAGCTTCTTTGTTCTTTCTTTCTTTCTTTTTTTTCAAGATGGAAGACCCCTCTACATCCTTCGCCTTGGGCAAATGGACACCAAGGGACTTGTGAAGGCTCTGGGAGAGGAATCACTTCTTCGCCATGTGAGAGACGCCTTTAAATTAAATGCTTAGCTTTGGCAAAGGCCCTTTCTCAAGGGGCTTCTGGCACGTCTTTGTCTTAAGTGAACGTGTGCCCACATTTGGAAGGCACCCGAACTCACAAACGTAGCAACTATGCAATGCAGGAATGCAATACCAGAGTCTCTGTACATGGTCTTCACAATGTCTACCAAATAGAACTTTTTCGAATGCTCTCCTTATCCCCTCCCCGCAGTTCAGTGGTGGGATTCAAATTTTTTTACTACTGGTTCTGTGGGCGTAGCTTGGTGGGCGTGGCATGGGAAGGATATTGTAAACTCTCCATTCCCTCCCCACTCCAGGGGAAGGTTACTGCAAAATCCCCATTTCCTCCCGATCAGCTGGGATTTGGGAGGCAGAGAATAGAGAATAGATGGGGGCGGGGCCAGTCAGAATTTTTACTACCGGTTCTCCAAACTACTCAAAATTTCCGCTACCGGTTCTCCAGAACTGGTCAGAACCTGCTGAAACCCACCTCTGCCGCAGTTCCTCTGCACAAACACCCATTGCATATGGTAGACTGACAGCAAGTGAAGCATGACGTAGCAGGATGGTAGTCTTACATTGTGGGAGGAAGTCCATATATCTTATAGTTGACAGGTGAATTCTGGGAATTGAAGCCCACATATCTCATAGTTGGTTGGGGAGTTGGATAGATTTTCTTAATATACTCTACAAAGTAAAATAGCATTCCTTGACTTCTTGCAGAGCTTTCTTTTACTTGGTCTACAGTGAAGGATTGGCCTCTATCTTGAAAGCATCTCCAAAACCTTCACTGCCCATTTTTAAGGCCAAGCAAATCGAGATGAGACTATTGCATCTCTCTCTCTCTGTCTCTCTCTCTCTTTCTCTCTCTCTCTCTCTTTCCCTCTCTCTCTCCCTCCCTCCCTCTCCTCTCCTCTCCCCTCCTCTCCCCTCTCCCCTCTCCAGTGTACAGATGTACCGATCAGAAACAATGTGATACTTTTTCTGGTTCATACTAGATATCATCACTCTGCACTTTTACTCTAGCAGTGACTTCCCAGTTTTCATATGGAGGGTTTCCCCCCTCTTTTTTTTCCTTTCCTTTCCTTTCCTTTCCTTTCCTTTCCTTTCCTTTCCTTTCCTTTCCTTTCCTTCCCTTCCCTTCCCTTCCCTTCCCTTCCCTTCCCTTCCCTTCCCTTCCTTTTCCTTTCTTCCTTTCCTTTCCTTCCCTTCCCTTCCCTTCCTTCTCCTTTCTTCCTTTCTTTTCCTTTCCTTTCCTTTCCCTTCCCTTTCCCTTCCCTTCCCTTTCTTCCTTTCCTTTCCTTTCCTTCCCCTTCCCCTTCCCCTTCCCCTTCCTTTCCTTCCTTTCCTTTCCTTTCCCTTCCCTTCCTTTCCTTCCTTTCCTTCCTTTCCTTTTCCTTTCTTCCTTTCTTTTCCTTTTCCTTTTTCTTTCTCCCTTCCCTTCCCTTCCCTTCCCTTTCTTTCACTGAATAACTTTCTCTTCTTCCACCAACTTCACAAGGCAAGAAATTAAAGGATTCTATTTTTTAAAAAAACGATGCATTTCTCTATCAGCTATAAGAACTGATCAGTACATCCAAGACCTGCAATTTAGGAATATTTTCATATGTCACAATGCAAACCTTTGTTTTTTGTTTTCCTTTTAGGTCTTGTCAATTAATGAGGAGGGACAAAGAAGATGTGAAGAAAACACCAACCTCTTAGGCCGCCCCATCTCGTTAGTATGCATCTCCTTATGCAAATACAGATCAACATGAAGGATAAGTCAGCTATTTGTTAGATTAAGGAGACTCCATCAGTGCCATAACCTCATTAAATAAATTAACTTTTTCACACTTTGGATAAAATGTAGAGAGATTGGAAGACTATTCTGAGTGGCATTTGTGAAAACTCCCAAAATTTTACATAAGGAAGTTGGCCAGATCCTGTGCCTTGAGGACTAGTGAGTTGAGGAATGCCAAGTTTACAGATGGCAACAAAACCTGTCTTGTGTTTTCTTTCCTTTCAGATCCTGGACCTGTTTAGTTGATCTTGAAGGGCTGAACATGCGTCATCTCTGGCGTCCTGGTGTAAAAACACTCCTTAGGATTATTGAAGTGGTTGAGGACAACTATCCGGAGACTTTAGGGAGGTTGTTGATTGTGCGAGCGCCAAGGGTGTTCCCTGTGCTTTGGACTTTGGTGAGCAACCCTTGAGGGGGTTCTTTCAAGAAGGTTTTAAAAAAACAGCACATTTAGGAAAATTGTTTTTAACTGATAAGGACGTGCTATTGGATAGCTCCTTGGCCCAAACTTGTTTCTAGAACACTTGCAATGTCAGGGCTCCAACGGATGCCCTAATTAAATCATGAGCCTCGAGCCAAACTTCAAAAGAAATCCGGTTATTTATTAGGAGCTTCATGTCAGCATGTTCCAGGTGAAGCCAACTCTTGACCTCATGTAATTTACAGCCCCGACTTGACCATGTTTCCTCCCTTCCCCCCAGAGTGTGTCATCAGTCACATTCTCCAATGGAACAATTTCGCGGGTTGTAGAGATCACTCCCCTCCGGCCTCTATGGGTAACCCTGGGAGACAGCCTTGAGAGAGATATGTCTGGAATGTGCTTTTGTTTTTTGCTGCTGTGCTGCTTTGCTGTTTTCCCATCCCACTTGCCTATGGCAACTTGAGAGCAGGCCAGTGATGCTTTGCAAGTTGACATACAACTTATTTTAACAATAGCACCTAGACTTATATACCACTTCATAGTGCTTTACTGCCATCTCTAAGCGGTTTACAGAGTCAGTATATTGCCCCCAATAATCCGGGTCCTCATTTTACCCATCTCAGAAGGATGGAAGGCTGAGTCAACCTCGAGCCGGTCAGGATTGAACTGCTGGCAGTTGCAGAGGTAGCCTGCAATACTGAATTCTAACCACTGGGCCACCACTGCTCTTTTATGCATAATTTATCCTTTGATGATGGCTCCTCTTTCCATTGTAAATTTAATTTGAAAGATTTGTGCAATGAGGGAGGCAAGAGTTCTTTATATGCCTTTTTTTTATTTTGTAAATGGGAAAAGTGTGAAACACTGCAAAAATATTTCTTTGGAATAAAAAAAAAACAGCTTCTGTACTTCAAATTTTAGGGTCCAAGTTAAAATAGGCAAGGGTGCGTTTATTTTGGTTTCTTGGGAAAGTATTATATTTAAAGGATTATGAACTTTGAATATTTGAGAGAACAAGTGATAAACAGCAACATTTTCTCCTATCAATTTTAGGTGAGCCCCTTTATCAATGAAAACACCAGGCAAAAATTCCTCATTTATAGCGGCAACAACTATCAGGGTCCTGGAGGACTTGTAGATTATCTGGAAAAAGACGTGATTCCAGACTTCCTTGGAGGAGAATGTGTGGTATGTTTGGATAATGTCTATACCATATAGCAATAGCAATTGCACCTAAACTTATATACCACTTCACAGTGCTTTACAGCCCTCTCTAAGCGGATGACAGAGTCAGCCTCTTGCTCCCAACAATCTGGGTCTTTATTTTACCCACCTCGGAAGGATGGAAGGCTGAGTCAACCTTGAGCCAGTTAGGAGCGAACTCCTGACTGTGGGCAGCCTTAGTCTGCAATGCTGCATTCTAACCACTGTTACCACCTCCATTATACACTACATAAACATGACTAACTAACTAACTAACTAACTAACTAACTAACTAAATAAATAAATAAATAAATAAATAAATAAATAAATAAATAAATAAAATTATGTATATATCCACATGAAAAATGAATCTTGCCAGTTGGCCATTGGAGTGGTTGGCCATTGCCTTCTTGAGATGCTCTTGCATTCCTGATAAACCTCCATTGATGGTCCTCATCTAGATCTGGTCTTCCTTCGGTCACTCTATCCAAAGAGAGTGGATAGAAGCGACAAAAGAAGAAGAAGCTTTTGTCGCTGTAGACCGAACATCAGGAAAATCAGAGGTCTTCTTCTTATTTGGAATGTTGACATTTACAAAAGTATTTTATCTGACTATCCATTGTCTTCCCTCCACAGTGTAATGTGCCTGAAGGTGGGCTTGTCCCCAAATCCCTCTATCAAACAGATGAAGAGTCCGAAACCGCAGATCATATTCGTCTCTGGACAGAAACCATCTATCACTCTGCAAATATTTTCAAAGGGGCTCCCCAGGAGGTAAGACTGAAGAGAACCTTCTGTTCAATGGAAGGTACAGTAGATATGTTCTCCTTTTCTAGGCCATGGGTCTCCAACCTTGGCAACTTAGAGCTCACTGTAACAACATTGCCAAAAAGGCATTAAGAGTTGTTAACCTAATCTTGCGAAGCTTCTTCTCTGGCAACATTTTACTGCAAACTAGGGCATACAAAACCTTTGCTAGACCAATTCTCGAATACAGTTCATCTGCCTGGAATCCGCACTGTGTATCAGACATTAATTCAATTGAGCGAGTCCAGAGGTATTTCCTGAGAAGAGTCCTCCACTCCTCTGCTCACAACAGAATCCCTTATGCCACCAGGCTTGAAATTTTGGGCTTAGACAACTTAGAACTACGCCAACTTCAGTCTAACCTAAGCCTAGTACACAAAATTATCTGCTACAATGTCCTACCTGTCAATGACTATTTCAGCTTCAACCGCAATAATACACGAGCACACAATAGATACAAACTCAAGGTAAACTGCTCCAAACTTGATTGCAGATCGCATTAGGGTTGTGTTTGACCTCAGAAGGGGGCTGGGGGAGGTGGTGGCCAGGGTGGCCGTGGCCAACTCAACGTCACTCATGGGGGGGGCACCTATAGTGGCCAAGTGCTAAGGCAGGACTTCTGTCACTGTCATTATAATCCTTCCTTTTCCTTCCTTCCTTCCTTCCTTCCTTCCTTCCTTCCTTCCTTCTTTCCTTCCTTCCTTCCTTCCTTCCTTCCTTTTCTTCTTTTTCTTCCCTCTTCATTCTTCTTTCTTCCCCTTTCATTCTTTTTCCTTCCTTTCCCTCTTCCCCTCTTCCCTTCTTTTTCTTTGTCTTTACTATTTCCCTTTCCCCTTTGCTGTCCCTTCTTGGATGCTCAAATGCAAAAGGGGAAACATTTCTCCTTTTGTTTTGTTTTTAGTTTGTTTTGCTAGCCCTCTGCTAGCAGAAATGGAGCTAAGGGGGGGGTGCGTGTGCGGCCCCCCACATCCTGTTTTTGACCGCGATAGCCTCCTTTTTTGGCCACAATGGCCTGCAGCCCTCTGCCAACCAAGTAGATTTAGCAGGACACACCCCCAATGTTGACCGGATCTAAGAAGGTTTACCATATTTTTGGAATATAAAATGCACCTTTTCCCCCCCAAAAAGAGGATGAAAATCTGGGTGCATCTTATACTCTGAATGTAGCCCCACCCAGCCTCTCAAACTGAGGTTTCAGAGGCTAAAAAAAGCCTCCGAAATGAAGCTTCAGAAAAAAAGCCTCTGAAACGAAGCTTCAGAAAAAAAGCCTCCGAAACAGAGCTTCAGAAAAAAAGCCTCTGATAGGAAGTTTCAGAGGCTTTTCTTTTGAAGCTCTGTTTCGGAGGCTTTCAGAGGCTAAAAAAAAAGCAAGGCACAGAGCTCACAACCAAGGAACCTGTTGCTAAAATTCACCTCTGGCAACAGCTGATTGGGGGTATTCCAGGAGGCCGATCCACCTGACAATCAGCTTTTTTCTTATTTTCCTCCCCAAAAACTAAGGTGCGTCTTATACCCCGGTGAGTCTTATCGTCCGAAAAATATGATAATTTTATCAGCAGCCTCCCTGAAGAAACTGGCTAGACATAAGATTTTTCCTGTCTTCTAATCTAGATCGTTGTAGAGATCCTGGAAGGTGAATCTGTGATCACTTGGGATTTTGACATCCTCAAAGGAGACGTGGTGTTTAGCCTCTTCCATTCCAAACGAGCCCCCGAGACTGTCCGGAAGGAATCTGCCATGCCAACCCCTTTGACATCTGGGGAAAACGTACAACTCATTGGCAAGAGTTGGATCCTGGGAGTGGATTACAGCCGCGTGGAGACTCCCTTGGTCTGCCGTGAAGGCGAGAGCATCCAGGTGAGATTGTGCCCCCTCCCCAAAGCAGTTCTGGGCCTAATCATAATGAGAAAGCAAAGCTGTTTGTGAACCGGCTCCCAAACACGACCAACCCTCTGTAGTTAAACAAATGTTCCCTTTATTAGGAGCGCCAGCAGCCCCAGCAAAAAGTCTCTCTCTCACCGCAGGCTAACAAGTCTGTCCGGCAGAGAGATAAATAGTTGTCTGCCACACATATTCCCCTCTGCCCCCTGCCTTTTATCCCCAGAGATAGGATGGGGCTTTGGCTCTTCCGACCCAAAGACTGGCCCATAGATTTCCACTGCTCTCCTCTCCTCTCCTCTGCCTTCTGCACATCTGTGCATCAGGCACTGGACCCAGCTGTTCCTCCTCTTCCTCATCAGCCACCTCCAGACCAGGGGGTTGTTGACTCTCCATCTGAGGACTGACGGACGGCCCAGGCTCCGCCTCTGTCTCTCTCTCTCTCTGACAGCTCCATTTCCTCTTCCTCCTCAGAGCTCTCAGGTTGCCTCGATGCTGGCTTTAACTCCCATGCCTCCTTCTCCTCTGATTCAGTTGCTGGAGAGGCAGTCAGCCAACAGGCCACAACAGAAGCCAATTCCATGGAATTTTAACATGGGCGAGAGATTCCTCAGACTCAGCGCCAGAGGGACGCATTTGATCAGTTAGTTGCACTGTTTAGAAAGCTTTCCATGGCACCCGGTTCATTGAGATGATCAGGTCTCTGTGATTTGTAATGTACCTGAGTGCGGAGAGTGTTTTGCCACTCCTAATTGTATATGCATGAGCTCATTAATTAAGAAACGGATTGCAGGGCAAGTTGAAAGAGTAAAAGATCATGCAGTAGTAAGCAATTATAAATATCATGTGAAAGGTGTGAGAGATAGATTGACTAGGTAGGTAGGTAGGTAGGTAAGAGATAGATAGATAGATAGATAGATAGATAGATAGATAGATAGATAGATAGATAGATAGATAGATAGATAGATAAATGATAGATAGATAACAGACAGACAGACAGATGATAGGTAGGCAGGCAGGCAGGCAGGCAGGGAGGCAGGCAGGCAGGCAGATAGATATATGATAGATGACAGATGATAGATGATAGCTAGTAGCTAGACGATAGATGATAGCTAGTTAGCTAGCTAGAGACAGACAGATACAGATAGAACATTCCCTGGACCATTATTATGTGGCATGAAAAAAAAATGAAAACTATCTATAAAAAACCTGAATCAAGTTTGTTTCCAAGTCCATGTCCAAACTTAGAAAACACATGGGCAGACGTGCACGTTTCCAGAAAAATTACATCTTGTCGTCCTAAGGTTGCTATTATGCAGCCCCAGATAGGTATCCGAGCAGCTCCACAGATGTTTAGAGCTCCTGAAACCCCTCCAGAGGATGACCTCCTTCGTACGCTAGCTTAGAAAGGCTCCTTTCAGTAAGAAACATGATTAGGGGGATCAACTCAGTCGAATCCATGGGGATCTTTAACAGAATCACCAAGAATTTGCCTATAGGATTTGTCTCAGTGGTGAAATCCACATTTGTTTACTACCGGTTCTGTGGGCGAGGTGTGGTGGGCGTGGTGTGGTTTGGTGGGAGTGGCGTGGTGGGAGTGGCAGGGGAAGGATGCTGCAAAATCCCCATTCCCTCCTAGCTCCTGGGAGAAGGATATGGCAAAATCTCCATTCCTTCCTAACTCCTGGGGGAAGGATACTGCAAAATCCCCATTCCCTCCCCACTCTCAGGGGAAGGATACTGCAAAATCCCCATTCCCTCCCCACTCTGGGGCCAGCCAGAGTTGGTATTTGCCGGTTCTCCGAACTGCTCAAAATTTCTGCTACTGGTTCTCCAGAACCTGTCAGAACCTGCTGGATTTCACCCCGATTTATCTTTATCTCCCCACAGCAAGAGGAAAGAGGAGTTTGAAAGCTAACTTGGCAGAGACAAACAAGACACCTCGTTTATCCCTCCCTACCTGCGTGTTTCTCCTTGTGTCTCTGCTTGCAGGGTTCCCATGTGACTCGCTGGCCAGGTTTTTACATCCTCCAGTGGAAAATGCACAGCCCAATTCCCTGCACGGGGACCAGCCTCTCTCGGGTCGACGACGTCTTGGCTACGCTCCAGGTCTCTAATCACAAATGCAAGATCCTGTATTATTACGAGGTGCTTGCATCCAAGGAGTTCAGGTAAACAAAGAATTGGGGGCATCTATTTATTTATTTAAGAGGGGCTCGATGGCTCAGTGGCTAAGACGCTGAGCTTGTCGATCGAAAAGGTCGGCAGTTCGGCAGTTCGAATCCCTAGTGCCACGTAACGGGGTGAGTTGTGCGGCACTCGTAAGCTGGGACAGAAGCTTGTCCCAGCTTCTGCCAACCTAGCAGTTCGAAAGCACGTAAAAAATGCAAGTAGAAAAATAGGGACCACCTTTGGTGGGAAGGTAATGGCGTTCCATGCACCTTTGATGTTGAGTCACGCCGGCCACATGACCACGGAGACGTTTGATCAAAACACAATAGATCTTGCCTTTCCATTAAAGATGATATCAGTCATTCCATAAAATAGGCCCTATCTATCTATCTACTGGAAGGGATGCAGTGGCTCAGTGGCTAAGAGGCTGAGCTTGTCGATCGAAAGGTTCAGTTCGAATCCCTAGTGCTGCTTAACGGGGTGAGCTCCCGTGAATTGTCCCAGCTTCTGCCAACCTAGCAGTTCGAAAGCACATAAAAAATGCAAGTAGAAAAATAGGGACCACCTTTGGTGGGAAGGTAACAGCGTTCTATGCGCATTTGGCATTGAGTCATGCCGGCCACATGACCACGGAGACGTCTTCAGACAGAGCTGGCTCTTTGGCTTTGAAACAGAGATGAGCACCGCCCCCTAGGGTCAGGAACGACTAGCACATATGTGCGAGGGGAACCTTTACCTATTTACCTGTTATTCATTTGCATCCTGCCTTTGTTATTTTTACAAGTACAATTAGTCCTCAACGTAGAACCACAATGGAGCTTAAAATTTCTGTTGTTAAGCGAGACATTTCTTAAGTGAGTTTTGTCCCATTTTACCCCCTTCCTTGTCCCAGTTGTTAAGTGAATCACTGCAGTTCATAAACCAGTCACCCGGTTGTTAAGTGAATCTGGTTTCTTCATGGACTTTAATTGTCAGAAGGTCGCAAAAAGAGATCACATGACACCTGGAACACAGCAACGGTCGTAAATACGAGTCGGTTACCAAGCGTCTGAATTTTGATCACTTGATCCTGGGGATGCTGCAAAGGTTGTTAACTGTGAAAACACGGACAGGTCACTTTTTTCAGTGCCATTGTAACTTTGAATGGTCACTAAACAAACTGTCGAGGACTACCTGTAACTCAAGGCAGAAAATATATCTAACACACCTTCCTTCACCTATTTTCCCCACAACAACCCTGTAAGGTTGGTTGGGCTGAGAGACAGGGAGCGTCCCAAGGTCACCCAGCCAGATTTCATGGCTAAGGCGGGACTAAAACTTACTGTCTCCTGATGATTGGCTAAAAAGTCACACAGCTGGCCTTCATGGCTAAGGCGGGACTAGAACTCACCATCTCCTAGTTATTGGTCTACAGCAGAGGTCTTCAAACTTGGCAGCTTTAAGACTTGTGGATTTCAACGCCAGGAATGGGATTTGGGGGTTCTCCGAACTGCACAGAATCTTAGCTAGAGGTTCTCCCGAACCCCTGCGAACCCCCAGCAGCCCACCCCTGGGGCCACTCCTATAGAGAAAATCAGAAGCTCTTTCTTTCTATTTCCATTTTTATTTTATTTTTATTTTTTTGCACATTTGGCTTTTCCTTTTTTCTTTTCTTTTCTGTATATTAATTCAAAAATGAGATGCAAAAAAACCTCTACACATTTCACTGGGGGGGGGAAGATGTGTTCCGCTCCTTCCCTCGCATTCTTTTTTTTTTTTTTAATTTGATTTATATGCCGCCCTTCTCCGGAGACTCAGGGCGGCTTACAATGCATTAAGCAATAGCCTTCATACTTTTGTATATTTATACAAAGTCAGCTTATTGCCCCCACAAACTGGGTCCTCAATTTACCTACCTTAGAAAGGATGGAAGGCTGAGTCAACCTTGAGCCTTGGAGAGATTCGAACCAGCAGTAATTGCAGGCAGCTGGTGTTAATAACAGGGTGCTTTAGACCACTGTACTACCAATGCATTCTTTGTCTTGCTGTCCCTCTTTTCGGGGACTCTTAACCAACTCCTGCAAAGGCTAACTGGGATTCTTCAGCTGAATCACGCGATTGCTGTAAATCACAGCCGCTAGGCTCTAAAAACAATGCCATGGAGAGCCGGGGGTGCGGGATGGAATGGGGGTGGAGGTGGTGGGAACAATGCTTGTCTGATCTTGGCCATCTGCCCTCCAAGCAACTCTTGCCGAATTGACGTCTTCCAGCCACAAACGAGATCCCTGCGGATGGACGCTGGACAGCGGGGCCTCCAGCTGAGCAGAAGATGATCAGCCAAGCGAGGGCAGGGGAAAGGGGGAGGGACGGACGGTGGGGCCAAAGCGCTGGGGTCTCATTAAGGGCCGGAGATAACGAGCGCTTCCTTTCTCCCTTCCCCCCCCCCTCCAGGGGCTCCATGACGAGTCTGGAGTCGTGCACGAGTGGATTTTCGCAGCTCAGTGGAGCCACCACCTCCTCCACTCGGTCGCAGAGCAGTTCCTTGGTCTCCAGATAGCATCGCCCGGGAAGATGCAGAGCCCCGGAGGGCTGGACCAAGATGCTTTCTTCGAGGCTGCGACCCATGGAGGCTCAAGACAGCCTGCAGGGATGATCACCGAGGAGACCCAGGGACGCTTTTATCAACCAGCTTGAAATCCTTCCTTCCTTCCTTCCTTCCTTCCTTCCTTCCTTCCTTCCTTCCTTCCTTCCTTCCTTCCTTCCTTCCTTCCTCCTTCCCTTCTTTCCTCCCTCCCTTTCTTTCTGCCCTCCTTCCTCTCTCCCTTTCTTCCTCCCTCCCTTCCTCCCTCGCTTTTTGCCATCTTCCTTTCTTTCCTCCCTCCCTCCCTGGCTTCTTCCTCCCTCATTCACTTTTTTCTTCCCTTCTTCCTCTCTCCTCTTCTCTCCTCCCTCACTTTTTCCTTCTTTTCATCCTTCCTTTCTTCTTCCCTTCTCCCTCCCTCCCTCTTTCCTATTTCCTCTCCCTTCTCCCTCCGTCGCTTTTTCCTTCCTTCCTTCTTTCCTTCCTTCCTTCTTCCTCTTCCTCCCTTCTCCTTCCCTTCCTCCCTTTTTCCCTTTCATCCTTCCTTTCTCCCTCCCTCCCTCCCTTCTTCCACCTTCCCTCCCTTCTACCTCCCTTTTTCCTTTTCATCCTTCCTTTCTCCCTCCCTTCTCCTTCCCTCCCTCCCTCCCTTTCCTCTCTCCTTTCCTCCCCTCCCTTTTCCCTCCCTTCCTCGCTTCTTCCTTCCTTCCCTTCCTCCCAAAGACTGAAACAGCTTCTAATTCGTGACGACTGCCCCTCTGCAGCTGTACATTAGTCAACCTGTCAGTTAGAATGCCGACAGTACTAATTTTTGCATGGATTTTACAACATTCGTAGGGTTAAAGGGCTCTTCCCACTCAGCACCATTCGATCCGAAATGTAGAGCTAGCTGAGGTTGCCTTACCTATTTAGGGCTTCTAGAGCCAAAAACCCCTCCCGGCCCCTGGTTAGCTTCGTTGTGCATCGGCAATGCCATTGGTGTTCCAGCAAGGTACAAACAATATGCCTGGACAGCAGAATTGAGCTGCGAACTGCTGATGTGTACATACACACCATTGAAAAATGGGGCTGTTGGGTAGATTCACATTTCTAGGTAACTTCAGGCAGGGAACCTAACTCAGAGACTTAAGAGACCTACATATTGCTATCTAAAGCAGGGGTGTCCAATCTTGGCAACTTTTTCAGATCGGTGGATTTCAACTCCCAGAATCCCCCCCCCAACCCAGCATGGTTGACTGGGGAAATCTGGGAGCTGAAGTCCACAGGCCTCAAAAGTTGCCAAGATTGGACACCCTCTGGACTAGTGTGTTGGAACTGAGAAATACCCACTTGTTTCCCTACCGTGCACTGAAACAAGCTCTAACTTGAAAAGAGCAACACATTTTTCTCTTCCCTTTTTATTTCCTCAGGTCTGTGAGCAATAATTGAAGCCGATCTCTGCCCGATGGCTTTGCTCAGGGTTGAAAACGTATTTCTCTCTCTCTCGCTCTCTCTCTCTCTCTCTCTCTCTCTCTCTCTCTCTCTCTCTCTTTCTCTATGTATATAGATAAAGGGCTAAAGAAAAACAATATTTCATTGCTTACAAGGCACAAAAACTTGTTCACAGTGTTAAGGAAGCAATTGTTTAAACAAGCCAGAGCTAACACAAGTTAGGGTAGGCACTTTAAGAGCGCGTGGGTGGGTGTGAGTGTGGGAGTGCATGCATTTTCTGAGTGTGTATGTATATATAAATATAGATAAATAGATAGATACAGTATATACAGATCAGTAGCGGGTTTCAATTTTGTTTGCTACTGGTTTGCTCGTGCGCAACACTTCTGCGCATGTGCAGAAGCTTCCGGGCAGGTGGGCGGAGCCTCTCGCCGCTGCTACCGATTCGCCCAAACCGGGGCGAACCTGTAGCAATCCATCACTGATACAGTTAGATGTATGGAACTTAAAAATCCCTTAAGTCCCATTTACGGAAACAAGAATGAAGGCTTCAATTAATTATTTGTATCCTTTTATAGGCACAACTTGATTATTTATTCGGGAATATGCCTCCTTGTTTTAAGTATTGGGCTTTTTTTTTTTTTAAGCCAAATAAAGGATGGAGTGGGGTTCTGGTAACTTCAGCTTTATACTTTGGGGGTGTGGGGGGGGAAAGGGGTTTGCGTAGTTTCTAATTAGATATTTTTAGATGCCTGCCTGCATTACGTAGAAGAAATTGGGCAGATTTCCGGGTATCTTGAATCTATGGAGTGATTATGATGATGATGATTTTTTAAAAAACTGCAATCAGGAGTCGGTTGGCTTTGAGGAACTGTTGGGATAAAGAAAACCCTAGAGCAGTGATAGCTAACTTTTTTGCCGTTGTGTGCCAAAAGCAGGGGGAGCACTGGGGGGGGATCTCGCTTGGGTGTGCCCACACCCATAATTCAATGCACCCCACCCCCCCGCATGTGCGCGCGACCCCCCGCTTTTGGCATGCAATGGCATGGTGGGCCCGGTAGGACCGTTTTTTGCCCTCCCCAGGCTCCAGAGGCTTTCTAGGAGCCTGGGGAGGACGAAAAGGCCTTCCCCGCCCCCCCAGAGGCCCTCTGGAGGCTGGAAATAGCCTGTTGGCTGACGTACACATGCGTGCTGGAGCTGAGCTAGGGCAACGCTTACGTGCCCACAGATATGGCTCCATGTGCCACCTGTGGCACGCATGCCATAGGTTCGCCCTCACGGCCCTAGAGAAAAACCCTTTGATTTTTGTTAAGTATTAGTTTTCCCTTAAACGGGGGACCTCGAGGACCGAAAGATGTCCGTTGTGATTGATCCCAAAAGAAATGCCTGAAATGGCCATACAGAGAGGTGAAAAGGAATCGAATCGACGGATGAGAAACTTTTAATTAGGAATCAACGGTCCTTGCAAAACGGTATTTTCCCTTTCCCTTCAAGGACAGGATGAACAGGGAGGCAACTGGCACAAGATTCAGCAGGCCTCAAGGGAGAGTGAGTATAGGTAGTCCTCGAATTACAACACTTCGTTTAGCGACCGTTCAAAGGGAAGACGACGGCGGGGGAAAAAAGCGATGTATGGTCATTTTGCTCAGTGTTTGCTAAAACACTCAGCTTGTCGATCAGAAAGGTCGGCGGTTCGAATCCCTACCTGCCTGAGCAGGGAGTTGGACTAGATGACCTCCAAGGTCCCTTCCAACTCTATTACTGTTACACTTAAAACCTCCGTAGCATCCCCATCATCACGTGGTCGACATTCAGGCCCTTGGCAACTGGTTCATGACTTATGACCGTTGCTGTGTCCCAAGGTCACGTGATCCTCTTTTTGCGACTTTCTGAGATGCCAAGTCAACAGGGGAAGTCAGATTTGCTTAACGGCCGGGTGACTAACGTCTCAACGGCAGCGTTTCGCTTAACAACAGAGGCAAGAATTGGTCGTCCCATAGGGCAAAGCTCACTTCACAACTGTCTGGCTTAACAACAGAAATGTTGGCGCTCGACGGTGGTCGTACGTTGAGGACTGCCTGTACATAACCAACCAGGGATCTTCTATCCATTGCCGCTGTTGGCCCCAAAAAGAGAATTGAAGAAGAAATTGCATAATCTTGTCTTGAAAAACAGGCTGTTCACACAAATGTAGAATGCTTCCACTGGAGGTTGTACAGAATTGCACACAACATGCTCCTCTTGATATTTATTATTATTATTATTATTATTATTATTATTATTATTACTGTTATTATGGTTGATCACACAGTCATCCATATTTAGACGGAGTCTGGCATTTTTCTGTACCTATCGAGTCTTTTGCAAGGACCTGGAATAAGCAGATGGTTTATTGATAAGTGTTAAAAATGTTATCACAGGGATATTACTATTCTTATTATTGTTTGTTCGAGACAACAGGAGGGAGGCGGGTGAATTTTCGAGCCAAAACTGGAAAGTCAATAAAATAACTTATAATTCTCTGTGGTTTTTTTCCTTCCTTCCTTCCATTGTACTCTTAAGGTCCCAAAAATGTACTTGGGTCACCAGAATGCCAAAGCTTTAATTTGTACAAAGAAGAGCTGGGTAAACCGTTCCACACATGCAAAAGAGACATGTAAGGAAGGCCACACCTCGAGGAAGGTATGGCGTCCTTTTATACCTTCAGAGGCATCAGTTTAGTACCCAATTCTGGCCCCCTGGCCCATGCCTTCCTTGTAGCCCTGCATTGGCTGTGCAGCAAGGAACAGGGGGGCTGGGTACTTAGCAACACAGGTGTTTGCCCGATGTAACCCTGCCAAACCATGGCATAGCCCACTTCTTGAGATATCCACCAGGCACGACTCGTGCTTTTAAAATTAAAAAAAAAAAAAAGTTGTCCATGCCCACCCAGTCACATTACCCCCCCCCACCAAGCCACGCCCACAGAACCGGTAGTAACAAATTTTACATTTCACCACTGCATTAAAGCAACGTTTCTCAACCTTGACACTTTACAAAACGTTTTCAATTCCCAGAATCCCCCAACAAGCTGAACTGGGGGATTGTGGGAACTGAATTCCACCCATATCTTAAAAGTTGCCAAGTTTGAGAACCACTGCATGAAAGCATCACATGAGTTATTGGCCCCCACAGAGAGGGCTCGCAACTTGGGTGTCCTCCTGGATGCACGGCTGTCTTTAGAAGAGCATATGACGGCCGTGGCCAGGGGGGCTTTTCATCAGGTTCGCCTGATTCGCCAGTTGCATCCCTTTCTGGATCGGGACTCCCTACGCACAGTCACTCAGGCACTCGTCATTTCCCGCCTGGACTACTGCAATGCTCTCTACATGGGGCTCCCCTTGAGGTGCGCCCGGAGGCTCCAACTGGTGCAGAATGCGGCTGCGCGGGGGATTATGGGAGCGAGAGGGCGCTCCCATGTGACACCTCTCCTGCGCGAGCTGCATTGGCTCCCGGTGGACTTCCGGGTGCGCTTCAAGGTACTGGTTACCACCTTTAAAGCGCTCCATGGCATCGGACCTGGGTATTTGCGGGACCGCCTTCTGCCGCCAATAGCCTCCCACCGGCCAGTACGCTCCCACAGAGAGGGACTCCTCAGGGTGCCGTCAGCTAGGCAGTGTCGGCTGGCAACCCCCAGGGGGAGGGCCTTCTCTGTGGCAGCACCTGCCCTCTGGAACGATTTGCCCCCGGAGATACGGAGGATATCAGATCTCTGGGCTTTTCGCCGCGCCCTAAAAACTTTTTTCTTCCATCAAGCAGGGCTGGTGTGAAAAAACCCCCCCCCCATTTTTGAGATATTAGATTTTTTAATTGTTTAATGGGTTTTAGTCATAAGGTTCTTAATTTTTGGCCAAAGGGTATAATTCTTTTAAATTTTTAAATTTTGTATTGGATGTTTTTTACGTGGCTGTGCACCGCTCTGAGTCCACCAGGAGAAGGGCGGTATACAAATTTAAATAAAATAAATAAATAAATAAATGAAGACATTAAACATTAACAGACAGTCACTAAACTAAGTGACCGAACTCTCGTTTATCCAGTTTTGGTCACCACGCTATAAAAAAGATGTTGAAACTCTAGAAAGAGTGCAGAGAAGAGCAACCAGGATGATTAGGGGACTGGAGGCTAAAACATGATAAACGGTTGCAGGAACTGGGCATGGCTAGTCTAGTGAAGAGAAGGACCAGGAGAGGCATGATAGTAGTTTTCCAATATTTGAGGGGCTGCCACAGAGAGGAGGGGGTCAAGCTAGTTTCCAAAGCACCCAAAGGCCACACAAGGTATAATGGATGGAAACTGATCAAGTGAGATACTAATACCACTCTGTAAAGCCTTAGTAAGGCCACAGCTAGAGTCCTGCATCCAGTTTTGGTCACCACGCTATAAAAAAGATGTTGAGACTCTAGAAAGAATGCAGAGAAGAGCAACCAGGATGATTAGGGGACTGGAGGCTAAAACAATGAACGATTACAGGAACTGGGCACGGCTAGTGAAGAGAAGGACCAGGGGAGACAGGATAGCAGTCTTCCAATATTTGAGGGGCTGCCACAGAGAGGAGGGGGTCAAGCTATTTTCCAAAGCCCCTGAAGGCCAGACAAGGAATAATGGATGGAAACTGATCAAGGAGAGATTCAACCTGGAAATAAGGAGAAATTTTCTGACAGTGAGAGCAATCAACCCATGGAACAGAAGTTGCCTTCGGAAGTTGTGGGAGCTTCATCCCTGGAAGCTTTCAAGAAGGGACTGGACTGCCATCTGTCAGAAATGGTGCAGGGTCTCCTATTGGGCGGGGGGGTTGGACTAGATGACCTGCAAGGTCCCTTCCAACTCTTGTTAATCTGTTAAAATCTTGGCATGGCTAGATTGGTGAAGAGAAGGACCAGGGGAGACATGATAGTAGTCTTCCAATATTTGAGGGGCTGCCACCGAGAGGAAGGGGTCAAGCTATTCTCCAAAGCATCTGAAGGCAGGACAAGAAATAATGGATGGAAACGGAACAAGGAGAGATTCAACCATGAAATAAGGAGGAACTTTCTGACAGTGAGAACAATCAACCCATGGAACAGAAGTTGCTTTCGGAAGTTGTGGGAGCTTCATCCCTGGAAGCTTTCAAGAAGAGACGGGATTGCCATCTGTCAGAAATGGTGAAGGGTCTCCCGCTTGGGCGGGAGGGCTGGACTAGATGACCTCCAAGGTCCCTTCCAACTCTGTTCCTCTGTATCTATTCTCCAAATACACCTTTAAAATCCTATTAAGCCCCTTTGCGGTTAAACGTTTTAAATAGAAATAGACACACATTTCTATTTATGTAGTTGGGCTTGCCACTTCCGTTGCAAACAGTTTATATACTTAGGTCACATAAAAAAAAAAAGGGAATGCACCATTTAGATAAACCGGCTTTTGCTTTTGAGGCGAAAATGCAAAGAAGGAAAAAAAAAAAAAAGAAGCGAGCAGGGGCGCGGCTAACAAAGTACGTCCCCATAGAGATAGGAACTATAGAGAGCCGCTCCCTCTTCTTTAAGAGCGCGACTCTATAATCCCGGAAACGGAGGCTTCTCTCGTGTCCGCTCTAGATTCGGCTCTATGATCCGAAGCGGCCTCTCTAGCCCTGGGAGAGTACGCCCTCCTTCCTTTCGTTGAGGCGACTCTATGGTCGTGGGCGCACCTACGCGGGCAGTTCGAGGGCAGCGGCGGGAAGCCGGGCCGAGCCAGGCAGCCATGGCCAAAGGTGAGCCGGGGCAAGGGATCCGGGCCTCGGGGCCTTGAGAGCAAGGAGGGCGCCTTCCGTAGTATTTGCAGTGGTTTCCTCTCCCCCCAAAAAGTTTTTTTTTTTTTTTGCATTTAAATTAATACGACAGGCAGAAGTTCGTCAGGTGTAGCTTCTCTTTCGTCTCTGCGGGGGTCGAAAATTCACAGGTTGGATGCTGTCGTAATCAAGTGGGTGATGAAAAAGCCCAGGAGCCCAGTGTTGGTGGGTCAGGGACAGGCAGAAGTCCATCAGGTTGAGCCTTCCTGCCTGCCATGGGCTTCACTGGGGTGTGTGGTTCCAGGAGCCTGTTGGATGGCAGGTCCTGCATATCTGGGAAGGAAAAAAAAAATCAGGCAGGTGAGTGACAGGCAGAGGTTCGTCAGGTGTAGATCACACACTGTTTGATGGAAATTGAACGTTATATAAATAAAACAAGTAAAACATTGGGGGCGGGGGAAGAGCCCAGGAGCCCAGAGTCGTGGTGGGTCAGGGACAGGCAGAAGTCCATCAGGTCGAGCCTTCCTTCTTGCCTCCCTTGCCATGGGCTTCACTGGTGTGTGGAGTTAAGAGTCCAGGAGTCTGTTGGGTTGCAGGTCCTGCATGTCTGGGAAGGAAAAAAAAATCAGGCAGGTGAGTGACAGGCAGAAGTTCGTCAGATGTAGATCACACAGTGTTTGATGGAAATTGAATGTTATTTAAATAAAACAAATGAAAAATGAAAAAAAAAAAAGAGTCCAGGAGCCCAGAGTCTGTGGGTCAGAGACAGGGAGAAGTCCATCAGGTTGAGCCTTCCTTCTTACCATGGACTTCACTGGGGTGTGTGGTTAAGAGTCCAGGAGTCTGTTGGGTTGCAGGTCCTGCATGTCTGGGAAGGAAAAAAAATCAGGCAGGTGAGTGACAGGCAGAAGTCCATCAGGTCGAGCCTTCCTTCTTGCCTCCCTTGCCATGGGCTTCACTGGTGTGTGTGGTTAAGAGTCCAGTAGCCTGTTGGATGGCAGGTCCTGCATGTCTGGGAAAGAAAATAAGGCAGGTAAGTGACAGGCAGAAGGTTGCTAGGTGCAGCTTTGCTCTGTCTTTGCAAGGGAGCGCTTCATGGCTTGGATGTCTGCCTGCTCCATAGCTGTATCTGTTTGCTTAGAAACTAAGCCTTAGATGGATAGGCTGCAAAAAATCCGAAAACCTGTTGGAGAGATCAGATTTGATCAACTGAATAAAAGCTAAAAATCCATCAGGTGCAGATGTCCTCCATCTCTCTAGGAGGGTAACTGTTGAACTGCACAGCTTTGGAGTGTAACTGAATTGGGGTGGGGGTGAGGGGAGAGGAACTATCAATGAAATGCTATGTAAGAGGCAGAAATTCACTAGGTGCAGCTTTTCAGTCCTGAAGGTAAGCTACACTGGTTGGACATCTGTAGTGCTTGTTGCATGTTATTAAAATATAGAAGCACTATAGAAAGAACGGTTTACAAGCACTAGCTAATCACAGAGTAAATCTGTGTATGTAGGTATGTATGTATGTATATATGTATGTGTGTATCTATAGGTATATATGTATCAGTGGTGAAATTCAAATTTTTTTACTACCGGTTCTGTGGGAGTGGCTTGGGCATGATGTAGCTTGGTGGGCATGGCAGGGGAAGGATACTGCAAAATCTCCATTTCCACCCCACTCCAGGGGAAGGATATTGCAAAATCTCCATTCCCATCCCATTCTGGGACCAGCCAGAGGTGGTATTTTCCAGTTCTCCAAACTATTCAAAATTCCTGCTACCGGTTCTCTGAACTACTCAAAATTTCCACTATCGGTTCTCCAGAACCTGTCAGAACCTGCTGGATTTCACCCCCGATTTGTATATATGTACTGTATATCTACTCTCTATGCATGTGTGTGTACGTATATACTTCTATGTACTGTATATGTGCATATATGTGTGTGTGTGTGTATCTATATTTCTGTGTATGTGCATATATGTGTGTGTTTGGATAAATAAATGATATGGGGAAGAGAGAGAGGATAGATAGATAGATAGATAGATAGATAGATAGATAGATAGATAGATAGATAGATGATAGATAGATGCATGTGTGTGTCTGTGTGTACGTATGTATGGTTTTGTATGATTTTTATATTGTATTTTGTCCATTGTTTTGAGTTCGGTTTAACTATAGCAATTTACCTTCAGGTTTCTTCCAGTCATAATTTTAAAATCTCTATACTGAAAGCCTACTCAGAATGAATGAGGAATTTAGCGTTGGGAATACTAATTGGGGCTCATTGCTCTTTTATACCAACCCTTCCCCCCCCGCCCCCCAACTCTCCAGTGTGGCAGCATCCTTATCTGAACATCTTCAAACACTTTAAAGTAGAAGAATGGAAAAGATCTACCAAGGATGGAGACGTGACAACCTTTATGGTAAGGCCAAATCTCCTGACATTTCTCTCAGTAGCTTAATTTATATTAAATTTGTTCGTTCAGTTTCCTGTGGTATTCTGTAGTTCGCTTGCTCTGACATCTGAACTTAGATTATGGCATAGATCATGGTTAGGGGTGCCTTAACTTCTCCAGAATTACATATACATAAGCCTTAAACCCTTTAAACCAGTTGAGTATCAGGGACCGGTTCTGTGGGCAGAGGTTTTTCCATGGACCGGAGGGAGCATGGTTTGTATGCTGACTGCATCCCACGGATGAGGCTTTTTGTTTGTGCAGCCTGGTTTTTGGCATGCCATGGCCTGGTGCTGGTCCCCGGACTGGGGATTTTAGACACCTGCCTTAAACTATCTTTCTTTCTTTCTTTCTTTCTTTCTTTCTTTCTTTCTTTCTTTCTTTCTTTCTTTCTTTCTTTCTTTCTTTCTTTCTTTCTTTCTTTCTTTCTTTCTTTTTCTTTCTTTCTTTCTTTCTTTCTTTCTTTCTTTCTTTCTTTCTTTCTTTCTTTCTTATGCCGCCCTTCTCCGGAGACTCAGGGCGGCTTACAATGTGTTAAGCAATAGCTTCATACTTTTGTATATACCTGCTTAGTAGGGCTTTCGGGGCCCCCCGCCCCCCCCCCCCCAAGCGGTGTTCTTTTTATACAAAGTCAGCTTATTGCCCCCACAATCCGGGTCCTCATTTTACCTACCTCGGAAGGATGGAAGGCTGAGTCAACCTTGAGCCTGGTGAGATTTGAACTTGCAGTAATTGCAGGCAGCTGGTGCTAGTTAACAGCACTTTAGTCTGCTGCACCACCAAGGCTCTTATATGTCTTTATGGATGAACTCATGGGGTAGAGATACATTGTATGAAAACACAGATAGGTTTAAGGCAATCTCAGCTGGTAATTTGTGAGTGGACAGAGGTTAGTGTGACTACAAATAGCCCTCAACTTATAACCACAATCAAGACTCGGATTTCTGTTGCTAAGTAAAGTGGTGGTTAAGTGAATTGAATTTCATTTTTTGACCCTTTTTTTTTTTTTACCATGCTTGTTAAGTGAATCGCAAAGCTTTTCCCATTAGCTTTGCTTTTTGGAAAGGCTGGCTGGGAAGGTTGCAGATAGTGATCAGAGGGTCCAGGTTGCTGCAACCATTGTAAATAATGCTAGCTGCCAAGCACCTGCATTTTTAATCATGTGACTCTACTCAAAACTAGCTTTCCTATGTGAAAGCAAACTTTAAAGCCTGCTTGTTCTCTCCATTCAGGACAAGACTTTGAAAGGGACAGTATATCGCATTAGCGGTGCTGTTCCGGCCAGCAACTACCTCCAGCTTCCCAAAACTGGCACCCAGTCCTTGGGTCTCACTGGTCGCTATATCTACATCCTCTTCAAACCTGCACCAGGCAAATATTTTGTGGTGCATCTAGATGTTGCCACTGAGGTGAGTGTGTGAGTTTATTCCTGGCTCCACGATGGTCATGGTACAATAATAACATAAATTAAATTGCTCTTGAAAGCACTGCAGTCCTCTAGTAATGCCTTCATAATACAAGATTTATTGACTATTTATTATCATTGTTTCTTCCCCACCTTGCAGAGAAGCTGTCCTTCCAAAGATGCTTGCAAACAATATAACCACTTGAAACAAAAACAAAATTAAAAAAAAAAAGACAAATAACATTTTTAGGATCCTTCCCACAGGCCAACAGATCTGGAATGAGAGAAGAATGAACACGCTAAGGAGGTGGATATATGCCACCTGTCTTTCTAACATTTTTTGTTGTTGTTGAATAGTTCTTGCCTTTTAGGAATTCTGATACAATCTGTGTGTTTGGTGTTTTAGGAGTTGTTGATTGATACCTGGTGGCAGATTTGTTTTCCTAAACACCGCAGCTGTTACTTTTCTTGAGTGTTACTTTTGAATTACTCGCTGTCTAAGACATAATAGAAGTGCTGGGTTAATCTATAGTAGCTCAAAATCGGGAGGAATCTGGTAACACCTTATCAGACTGACACATTTTATTAATTTAAAATATTTATATAGCTGCCAATCTTATTAACAAACTCTGGGCAGGTCTCAACCCAAAATGAAAAAAAACCTATTTTTTATTATTTTATTTTAAATAATAATAAATTTATTTATTTTGTAAAAAGTAATAAACATTTTAAAATAATCTTATTTATTTTAGTAGCATCTGTTAATCTGAGAAAATGCTACCAGATTTCTTATTTTTCCTGACTCGTTTGTAGACTATATTTTAGTCTTTGCACTTGTGCACTTAAGAAGTGATCTGAAGTAGCAAGGGAAAGATTATTCTACATTCTCCATCAAACTACAAAGTGTTTTGCTTGGCACCCTGACCCTGTATTGGATTTAGCTTTAGATACAGAGGTATGTACAGTACATTGTTGTTGTTGTTAGTTGTGAAGTCATGTCAGACCCATCGTGACCCCATGGACAACGTTCCTCCAGGCCCTCCTGTCCTCTACCATCCTCTGGAGTTCATTTAAGTGGTTTTCCCAGTTGCAATGTATGGCTGTGAAAGTTGGACCATAAGGAAGGCTGAGCGCTAAAGAATTGAGGCCTTTGAACTCTGGTGCTGGAGAAGACTCCTGCAAATCCCTTGGACTGCAAGGCGATCCAACTGGTCAGTCCTAGAGGAGATCAACCTTGACTGCTCTTTGGAAGACCAGATCCTGAAGATGAAACTCAAATACTTTGGCCACCTAATGAGAAGGAAGGACTCATTGGAGAAGAGCCTAATGCTTGAAACGATCGAGGGCAAAAGAAGAAGGGGACGGCAGAGAACGAGGTGGCTGGATGGAGTCACTGAAGCAGTCGGCATGAGATTAAATGTACAGTACATAGGTCTGGCAGAAACAGAATAAGTTTCTGAATAAGTTTGAAAAGCAGTGTAGGAGTGAATTTATTTCCTGGCTAAAATCACACAATAGAATAGAATAAAATAGAAGGGAAGGGAAGGGAAGGGAGGGGAGGGGAGTGAGTGGGAGAGAAGAATATAGAATAGAATAGAATTCTTTATTGGCCAAGTGTGATTGGACACACAAGGAATTTGTCTTTGGTGCAAATGCTCTCAATGTACATAAAAAGAAAAGATACCTTCATCAAGAATCATAAGGTACAACACTTAATGATAATCATAGGGAACAAATAAGCAATCGAATCATACTAGGAAACAGTCAATATAAATCAGCAACAAGGTTACAGTCATACAGTCATAAGTGGGAGGAGATGGGTGATAGGAACAATGAGAAGATTAATAGTAATGCAGACTTAGTGAATAGTTTGACAGTGTTGAGGGAATTATTTGTTTAGCAGAGTGATGGTGTTTGGGAGAAAACTGTCCTTGTGTCTAGTTGTTCTGGTGCGCAGTGCTCTATAGCGTCATTTTGAGGGTAGGAATTGAAACAGTTTGTGTCCAGTCTATAAATCTATATAAGTAACAATATTCAGCTTTGGTTATCTTTTGTGGGCTGTCTTAATCAGCTCCAAAATATTTGTTGCTCCCGGAATGATAATTCTGTCTCTATAAACCGGCTCTGTTTCTATTCATTTCTAGGAAAGCCAAGTGGTCCGTATTTCGTTTTCTAACCTCTTTAAAGAATTCAAGTCCACAGCCACATGGTTGCAGTTCCCATATATTTGTGGGGCAGCCCGTGGGTCAGTCTATGCAACTACAGCCAAGACTTCTAAACGAGGTAAAATGCAAAGAAGGTCTAATCAAGATTTAGGGGGTATTTTTTTTTCCCCTACTACAGCAACCAGCAAATGGTCTTGCCTTTGATTTGATCCCCAAGACTTTAGAAACTTGGATCTAATTTTCCTGAGAAGTGAGTTGATGGTTTAGAGCAGTGGTCACCAACTGGTGGTCCGTGGGAAAATTTTAGTGGTCCGCAGAAAAATTATTTGCATTTTTTATATTGCACTAAATCTTCAAACGTATTGCACGTATCCCTGGGCCGGATACGTGCAATGAATGTTTGTGTTGCTGCAGAGAGTCTCCCCCTTTGGGGTCTTTTTGTGTGGGTCCGAGGGGGGAAATGAGGCCATTCGTGTATAAGGTTTGAGATTTCTGCGAGTGTGTCAAATGTCTGTAGAAATTCAGAACTGGCATGTTTGGCCCTTCAGATCTGGTGGGCCTTGCCCCCATTAACGTGCGATGGACTTGCTTGATCCTGGATCTCCGCCACATTCTTGGCCTCTACCTGAACAGAACCTACAGTCATCTGAAAAGCGTCAAGCTATGCTCCAACCTGCTGGTGAAAAACCTCTTCACCAGCGATTTGCTCTTTGACCCAGGTGAGAGTCTTTAAAGAGTGGATGCAGCAGGGGTGAAATGCTCCCGGTTCGGACCGGATCACCCGATCCGGTAGCGATGGAAGCGGGTGGTTCGAAGAACCGGTAGCAAAAATCCTGCCCCCCCCCATGCCCAGCTGAGTTGCACAATCATCAGAGGCTTTTTCTTTTAACTTTTAAAAGCATTTTTTCTACAACCTCTTCCGCCGAAAAAATGCTTTTAAAAGTAAAAAAAACAAAAAGCAGTCCAGTCTCCTCTTGAAAGCTTCCAGGGATGAAGCTCCCACAACTTCTGAAGGCAACTTCTGTTCCATGGGTTGGTTGCTCTCAGTGTCAGAAAATTCCTCCTTATTTCCAGGTTGAATCTTTCCTTGTTCAGTTTCCATCCATTATTCCTTGTCTGGCCTTCGGGTGCCTTAGAAAATAGTTTGACTCCTTCCTCTCTGTGGCAGCCCCTCAAATATTGGCACAGTGTTATCATGTCTCCCCTGGTCCTTCTCTTCACTAGACTAGCCATGCCCAGTTCCTGCAACCGTTCATCGTATATTTTAGCCTCCAGTCCCCTAATCATCCTGGTTGCTCTTCTCTGCACTTTTTCTAGAGTCTCAACATCTTTTTTATAGTTTGGTGACCAAAACTGGATGCAGTATTCTAGGTGTGGACTTACTAAGGCTTTATAGAGTGGTATTAACACTTCACTTGATCAGTTTCTATCCATTACACCTTGTTGGCGTAACACCTTTCAGGGGCTTTGGAAAACAGCTTGACCCCCATCCTCTCTGTGGCAGCCCCTCAAATATTAGAATACTGCTATCCTGTCTCCCCTGGTCCTTCTCTTCACTAGACTAGCCATGCCCAGTTCCTGCAACCGTTCTTCAGATGCGTTTAGCATTCTGAGTAGAGTGGGTTGACTCAATTGACCTTTTGCTTCCTAAATCCTTTCCATCTTTCTCCATGGTTTTTTGGCTTGTTCCTACAAGGGAATGTTTACCAAAAAATAAAAGATAAATGGCTAGGAAGAGGCATGAGAGCTGTGATTTTGGTTGCTATGTTAATACAAGCAACATTTGCAGGTTTAACAATTCTGTGCCGCAGCATGGAGCTGGGAACGGAAAGAATGCCTGTTTGGTGACACTAAGCCTGGCTCCAGAAATTATTTAACCAAAGCCAAATAAAGTTTTAACTATAGTTTTTTTTCAAACATTGCAGGATATGAAAAAGATAAGTTTATATAAATGATAATAATATGCAGATTAGCTTGCATTCATATAGGGAATAGTACTCTCTCCTAACCTATGAGCGAAGTTTTTTTTTTTTTACAATAAAATATCCCACTCTTTCATGGGAGGTTGGCACAAAGAAACCTCTAAAGAGGACTCAGTTTTTTTCTCATGCAAGCATTGGCTTTTCTTGGGGGAGTAAGAAGGGGCAAGTGATACTGCAACTTAAACTCTGCCCTTGACATGCTTGTATCCATATTACAATATTTATATGAAAGGGGAGAACTTGCATCAGAATATCAAAACAGGCTTTTCAATATTGGCATAATTTCAATGAAGAACAACCACATCTGTCCCATCCTTTTTTCTTTCTTTCTTTTTTTTTTTCCTTCTAGCGTTGACCTCTTCTGAGGCTCACCAGTCCAAGATGGCATTACATGGTTTCTCTCCCATGCCTCGGGAAATGGCATTTCCTGTGCCCAAAGGAGAACTGTGGCACGATCTCTATGATTACATTCGGTAGGTTTGGCTAAATTTCTTATTCTGAGGCCTCTCATTTCTTTGCCATAATATTTTTGGGGGGACTTCCTGCTTTGCGTAATATTGCTCAACCTGAAAAAGAGATGCATGAGGGATATGTTGTGATTTGGAGGGGGTGGGGGTAGTGTGGGTTGCCCCTGGTTCGCACCGGTTCTATAGAACCGGTAGTAAAACCGGTGGGAGGCTCCGCCCACTGACCGTGACATCATCAAAATGCTTCTGCGCATGCGCAGAAGAGCGTGCGTGGGAAACAAGCGCGTGCGCGCAGCCCCGTTGCAAACCGGTAGTAAAAGTAAGTAGAACCCACCCCTGAGTGGGCGGCTTTGTCAGAATAGAAGTTCTACAACTGGGGTGTTCCTAATGAAAACTCCTGCTTTGAGCACCCAAAATCCACATACCGTATTATTCTCTGAGCCAAAATGTTTATTGCAGATTACAAGATCAAGTTTGCCTGATCAGATTCAATTGACCCCCATCCTTACCACAACTAGACTTTGTCTTGCTGGCTGATAGAGGCTGAAACGCTGGACCAAAAAAAAAAAAAAATCCATTTCTTATGCAGTATCCTTTCTCTAATCTTTTTCTTCAGGTTCCCTTCTGATGGATCCAAAATGCCATATGACTCCATTCAGAAAAGCACTTCGAATTCCTATGCTGGTGAGTGAGTGAATTCAGGAGACTGTGAAAAACAGAAATAATGCACAGACAGCTTTCTGAACTACCACCCCTCTTACAAAATAAACCAATAATACATCGAGATGTAACTCCATTTATGCATGGATTGATTTAGTAGGCTGATGAATCATTTTATGTCGACTTGTGCTTATCTTCTCATTGACAAAATAGCAATAGCAAAGACACCTAGACTTATATACTGCTTCACCGTGCTTTCCAGCCCTCACTAAGCAGTTTACAGAGTCAGCCTATTGCCCCCAACGATCTGGGTCCTCATTTTACTGACCTCAGAAGGACGGAAGGCTGAGTCAACCTTGAGCCTGGTGAGATTTGAACTGCCAAATTGTAGGCAGCCGGCAGTCAGGATCGAACTCCTGACAGTCAGCAGAGTTAGCCTGCAATACTGTACTTCAACCACTGCACCACCATGGCTCAATCCCCAACAAATGCTTAAAAGAGATTAGATAACCATTTGTCTGAAATGTTGTAAGGTTTCCTGCCTAAGCAGGGGGTTGGACTAGAAGACCTCCAAGGTCCCTTCCAACTCTGTTATTCTATTCTATTCTATTCTATTCTATTCTATTCTATTCTATTCTATTCTCTCTACTCTACTCTACTACTCTACTCTACTCCATCCCATCCCATCCTATCTTATCCTATCCTGATTTGATTTGATTTGATTCGATACGATACGATACGATTCTTATTCTATGTCTCTGAAATCCTAGTGTAGGGATTCCCAAGCTTGAAAACATTTAAGATTGTCAGGGAATGTAGATTTAATAGCTGTAAGCTGATGGAAGGTTGTAAGCGGAAGCAACTGATAGTTGATGCAGTGGGAATGAGGCAGGAGGGTTACTGCCACTTTAAGAAGCTGGGTAAGAAGCTGCCTATATAAGGAAAACCATTAGAGGGCTTTTTCTTCTCCTCATGTTCTCTCTCATTGTGTATCTCATTGCTCTCCTTGTGTCAGTAGCTGTATGATAAGGTATTTACCACGTATGTCTGTATATATTTAGCTGTACATAAACCATTGTTATTTATCTAAAGGCTCTATGTGCTGTGCCTTTGCTCCTAGATTTATCTCATAATATTAGTTACGCTGCCTAAACTCTGACAAAGATGGTGGACTTCAACTCCCAGAATTCCCCAGCCAGCTAATTCTGGAAGTTGGAAGTCCACCCATCTCATAGCTGTCAAGGTTGAGAAACACTGGCCTAGTGTCTTAGATCACAGACTGAAAGCAGTTCTAGAAGAAGAAAATTGATAATGAGCCATGATCCTAATGGCACCGTTATTTATTCAAAACATATATATGCCTCTCTCCCCTCCACCCATCTTATCCAAGTAATTCTGGGCTGCTAACAAGCCCTACGGAAAAACCAAAATCAAAAGCCAATATAAAAATCGGGCAAAACAAGAGTTGAGAAAGACCACCCAAAGATAACGGAGGCACCTCTGAGCAACTCACACACCGGCAGGCACAGCAGGCTCCATGTCCTGAGGTCTTCATTGCTCTCTTTCAGGGGTGGGCTTCAAAAATTTTAGCAAGGGGTTCTCTGCCCAGTTGCTGGGTGGGCGTGGCCATGGTGGGCATGGCCTAGTCAGCCTCCCACACAGTGGTGGGATTCAGCCAGTTCGCACCACTTCGGGAGAACCGGTTGTTAACTTTCTGAGCAGTTTGGCAAACTGGTTATTGGAAGAAATCATTAGGGCAGAGACCCGGTTGTTAAATGATTTGAATACCACCACTGCTCCTGCACCATGGCGGGTGGGGGTGGGGTGTTTTTGCCCTCCCCAGGCTCCTTTCCTCGAGCCTCTGGGAGAGCGAAAACGGCCTCCCCAGGCTCCGGAGGCCTGTTTCCGGCCTTCCCAAACTTCCAGTAGGCCCATTTTTCGCCCTCCCCGAGCCTCCGTGTACACCCTGCACATACCTGCATCCAAAATGGGCCGCGTGGGGACTCCTGGGAGGGGTGGGGCAGAGTGGGCGGGGCCAGCCAGGAGTGGGATTTGGGAGTTCTCCGAACTGCACAGAATCTTAGCTAGAGGTTCTCCCGAACCCCCTGTGAACCCCCAGCAGCCCACCCCTGCTCTCTTCCACCTTTTCAGCTGGCCATCCCAAAGACGAGCCAGTGACCCTGGTTCCCAAGGACGTGTCTTTGAGCAAGCCAATTCGGGACCGGGTGTCTCTCATCCAGCAAATCACCAGTCCCAAAGAGGTATGTAAGCTTTTGATCTTTCTTAACACCCAGAGCTGTACAGGTAGTCCTCGACTTACAACCATTCGTTTAGTTACAATGTCCAGGAGTGTGGTATTCACTTACCTTTGCTACCAGTTCGCAGATGTGAGTGCGTGCACGTGTGCTGTCGCTTTGTTCGCACGCGCCACCCACCTCCACGCATGCGCAGGGCCTTCCAGGCACACGCAGAGCATCACAAACGGGACGTGATGACAACCGGGCGGGTGGGCGGAACCTCCCGCAGCTGCCGCTACAGGTTTGCCCGAACTGGATAGAACCGGCTGAATACCACCACTGACAACGTCTTACGGCCTTTTTTCCCACACTTCCGACCGTTGGACACATGGTCGAAATTTGGACGCTTGGCAACTTGTATGTATGCATGATGGTCACAGTGTCCCAGGGTTACGTGATCCCCCTTTGCGACCTTTTGACAAGCAAAGTCAAGGGGGAAGCCAGATTCACTTAACAACCAGGTTACAAATTTAACAACTTGCAGTGACTCACTTAGCCACTGTGTGGCAAGATTTGTAAAATGGGGCAAAATTCACTTAACAGCTCTCTCACTTAGCAACATAAATTATGGGCTCCATTGTGGTCGTAAGTTGAGGACTCCCTGCACAGAATTCACTCAGCCACTTCAAATGGCAATAGCGCTCAAGACTTACCGTATTTTCTGGAGTATAAGACGCACCTACCTTTTTTGGTGAGGAAAAGAAGAAAAAGAAATCTCCCTCTGCCTCTGAGCAATTTTGTCTCATTGCAGCAAACAGCAAACAGCCTGTTTTACTTTCATTTTCGTTTTCAACATAGCTTGATTAGCACAAGGGAGAAAAAATTCTGCTCTAGCAATTCACCTCTTTGCAGCAAGCAGCAGAGCCCTGCGCAAAACAGCTGAGAGCAAATCAGCTGAGAGTCGGGAAGCCGATCCAATCACCTTGTGCAAATTAAGCTGTGCTAAGGCTGAAAGGGGCTGTTTTTTCTTGCTGTTTGTTTGCAAGGAGGTAACTGCTGTGAGGCAGAGGCCAAAGGGTGGGGGCCAGTGGGTGGGCAGGGCTACATTCAGTGTATAAAACGCATCTACATTTTCACCCCCTTTTAGGGGGGGGAAAGATACGTCTTATACTCCGAAAAATACGGTATACACTGCTTCACAGTGCTTTACAGCCCTCTCTAAGCGGTTTACAGAGTCAGCCTCTTGCCCCCAACAATCTGGGTCCTCATTTTGCCCATCTCGGAAGGATGGAAGGCTGAGTCAACCTTGAGCCTGGTGAGATTCGAACTTCTAAATTGCAAGCAGCCGGCAGGCAGCAGAAAGTAGCCTGCAGTACCGCACTCTAACCACTGCACCACCTCGGCTCAAACTTTAGCTTGCTACCGTCCCCCTATGACCCACAGCTCCGTTGCTTCTCGCTGAAGAAAGAGTCAGCATACCTTGGGATCAGCCTCCACTTTCCAAAACTTTTTTTTTTTTTTGGAAAGATGCCTCGCCAGTCTCCTCTTCTTACAAAGCACATCCCCAAGATTCACCCGTCCAGGTCCGAGCCTGTGTGGACCGCCTGCATTGCGGACCAGAGCCTGAGAGAAGGGTCACAGGCCAGAGGAGTTTCCCGTTTCCCCCACTCTTCGATGGACGATGGCAGCATTCATGTTTATGCCCACAAAAATGGAGGTGATGCGGTCCGTGATGTTACCATCGACTCTGACGAGGTAAGTCGCAACTCCGAGCCATTCTTCCTTAGGCATTCCTGTGAACAAATGTTCCCCTTTAACGCAGCCGTAGGTTTCAGTTTGGATTGGGAAAAGTGGGGACAGAGAGAAAAATCTCCGAGGAATTCTTGCCATGGGTGATGTGGAATCAAAATGCAGGACCCAAAGCAAATAATCAAGGGTCACCGCGGTATTTATTATAACAGTGCGTGCTGGAGGAATTCTTGCGGACAAAAGGATGTGCTCACATTTCCAGTGGACATTTCATTTTCCCCCCCAAGTTTTTTTATTTTTTTATCTTTTTACAAACATGTCCATGCGTGAACAGTGTGGCACCTGGGTGTCATACCTTCTAATACAAATAAAACTAGTAGAATTAATCATAGTTATAACATTCAACCAACTTACATATTTCTAATAATGATATTAAGTTGCAGTCTGTCATTATTCAATTATTCCAAGTTTTCTCTTGTTGCTTTTATTTTATTATACAAACTTGTATACACTAATATTCCCCCTTCTCTTATTTCTATCTCTTATTCTAACTTTTAATCATGTCACCCCTTTATTAATGGACGTTTTCTTTCTATTCTACCTAACTTCTAGTCATATCACTTACCTAAAAAAAGAAAAGAAAGAGAGAGAAAAGCAAAAGCAAATCAGAACAACAACAACAAAGAGAAATCATCTATCCATTGTCTCTTGCCCGCTTCAATATTTAATTGCTATGCTTTTTTTTTTTTTTTTTGGCTTGCCTCCCATATTCCTCCCTTGGATCTTTATCTCTGTCTGCCTCTGCTTCTTGGCTATTCAATCTAGGTATTTCTCCCACCTCTACCCTTTTCCACTGCCTAGTTTCCAAAATTTCTGCCCAGGCCCCTATCTCCCTTTCAAACTCTCTTAATATATTTTCCCCCTGATTTAATTTATCAGTCTCCAGTGGACATTTCAGAAAGGAGGAGAAGATGATAGTCATTTATAAGTAACAGATGATGTGAGCATAAATATTCATAATTAACAAATCTCAGGTAACTTGCCTGCCCTTCTACTGTTACTAACTTTAAGAAAGAATTATTGTCATAATAAAAGAAGCATATCGGTTGCCACAATTATTTATTTAGCGCATGGCGATGGTACGGTTAGCCAGGAGACTACAATATGAATTGTTGAATATTTTGAAATATCTGTGACAGGTGCTTCGAATGTACAGCTTCTCAGTTTAATATGACTTAACGAAGAACGTTTTTTTACCCAAAACAGCTTGTAACATTTTTTTTTTGGTCCCTGCTCTGTGCCCTCAACCTTTAACATGTCCTCTGTTTCTCCAGAACCAATATATGCCGACAGCAGGACCAAAGACTGTCTCTGCCAAGAGTTCTGTGCCCTGCACGGTGAGAAGCAATTTTATTCTTTTGCAAGATTATACCTCTGAAGTCTCTCCTTGTTTCATGGAGGGAGACTCGCTCACCTGTGAGATACAATCACATCAGGGTTACAGAAGGCGACTTCTGACTCTCCACCGCTTTCGTTTTTTCCTTCCTACCATCAGCTCCTTTCTGGGACTGATTATATTTTAGTTCTAGCCAGAAGGGAAAATTGGGCCAATGATGAATGGTGGAAGCTGCTTAATACCAGATCAGAGTGTCGACCTGTTTAGATCAGTTGTTTTTTAAACATGCTGGCCTAGGGCAAGGGTCCCCAACCCCCATTCTCTGGACTGGCACCAGGCCATGGCATGCCAGTAACTGGGCTGGAAAAACAAGCGAAGCCCCATCTGTGGGATGCAGGCAGCACGTGAAACCACACCCGCTCTGGTCCACGGAAAAAAATGGTGCTGAAAAGGTTGGAGACCACTGGGCTAGGGAATTCTGGGAGTTGAGGTCCACGCATCTTAAAGTTGCCAAGGTTCAGGAAGACTGAATTATATATTGCCCAGAGCTTGTACACCGCTTCTTTAGTGAAAAAAAGCAGAGCCATACTAGAAAGTTAGATTAGATTACCCTGTTTCCCCCAAAACAAGACATCGCCTGATAATAAGCCCAATCGGGTTTTTGAGCGCATGGCAATAAGGCCAAGCGCTTATTTCAGGGTTCTAAAAAATATAAGACAGGGTCTTATTTTCAGGGAAACACGGTAGGTAGGTAAGTAGGTAGGTAGGTAGATAGGTGGGTAGATAGATAGAGATAGAGAGATAGATGATATATATGTATGTATGTATAGATGATAGATCAATAGATGATGGATGGATGGATGGATGGATGGATGGTAGGTAGGTAGATAGAGATGATAGAAGATAGGGAGAGAGATAAATAGATGATATAGATGACAGATACCCTGTTTCCCCCAAAATAAGACATCCCCTGATAATAAGCCCAATCGGGCTTTTGAGCGCATGGCAATAAGGCCAAGTGCTTATTTCAGGTTCAAAATATATATATATACATATATATAAGACAGGGTCTTATTTTCGGGGAAACACAGTAGATTAGATTAGAATTATTTATTGGCCAAATGTGATTGGACACACAAGGAATTTGTCTTGGTGCATACGCTCTCAGTGTACATAAAAGAAAAATACATTCGTCAAAAGTCATAAGGTACAACAATGATAGTCATAGGGAACAAATAAGCAATCAAATCATATTAGGAAACAATATAAATCATAAGAATACCAGCAACAAGGTTACAGTCAGGCAGTCATAAGTGAGAGGAGATGGGTAATAGGAACGATGGGAAGACTAATAGTAATAGTAATGCAGACTTAGTGAATAGTTTGACAGTGTTGAGGGATTGATTTGTTTAGCAGAGTGATGGAGTTCGGGAAAAAAAACTGTCCGTGTGTTTAGTCGTTCTGGTGTGCAGTGCTCTATAGCCTCGTTTTGAGGGTAGGAGTTATCGTTTGTGTTGATGTCTTTCACATTTGATGCTTCCTGACTCAATGTAACTCTGGATTGGTTTTCAGAAGCTGCTACCAGATCCAATTCTGAAGCTGAAGAAGATTATTGGGTTTGGGGGTTGCAGCACCAAATGGGTCAGTATATCCTTATTTAGTTAGCATATTTCTCTCCAGCTGGGGAGAGAAAAACCATGGGTGCCAGTTTGAGCGCCTTAGACGAAAAAAGCAAGATCAACATGCAACATTATAGTGAGACAAGCAGGCTTCCAAGCAAAATGAGACATTATTTTGGGTTGTGATATCCCTCTAGGTCCATGAGGGTGAACCTATGGCACGCATGCTACAGGTGGCACACAGAGCTATCTCTGTGGGTACACGAGTTGTCGCCCTAGGTCAGCTCCACCGCCTGCATGTGCCTCATGCTGGCCACCTGATTTTCAGGTCTCTGGGGAGATATGTGTGGGGGCGGGGGGCTGCGTGTGCATATGCAAGGGGCAGGGAGGTACGGTGGGGGGAATGCGTGCCCCCTGGCCCATTTTGGGCCTAGCAGGCCTCCCTGAAGCCTCCTGGGACAAAAACGGGCCACGGGGGGGGGGACATGCATATGCGTGGGGCCGGGGGGCATGGGGGGGTTGCGCGTGCATGCATGGGGGCGGGGCGCTCGGGGGGGCATTGCGTTATGGATAGGGGCACACTTTCGGCACCCGAGGTAAAAAAGGTTAGCCATTACTGTTCTAGGTCTTGGAATAGCATACAAGAATTGATTGATTGATTGATTGATTGATTGATTGGTTCGATTTATATGCCGCCCTTCTCCGGAGACTCAGGGTGGCTTACAATGCATTAAGCAATAGCCTGCATACTTTTGTATATATCTGCTTAGTAGGGCTTTCGGCCCCCACAAGCGGTGTTCTTTTTTATACAAAGTCAGTTTATTGCCCCCACAATCCGGGTCCTCATTTTGCCTACCTCGGAAGGATGGAAGGCTGAGTCAACCTTGAGCCTGGTGAGATTTGAACTCGCAGTAATTGCAGGCAGCTGGCAGCTAAGTGCTACTTAACAGCACTTTAGTCCGCTGCACCACCAAGGTGCACCAAGAAGCCATTGTTTGCAAAACTAATAGATTAAAACCAGGGTAAAGCTTACATATCACCTCCAATTAAACCTAGTTTGTATGATTCATTCTGGTAACATATGCGACATTGTTCATTTTATATCTTATTCAAAATGACAAGTTAGAGATTGAGAGGCACCTGCGTTCCATTTGGGCATCCCAGCAGCCCCAGGGCTTCAGAAAGGGCACCTCTATTATGAAGGTTCTAACGTTTTCTTCTTTTTTTTCCCTCACCCAGGCATTGTGGGCTTCTGGCAGTGCTGTAGTGGTCTACCCTTGCCATGCTCTGATTGTAGCCATAGCAATTGATTCTGGCAAACAGACGTTTTTTGCTGGCCACACCGACAAGGTATTTCCTTCTCCTTTTGTCTTAACGTAAAAGTCATTCCAAATATAGCCATGTCTCTAACATGGAAAGGATGCAGTACGGAAAATGTCTAGACATTTGTTTCTTAAAGCAGGTAACTTTTAAGATTTGTAGATTTCAACTCCCAGAATTCCCCAGCCAGCACTTGGGGAATTCATATTAGCTACTCACCTGATTTTTTCTATCCATTTTCACGCGTTTGTCTTGATTTTCGGAATGCCGTCAAATCAGCATCTGCCTTTTCTAGTATTTTTATTGCAGATCTTTTTTTGTTCTTGCCCTGGTATCCTTGCATCTTTTTGATTCGGGTGTGACCTAACTTCCCCATGCTTGCTGGAAACCCTTGGCACAGACAGTGACCCGATTTATTTTGCAGGTGGCGGCACTGGCGTTCAACAACAAAAGCACTTTGCTGGCATCCGCGCAGACAGGAGAAATGAGCGTGATGCGTCTCTGGGACTTCCCAAGCGGGAAGTGCCTTTGCGTCTTTAAAACTGGGATCCAGTCCATCTCGTGCCTCAGGTAAAGGCCGGACACCTCGGAAAAAAGGGGTGGGGGAGAATGTAAGATGGAACACATCTTACACATCTCGAACACATCGGTGTGTTTGTTCTTACCTAAGCTCCCTTAACAGGCAGGAAGTAGAAATTGGTGCCAGCAAAACCTTTTATTTACACGACTGTGAATTATGTTCATTCACAGTCAGCAAGGTTTGTCCAGACAGTTTTGCAAAGGAATATTTATCAACACAGACCTTATCTCACTTGGAAAGCTGCCACGTAACTTGTTTCCAACCGCAGTACAAGGCAAAACCTGGCACAGAGTCTCTCAGAGTCACGGAACGAACAAATTGTTTCCTGCAAAAGCCCACTCCCTGTTCGCTCCTCTTTTGTTTCCTATGGGAGGGGCCAATCACCTCCAAGGTGTAGCTTTACTCCCGAGTCGACCCTGCTTTCAGAGTTGTTCTTGTCTTCTGGCAGCTCTGTGCATGCGCGCACTGACTCTGCCTCGCTGCTTAGTGTTGTGGTCCGCCAGCAGCCTGCGGAGCTGGCAGCGGAGTCGGACAGCGATGAGGCTGAGGAAGAACATGGGCCAGTCCTGGAGTCTGGGGAAGGCTTGGATGAGGGCTCTGCATCGGAGGCAGAAATGGGGCCAGGGTCATTGGGAGTGATGTGCAGACTCCAGAGCCTCCAGAGGCTGATAGTAGAGAGGCAGAGGAACAGGAGGAGCCTGTTCCTAGTGTGCGTATGAGAAGAGCTGCCAGAAGGCAAGAGCAGCTACAGCAAAGAGGACGACTCGGGAGTAGGGCCAAGAGATGATTGGCCCCTCCCATAGGGCTTAAAAGACCAGCAAAGGCTCTTGGGCTCTTTGTCAGAAAACAACGTTGATAGACTTGTTCTTGTCTTGTTGCACTTATCTCTGGTCGGGGTCTTCTGCTTCTGAACTTTTGCCAAGAGAAGCTTTGGCAGTTTGCCTAATTATACCAAGGTCGGTGATAAGACTGAAGAATTTGTGTTATGAAGAATTTGTTTTAATTTGGTAGTTTGGACTACGCTGAGAATGAGTTAATTTTCAGCTGTTCTAATAAAGTCTGTTTTGGAACTGTTTGTGTCTGATAATACCTACTTGGGCCTGGGTCACAACACTTTCTAGCTCCCCCTCTGCCTCCAACACAAAGCCCTCATCCGAGCCTTTCCCAGACTCCAGGACTGGCCCATGTGCCTCCCGAACCTCCTCACTGTCTGACTTTGCTGCCAGCTCTGCTGGCCGCCGGCGGGTCACAACAGTGTTGAGGGGGCTGAGGATACCAAGTGTGGCTTTTTTTTATCATGGAACAGCCTTCCAATAGATATTAGTTTGGCCTCTGTGTGAGCGCCCTTTGGAAGCTTTTGAAAACCAAATATGGCTCTTGGAGAATGAACATTTGCCATTTTTACACAAAGTTGTTTTTTTTTTTAATATGTTGTCTATGGAGGTTCTTATTCATCCAGATCATGGTTGTCCCAAAGGTGCTTTTATTTTAAAGGCAACTGGACTTTCTGATTTCTTTACCTGTTATTAGCTATCATGTTAATTCAATTCAAATCCTCATTGTCAGTGCACAACATAGGTACAATGAGATTGGTGGAACTCCCTCAGTGCAACCCCCCCAACCAGGGGTGAAATGCTCCCGGTTCGGACTGGATCGCCTGATCCGGTAGCGATGGCGGCGGGTGGTTCGGAGAACAGGTAGCAAAAATCGCTGCCCCCCCCTCCTGCCCAGCTGAGTCACGCGATCATCAGAGCCTTTTTTTTTTTAATTTTTAAAAGCATTTTTTCTACAACCTCTTCGTCCGAAGAGATTGTAGAAAAAATGCTTTTAAAAGTAAAAAAAAAAAAAAAAAGTTGGCCACACCCACCCAGTCACATTAAGCCCCCTACCAAACCACGCCCACAGAACCGGTAGTAACCAATTTTACATTTCACCACTGCCCCCAACACAATACAATTCACAGTGAAGACAGAAAATCCCTAACCCAATAAATCATGTTAACAAAACCCCCAGTCCTATTGCACCAGTGTGAACATGTTACACGTTGCGCCGGCCTGCAAGTCCATCGTACTACGTAGTTATGATGCTATTTCTCATTCAGGAGTCTGACAGCCCACGGATAAAAACTGTTCTTCAGCCTGTTTGTGCGGCTGGCTATGCTTCTAGATCTCCTTCCCGATGGTAGGAGGATAAAGAAGTGGTGACCGGGGTGAGAGTCGTCCCTGAGGATTTTCCTCACTCTTCTAAAGGCAGCGAGCCCTAGCGATCTCATGTAGTGATATCAGGGGGCAGCCCAAGATGTTTTGGGCTGTGCTCACCACCCTCTGTAATGTTTTTCTATCCGCGGCTGTCAGATCAGCGTGCCATACCATGATGCAATAAGTGAGGATGCTTTCTATTGTGGACCGGTAAAAGGAGATCATCAGTTGTTCCATCCTGTTTTTACGCAAGACCCCAAGATCCTTTAATGGCTCTTCTTGTATTTTGTTGTTTTTATTTACTGGGGGACATTTTATTGTGTTTTAGTATGTTGTTGCAAGCCACTGCAATTTCGAAGGCCTGGCTGCATACATAGACAATAAAAGAAACCATGAATCAGTGAATGAATCAATGAATGAATGAGTTCTAGATTTGGTGGTGAAGAATTCATTGAATGGTCTGCATTGAGTTTCCTTGGAAGAGGAAACTCAATGATCTTTCGACAGATCAAATTCTCTGCCTGCCTACATCTCCATTATCTGTCCTGACAGGCAGTGGCTTCTCCAATTCTTAAGCTATAACACCCATCAGTAGCTTATTTTTACTTAAGTAAAAATGATGGACTCTACTTGGCATTTTTCTCCCCAGTTTTTCATACAGTGGAAATGTCCTTTGTGGCACCGGGAAGGACAAACGCGGGAAGACGGTAAGTAAATTGGCATTTTGTTTGTAGAACATAAGAAGGTATTGAGGGTTTTCCTCACTTCACTCACTTACTTCTTTTATAATGTTACCTCAAAGATCTCTATGGGACATCTATAGCTCCCAGGATCTGCAGAGGTATCTCTAGCCTTTCCCAGTTCCCAGACATGGTTTGTATGGTGGTTGAGGACTTGGGAAACAACGTTGAGGGCCGAAAAAGATTCCCTCTCTGTGCCAAAGCGGTTGAGTATTTTTTATGATTTGTGCTTTTAGTGACTTGATTTGTGACTTGCTCATAGTTAACTGGTTTGTGAATTGATTTAACTGTCAGTTGGTGTCAACTAAAGTCAAGGAAGATGCATAATTGGTTCTGGAGTGGAGGAACGGAATCCTGGTCATGTATTCTTCATCCCATCTACTTCTTCCCAGAGATCAAAACACACTAGATTTCTCATGGCTGAAGATCTCTTCCCAGGCAGAACCTTGATTCCAGTAGAATTTTTTCAAAATTATTAGAGTTGCTTTCCTTTCTGTATTTGCTCTGGACAGAGATGGAGCTGTCCAAGTGCTGATATCTTCCCATCTTTTCATACGTTAGATTGCCTATAGATACAGTTGCTCCAAGATGCTATTTTTTCTGATTAACAACATTTATAGCTCAGGTTTAAACTGCAGGATCCTTGATGGTCTCTGAGTTTGGTTGTTTTCTTGCAGATGTTTCATTACTCAACTAATGTACTGACAGTATTACTTCATCTGAATTTAGCTTTCCAGCACTGATGGAACCACAAGACTCCTATCCCCATCAAAATATTCTAAAATGGCACTACTTTGCAGCTAATTCATTTCTGTTTTTTCAGATCCCAGTGTTCCTTTTCATTTTTAGGGTTTAGAGCAGCATTCAAAATATCGTACCTGTGTTTTCCCGAAAATAAGACCCTGTCTTATATTTTTTTTTGCTACCAAAAAAGGCACCAGATCTTATTTCTGGGGGATGTTGTCCACTGACTCACCTCTCTTGCGCGCGTCGCCCCCGGCCTCCTTTTTGCTGTCAGAGGCTTTCAGGAACTTCTTCTGTGGCCGGCAAGGCTTTCCTGAAGGCCTCTGCAGCCGATCAATCCGGAGCTCTGTTATCGGCTGCAGAGGCCTTTAGGAAAGCCTTGCCTGCCTTTCTGGCTGCAGAAGAAATGGGCCAGCAAGGCAGATGATGGGGTATATGAGACCTGGCTGCAACTGTCCAAAGGTAAGTAGTAGGGCAGCTCCACCCCTCCATCCCCACCCTGCAGCCAGCAAGGCAGGCAAGGCTTAATTTTTACCCGTGCACCCTGGAGTGGGTGGGGTCTTAATTAGGTCTTATTTTGGGGGGTAGGTCTTATATTGGGCACACGTGTAAAAATCAAGCTAGGACTTTACTTTCAGGGTAGGTCGTATTTTCGTGGAAACACGGTAAGTTTGCATTACTTTGAATCAGCTGTGAAGATCCCGAATCTTCTCTCCATTGACAAACCAGGAAGAATCCAAGTATTGACTTGTCACCATAGCCAGGCATTTACCCTTTGTTAGACAGACAATTGCTGTCCCGCGGTCTCCTTAAGGGGAGCAGCCGCCCAGAGCATATGTGGGCAATCTCATCCTCTCCTTATCCAGAGAGGTTCCAAAGAACCGGTTTACTCAGTGGTCCTTTGGTCTTTGCCAGCTCTTTGCCGAGATGTCCTCAGTCCACCCTTCTTTCCTTGAAAGTTCCGAGCTAAGATATTTCTTTAAAACCCTTAATTCTGAGCTTGGTTAAAGAAGAATGAATTTGGGCGTTGTAGAAGGATTTCAGTGGTAGATTTGATCAGGCTTGTCCAGTCAAGGAAAGATCACTCTAGTTGTTCCGTGCTCTCTTGGCAGTTGGTGGTGGTGTGGAACACCATGCAGGTGAATCGTGGAGGAGAAGTGGTCATGCTGGCCAAAGCTCACACAGATGTGGACATTCGGGCCTTCAAGATTGCCTTTTTTGACGATACCAGGTAAAGAACCGCTTGTTCTTCTTGGGGCTAAACGGCCATCCTTGCAAGGAGAGCTTGCAAAAGAGTCTTCGAATCAGCTCTTCAGGAAACCGAGTTGCTTATATGTACAGGCCACAGAAGCCAGCCTGTTATTTACTCTCTGAGCCTTTTCTTACGCACTGTGTTGCATCGTAGCTGGTGGAGCTATTGAAGGAGTCTTTCATCGGAAACTGATCAGCATCAAGATGCTGAGTCCAGGCCAAACAGCAAACCAGAGTGACTCAAGAGGGAAGGAAGGGAAAGTTGTATATCACGACTACTATGCTTATGTGAATTCAGATTGACATCCAAGCTGGAAAGCTGTGCTAGATAAAGTTCCCTCCCTCCCTCCTATTCTTTCTTTTCCTTCCTTCCTTCCTTCCTTCCTTCCTTCCTTCCTTCCTTCCTTCCTTCCTTCCTTCCTTCCAGCCCTCCCCTGTTCTGACCTAGGCTTCCTTAGAAAGTATAAAGCACAATCTTGGTTCCGCAAAACTTCTTTTTTTATATGACTGTAAATTACTTTCATTTACCGTCCGCAAGGCTTGATAAACAGTCTTTCGGGGAAGGTTATCAACACCCACCAATCTCACGTGGAATGCTGCCAGAGAGCTAATTTCCAGACTCAGGGCAGGACCAAACTTGGCACAGAGTCCCAAACAGAATTTTCAAATCTTGAACCGGCCAGATGAACTAAATTGTTTCCTGCAAAAGCTCACGTCTCGTTCGCTCTTCTGTTATGTCTTATGGAAGGGGCCAATCATCTCCAAGCCTTACTCCCAAGTTGACCCTGTTTTCTTAATTGTTCTTGTCGTCTGCATGCACACACTGGGAACAGGCTCCCGCTGTTCTGCCTCGCTGATGTCAGACTCCGGAGGCTGCACATAATTATCAGATGGCCTTGGCTCCCTCTCTGCCTCCGATGCAGAGCCCTCGTTCGAGCTTTCCCCAGCTCCCAGGACTGGCCCAAGTTCCTCCCCAACCTCCTCACTGTCCGAATCTGCTGCCAGTTGCACTGGCCGCCAGCGGGCCACAACCTCCCCTTCTTTTCTCCCTCCCATATCATCTCAATTTCCTCCTTCCTTCCTTTCCTCCCTCCCTCCCTCCCTCCCTCCCTCAAGACACGAAGGAACAATCCTTTCTCATCCTGTACCCTGACTTCTCTTACCACAGGATGGTATCGTGTGGCCGTGACAATGTGAGGCTGTGGCGGATCCAAAGCGGGGCTTTGCGTTCCTGCCCCGTGAATTTGGGCGAATACCGTTCTCTGGAGTTCACAGACCTGGCCTTTGAGGTCGGCCACTCCACCCAGCGTGAGCCCGAGGACCGGACGCTGTGAGAAACTGTTTTCCTTTCTTCTGCTAAGACAAAGAATGATGTTTCAAGGCAGCTTCTGGCTGTCTTTCTTTAGAAGGCGGATCAACAGGACTGTGATCCTGATATCTTAGCAAGGACGTTAAGCTTCATTCCTGCCTTTGCTGGAGGTTGTTTTGGACTTTGATTGACATCTCGATTTATGCTGAAAGTAACTCATTTTGGTTGACGGGTGATTCAGCTAATATTTCACTAATGGATTGATTCACCTATCAATTTAACTGTTGGGTTGTACATACAGCTTCCATATAAAAGTTTCTGGCACTGAAGAGATAAGTGCCAGAATAACAAAAGGGTATATCTAGTGTAATGAAAAGAAGGATTAGGGGAGACATGATAGCAGTGTTCCAATATCTCAGGGGCTGCCACAAAGAAGAGGGAGTTAAGCTATTCTTCAAAGCATCTGAGGGCAGGACAGGAAACAATGGGTGGAAATTAATCAAGGAGAGAAGCAACCTAGAACTAAGGAGAAATTTCCTGACAGTTAGAACAATTAATCAGTGGAACAACTTGCTTCCAGAAGTTGTCAATGTTCCAACACTGGAAGTTTTTGAGAAGAGATTTGACAACCATTTGTCTGAAATGCTATAGGGTTTCCTGCCTAAGCAGGGAGTTGGACTAGAAGACCTCCAAGGTCCCTTCCAACTCTGTTATTCTATTCTATTCTAAAAGTAAAGTTAGTTTTACACTTAATTATTTCAGCAAGGACAATTGTTTCAGCAAGGAAATCTACACAGGTTTTTTTTCCTCTTTTTTTCTCCTGCCTCTTTTAGCAGGGAAGTATAGGATGTTGCTCCATAACCTAGTTCCATAGGGATCTTGACATTGGTTTATATAATGCAATGTCTATTTACGGAAAAATTATTTTTTCACCTCCGTTATCAGAGTGACCTAGTGGTGACACAATAGCCACAAGCGAGAACTGATTTAAGCATTAAAACCATCCCTCCCTCCCTCCCTTTCTTCCTTCCTTCCTTCCCTCCCTAGGTTTGTTTGCAGCAGAAGTGGGCACGTTTTAGAAATTGACTACAAGAATGTCACTGTCAAAAATGTCCGTCGCCTTCTGCCCTTGGAGACGGGACCCGTTTCTCAGCGGGAGAAGCAAGCTTTTAATTCAGGTATGAGCTCGTGCTTCTGGGAACCTTTCAGGCGCTCAGTTATCACAGCCATTTCTAATTTAACCCTTTTCTAATCCTAACTCTTCAGAAGTTGTGGGAGCTTCATCACTGGAAGTTTTCAAGAAGAGACTGGACTGCCATCTGTCAGAAATGGTGCAGGGTGTCCTGCCTGGGCGGGGGGTTGGACTAGATGACCTACAAGGTCCCTTCCAACTCTATTAATCTGTATCTGAATCTGTAACTTTGGGAGGCCAGTGAACGTGTTAGACTCGTATGGGTGTGTCATTGGATACTCTCATTAAGTCTCTACCCTCTTAACTTACATTTTTGACGGGCATTAAGGGTACTTTAGGCAAATAGATGGGGAAGAAATGGAGGTAGTGACAGATTTTATTTTCCTGGGCTCCAAGATCACCGTAAATGGGGACTGCAACCAAGAAATTAAAAGACGCTTGCTCCTGGGCGGGAAAGCTATGGCAAATCTAGACAGCATTCTAAAACGCAGAGACATAACCCTGCCAGCAAAAGTGCATATAGTCAAGGCTGTAGTTTTTGCAGTTGCAATGTATGGCTGTGAAAGTTGGACCATAAGGAAGGCTGGAGCCAAAGAATTGAGGCCTTTGAACTCTGGTGCTGAAGGAGACTCCTGCGAGTCCCTTGGACTGCAGGGTGATCCAACCAGTCAGTCCTAGAGGAGATCAACCCTGACTGCTCTTTAGAAGGCCAGATCCTGAAGAGGAAACTCAAATACTTTGGCCACCTAATGAGAAGGAAGGACTCCCTGGAGAAGAGCCGAATGCTGGGAACGATTGAGGGGAAAAGAAGAAGGGGACGGCAGAGAACGAGGTGGCTGGATGGAGTCACTGAAGCAGTCGGCGTGAGTTTAAATGGACTCCAGAGGATGGTAGAGGACAGGAAGGCCTGGAGGAACGTTATCCATGGGGTCACGATGGGTCGGACACGACTTCACAACTAACAACAACAAAAGGGTACTTTTCCAAACAAAACACAGTCTTCAGATGGAGCTTTTTTTTTACTGTTGGCCTTCTGTAAAAAAAAAAATGAGTAATTTGATTTAGAGGAGCCCAGAAGAACATCTAAAAATATCTCCAGAGGATAAACAGTTTTTGAAAAACGAATTTACACTCAAGGCTGACACCTCCCTTTGCAGAATATTAGCTAATAGAGTAGTCCTCGACTTACGGCCACGTTTGAACCCAGCATTTCTGTTGCTAAGTGAGACAGTTGTTAAGTGAGCTTTGCTCCATTTTGTGACCTTTCCTGCCACCGTTGTTAAGAGAATCGCTGCAGTTGGACAGTTAGCAACACTGTTATTACGTAAATCTGGCTTCCCTGTTGACTTTGCTTGTCAGAAGGTCGCAAAAGGGGATCACGTTACCCCGGGACACTGCAACCATCATAAATGTGTCATAAATGCGAGCCAGTTGCCAAGAACCTGAATGGGGCAGAATGCAGAAGGGGGATGCTGCAAAAGTGTTGTGGCCCGTCAGCGACCTGTGTTTCTACACAGAATCTGTGTAGCTGATTCCGACAGCGAGGAGGCTGATGTGGTGCTGCGCCAGCAGCCTGTGCTGCTGGCGCTCGAGTTGGACAATGAGGAGGCTGGAGAAGATGTGCGGGGATTCAGCCAGGGCCTTCAGAACCTCCAGAAGTTCCCTTAACTGAAGAGGAAGAAGAGGAGGAGCCTCTTCTCGATGCACGGGCACACAGAGCTGCCAAAAGGCAGGAGTGGCTCCTCAGGAGGAGGTCTCCTCGAGAGTAAGGCTTGGGGCTAATTGGCCACTCCCTTAGCCTATTTAAGGAAGGATGACGACTGAGACAATTTGCAGGAAACAACTTCATTCATATTCCTTCGCATCTTGATTCCAGAAACGTTTGATTCGGCTCGTTTCTCTCTTGTCAGTTTTCCTGCAAATTGCTTCTGGGCATTCTGCCAACCACAGTAAGATTACGGTTATCTGAAATACTGTGCCTCAGAATTGAGTTATTATTCTTTGGATTCTTGTCACTGTTAATGAAGTTAAATTAACAGCCCTTGTTCAGAAAAGACTGATTTAAACTACCTGTGTGCGAACAACTACTAAGAAAGCTCATTAGTAGTCCTTAATTAGTAAACTAAGGTTTGTACGGACTTTGTGTGTGCTGCGTTCTTTGGGGTCTTAGGTGTGAAAAACAGTCATAAGTCTCTTTTTTCACTGCTGTCGTAACTTTGAATGGTCACTAAACAAATGGTCGTAAGTCAAGGACTATCTGTATTTTATAGAATAGAATAGAATAGAATAGAATAGAATAGAATAGAATAGAATAGAATAGAATAGAATAGAATATTGGAATGAAGAATGGAATGGAATAGGATAGGATAGGATAGGATAGGATAGGATAGGATAGGATAGGATAGGATAGGATAGGATAGGATAGGATAGGATAGGATAGGATAGGATTCTTTATTGGCCAAGGGTGATTGGAATTTGTCTTCAGTGCATATGCTCTCAGTGTACATAAAAGCTATAAGTGATAAATCATGATCACAGTCATGAAATAAAATAAATCATCAGACCACTGGTACTCATGGATGCCATATTGGAGATTTGGAATTTACAACGTTGGCAATGCTATTAACTGGTGGGATCCTGAAAAAGAAATTCTGTTTTAAATTGGGCTGTATTTTCCTAGGCTCGGATGGCTTCTTAGCGGAGGCAGAAGCGTCATCAGTTCTTGGGTCAAAAAAGAGAACAGTGGTCTTTGGCTGAACCCTGAAGTCTCTTTCTTACAGACTTATTGAAGAGAAGGGGTTTTGTTTTGGAGTAGTTGTAGAATGTTATCCGACAGGGTCTTAACTAAAAAGGGCTTCAGATATCAAGGATCAATTAGAGATGGAGTGGTGGGGGTGGGGTGGAGATTCAAGCACTGGCAGCTGTTGTGTCTTAGAGCATCCTGGATTTCTGGTTTGTTTGTTTTTCCCCCACCTCCAGGCCCTGGGATATCCCTAAACAGCATTTGCCTCTCTTCAAGTTTCTGTGCCACTGCCTCGGACGATGGCTACCTGCGACTGTGGCCATTGGACTTCTCAGAAGTCTTCCTGGAGGCAGGTACGTAGAGCTTAAAGATCACAAAGTAGGTAGATCTTCCGTTCAGGAGATCAACTGGAGATGCCTCTGGAAAGGTAAGAAATGACACCAGAGGACATACACTTGCTCCTATGAGAGTGTCCCAAAGGTGCTTTTTCAAGAGGCAACTGGACTTTCTGGTTTTTCTTTGAAGACGTTTCCCTTCTCATCCGAGAAGCTTCTTCAGTTCTGACAGGATAGTGGTGGGGTGGAAGGATTTATACTCCTTGCAGACAGCTGGTCATTTGCATCCTTTTAGAGGGACGTTGAAGCACTTGGAGGTTTATCTGTGTCTTCAGAGTCACCTGAGTTAGCACTCCTTGTTCCTGTAGTCTGCAGTTTTTCCTCTGGAAATCCATTCCTACTCCCACACCATTCACAGTGATTCACATTCACAGACCATTACTTGGTCTGTTGTGTCGATGTTTGGGTGGTTTAGGGGTGGGGAATTTGTGGTGTGTGTGTGTGTGTGTGTGTGTGTGTGTGTGTGTGTGAGGATTGCCTCTCCTCCCAACTTAAGAAAGTAAAAACACTTGAAACGTAGTATTTCAAAAGGACCCTTTTATTAAGCAGAAGTAACAGCAATGGATTCAAAGCAACATCTGAATACCCTTAGGCAAGACAAGTAGGATTAAAGCAATAGAGACCCCTCCCTTAAGTCAGAATGCAGATCTTAGCCAATACACAAGTGTGAGGATGTTTTTTTTTACCAGCTGCCCTGAGAACCGAATAAGTATGTATTCACATCGTTTCTCCTTTATTCTTTAAAGTGAAACAGCCCACATGGCTGTCATAAACATTCCTCAACATTAAGGGGATCTCAGGGCTCTTTGGTGCCAGGATATAGGTTTTAAAATATCTGTTGACACAAGCAATGCTAGTAAATCGAATCCAAGTCTCCCCCTTCTCCCAACTGAATGGCAGTATCACTTTTAGGGATCTGACAGTGTGTTTGAGGATTGTTATGTGTGTTGGACCTGATCTTTGGATGTTGTGAATTTCGTTGTATGGGTATACTGTGTATACACGCACAATGACAATAAAATTATTATTATTCTCTTTTATTCATTAAAAATGAAACTCAGTCAACTGGACATTTTAAAATGTGTCACAAATACCATTGACTGCCGCTAATGGCTGATATGGCCACTTCCGGCTGGCCCCGCCCCCGTCTATTCTCTGCCTCCCGAGTCCCAGCTGAAATGGGGATTTTGCAGTATCCTTCCCCTGGAGTGGGGTGGGAATGGAGATTTTACAGTATCCTTCCCCTGCCACGACAACCAAGCCATGCCACGCCCACAGAACCAGTAGTAAAAAATTTTGAATCCCACCACTGCTTACCATCTTATCCCGTCCCATCCTACCTCACCTCATCTCATCTCACTTCATCTCATTTTTCTTATTTGCATCATCACCAATAAACTCCAGATGTCTCACTGTTCCCTTTGCCCGGTGAATCTAACCATGTCACCCGAATGCTGACTAAGCTGGCATCTTTCTTCCAGAGCACAACAATCCAGTGAGTTCGGTTCGAATCAGCCCAGACAATCTGAAGGTTTTGTGCACCACCACCACTGGGAACGTGGGCTGCCTGGACATCCAGTCGAGGAATTACAGCACCATCATGAGATCTCATGTGGGCACGGTCTTGGCCTTTTCAGTGGACAGTTCCCAGAAACAGCTGGTGACGGTGTCCGAAGACAATACCATTCGCATCTGGAATGTCGAATCTATGCAGCAGGTGATTTCGGAACTTCTTTCAGCAGAACAAACACACACAAATACACACACTCCTTTGTGGCACCTTAAAGATTAACATTGTTTTAACAATAGATGTTTCTTTTTGGAAGTTAGAATAGAATAGAATAACCGAGTTGGAAGGGACCTTGGAGGTCTTCTAGTCCAACCCCCTGCTTTGGCATGAAACCCTTTACCATTTCAGACAAGTGGTTGTCCGATCTCTTCTTAAAAACTTCTAGTGTTGGAGCATTCACAACTTCTGGAGGCAAATTGTTCCATTGATTAATTGTTCTGACTGTCAAGAAATTTCTCCTTAGTTCTAAATTGCTTCTCTCCTTGATGAGTTTCCACCCATTGCTTCTTGTCCTGTCCTCAGGTGCTTTGGAGAATAGCTTGACTCCCTCTTCTTTGTGGCAGCCCCTGAGATATTGGAACACTGCTATCATGTCTCCCCTAGTCCTTCTTTTCATCAAACTAGATATACCCTTTTGTTATTCTGGCACTTATCTCTTCAGTGCCGTAAACTTTTATATGGAAGCTGTATGTACAACCCAACAGTTAAATTGATGGGTGAATCAATCCATTAGTGAAATATTAGCTGAATCACCCATCAACCAAAATGAATTGCTTTCAGTATAAATCGAGATGTCAATGAAAGTCCAAAACAGCTAAGATACCGTGATCATAGCCCTGTTGATCCGCCTTCTAAAGAAAGACAGCCCCTTTATGGCAGCCCCTGAGATATTGTATCATGTCACCCTTCTTTTCATCAAACTAGACATACCCAATTCTAGCAGCCGTTCTTTATATGTTTTAGCCGCCAGTCCCCTAATTATCTTTGTTGGTCTTCTCTGCCCTCTTTCTAGAGCAGGGGTTAGCAACCTGCGGCTCTGGAGCCGCATGTGGCTCTTTCATCCATCTACTGCAACTCCCTGTCGCTCAAAATATGAGTCACAACTGCCAATGTGCGACACCTAGCAATGCACAATTTATTAAGCTTTTCGACCCCTGGTAGGTCAACCATGGATAAATCCAAGAAAAGAAAAGTTTCAGAAGAAAACAGAACCTTTAATTCAACTACATATGCTAGTTTTGTGGCTGCTCAAGAAATAGTCAGGCATGGGAAGAGTTTTGTAGCTCCCAGTGTTTGTTTGTTTTTCTGTGGGAAATGGGTCCAAATGGCTCTCTGAGTGTTTAAGGTTGCCAACCTCTGTTCTAGAGTCTCAACATCTTTTTTACATCGTGACCACCAAAACTGGATCTAGTATTCCTTATTTGTGAGGCCTTGTGAGGTTCCTCACTTGTGAGGCTTTGTGAGGTTCCTCACTTGTGAGGTCTTGTAAGGTACCTCATTTGTGAGGCCATGTGAGGTTCCTCATTTGTGAGACCTTGTGCGGTTCCTTATTTGTGAGGCCTTGATCTAAGACACAAGACTAACACCTGGATCATTTCCTTCTGCTGCCTCCATCTCACCTGGGTACCACTTTATCCCCTTACAGCTTTATGAATTCACGGCCTCTGATGAAATTCCGTGCGCTGTGGTGTTTCATCCCTTGCAACCTATTTTTGCTTGCGGTTTCGACACTGGCATGGTCAGGACCATCAGCTTGGCTGCCTCAAGACTTCTTGAAGAACACAAGTAAAGCCTTTGTGAAATTTCCTAGTTAGGTTTTGAATGTTTTGCATGCACGCAACAGAAGGGGGACTGATTTGAAAGGGAATATATTTCTCCGGAGGGGAAAAAAAATGAAATAAATACCGATATTAGCCTGTAATGCGGTAAAGAAAAACAGGAAAACAAATGTGCTGATTTAAGAATGATCCATTCACTTAGCAGTATTTGGAGAGCTACGTCAAATGTTAAGTACAGGTCCTCATTAGCGACCTCACCTGGGACTGACGATTTGGTCATGAAGCGAAGTGGTTGCTAAGTGAAACTGTAAACCATGCTTACAATCTCATTTCAGCTTTCCCTTGTTTACAGACCTGTGAAGATTGTAAATGTGAGGAGTGGTTGCAAAGTTACTTCTTTTATCACTGTCGTAACTTGGAACAGCCGCTAAACGAGGACTACCTGTATCACAACATTTCTGTTTCTTATTTATCTTATTTATATAAAATATTCAACATGGCCACTCAGCTCAAACGACAAGACTCTGGGCAGCATCCGAAATCATTATACAAAAATAGAAAAGAAAAATAGCACATGCCACTAGAGCAAACTAAAATAATTATACAGTGATTAAAATTAAACTATACTATACGTCACCAATGGGGAGTTAACCCAAATGCTTGGAGAAAGAGACACATTTTTATCATCTTTCCAATGGCAGATGTTCTTCTTTTTACAACAAATAACTCAACGAGCATCACACAACTCTAAAAAATATACTATAGTGGACTTGGATCGCGGGGAAGCATGGGGAGGAAATCCTGATTCAAATCTTATTGATTAAATAGCTCCCTGGGTGAGTTTGAACAAGTTGCTTTCTGGCCAATAACTACAGGTAGTCCTCGTCTTATAATAATTCACTTAGTGACCATTCGAAGTTACAACAGCACTGAAAAAAGTGACTTATGACCGTTTTTCATATTTATGACCATTTTTAACACTTACGACCATTGTAGCATCCATCTTCATGTGATTTACATTCAGATGCTTGGCAACTGACTCACATTTAAGATGAATGCAGTGTCCCAGGGTGTGTGTGTGTGTGTGTGTGTGTGACATGATCCCCTTTTGCGACTTTCTGACCAGCAAAGTCAAAGGGGAATCCAGATTCACTTAACAACGCTGTTAACTAATTAAAAAACCCGCTATGATTCACTTAACAACTGTGACCAAAAAAAAGTCTTAAAATGGGGCAAAACTCACTTAACAGATTTCTCCCTTAGCAACAGAAATTCTGGGCTCCATTATGGTCGTAGGTTGAGGGCTACCTGTGCCAGGATTGTTATGGGCTTAGAACGAAGGAGACAAACCCAAATGCTTTGCGCTTGTGGGATATAAAGGCAATTGTTTTTGTCATCCGCTAGTTTCATTCTTCACGTTCATTCCTCATTTTACCTTTTTGTTTGGGGGCAACTATTGGACAGGCAGCACCGGGGTCTGATCACGGGTCTGACCTTCTCTCCAGATGGCAATTTCATGTACAGTTCCTGCACGCACGGGACGCTGAGTCTTTATAACTGCGCCATCCAGAAAAGTCACACTGTACGAGTGTTAGGTAAGCGTTCTACTCTACATCTGTGTCCTAAGGTGGGACTTTACTATAGGTCAGTAATGGCTAACCTTTTTTTCCTCAGGTGCCGAAGGGCACACGTGCGTGCCCACGCCCATAATGCGCTCCCCCCATCCTCTGTGCATGCACATGCAACACTACTACCCCGCACTCCCCCGCCCCATTTTGGGCCTAGCAGGCCTCCTTGAAGCCTCCTGGGACCAAAAATGGGTCGCAGGGGGAGGGCTGTATCCCCCCTGCCCCCATGCATGGACGCATGTCTCCCGCATGTGCGGCAGAGACCCAAAAATCAGCTGTCCGGTGGGAGGTGTGCCATAGGTTAACCATCATAGCTATAGGTGCTCCTCAATGTTAGAGTTTGCAGCAGTCAAACCAGCACACAAGTAAATAATTCAGCAGGTTTCATTTATAGAAGAAACTTATTTATATACAATAATATAAAACATGATGCATGTATACAATACCCATGCAGCACAAGCCAGAACCAGAATTCAGAATCCAGAAGCACAGAATCATATAAACGCTAATCCAAGGACAAACTAACTCTTATATACAGACCAGTTAAGCTAAGCTACGCCCAGGCTCTGAGCCGTCTCCCATGGTTCACAACAGATCCTGTTTCTTAGTCACAAACATTTTCCCATTGGCTGACTTGTTGTTATGGCTATCCCAGCTCACAATTTCTTATACATTGACACACAACTTATTACCAGTCACTCAGCGACCATTTGAAGTTTCAGTGGACTCCCCCAAAAAAGCCACTTAAGTTCTGGCGTTCCAATAATTGCACACACCCACTGTTGTGGCCCGTCAGCGGCCTGTGTAGATTGTAGCTGATTCTGACAACAAGGAGGCTGGTGTGGTGCTGTGCCAGCAGCCTGTGCAGCTGTCACTCGAGTCAGATAATAATGAGGTTGTAGAAGATGTGGTGCCAGAGGCGGGGATTCAGCCAGGGCCTTCAGAACCTCCAGAAGGTCCCATAAGTGAAGACGACGAAGAGGAGGAGGTTCTTCTCGATGCACGGGCGCACAGAGCTGCCAAAAGGCAGGAGTGACTCCTCAGGAGGAGGTCTTGAGAGTAAGGCTTGGGGCTAATTGGCCACTCCCTTAGCCTATTTAAGGAAGAACGCCAACTGAAGCAATTTGTAGGGAACAACTTTAGTTCACTCTCCTTCGCGTCTGGATTCTCTGCAAATTACTTCTGGGCTTTTTGCCAACCATAGTAAGATTGTGATTATTTTGGATTCTTGTAGGCTGTTAAGAAAGTTTATTAACAGCCTTTGTTCGAAAAAGACTGTTATTTTAGTAAATTAAATTTTGTACAGACTTTGTGTGTGCTGCGTTCTTTGGGATCCGTAGCTGGGGCAGTACACCCACATGTTCACCTGATCACATAATGGGCATTTGGCTACCGGCTCATATTCATGGCTGGTTCCAGTGTTCCACGTGAACTCGTCACCGTAATTTACGGTTTTGGTCAGTTTCCAACAAAAACCATCCATAGGAATATATTGATTTGATTAACAACTGTGACGTTTGTTTAATGACTGCTATGCGAAATAGTGGGAGTTGGGCTTCACAACCTTGTGGCTTACAACAGAAATTGACTCTCCGACTTTCATTTAGCTAACGTGGTGTCCCAAGACGCTGACCATGGTCCTGATGCATTGTCCGTCAGTTGCGATGGACGTCTCTTGGCCTTTGTGGGACCTTCCAAATACATCGTCTCCCTCATGGACGCTCATACTCTGGATGAGGTAACTATCCCTCAAAAGCGGGTAGAATTTCTCGCTCGTATCATTCTAATGAAACTGTGTGAAACTCTGGAGTCACTGTGTGTGAGGTAGGCAGCTATATAAACTTGTTTAATAAATAATAAAGTAAGTGATCGACAAACACATGGCCTTTTTTCCTGAAACAATAAGAGAAGGTGTGCAGTGAGTTTCTCCTCAGCTGCTGAGGAGAATCCAAGAAACATGGTCTCCTGTAGATAGCAAATAACTATATGAAATGAGTATATTAATTATTTGCTATCTATAGGAGACCATGGCTTTTTGTTTCACTTCATTCTGGAGAATTATTTCTACATCATGATTTTCTAGGTATCTATTTATGGTGGCTCAGTGGCTAAGACGCTAAGCTTGTCATTCGAAAGGTCGGCAGTTCAGCGGTTCGAATCCCTAGTGCCACGTAAGGCAGTGAGCTCCCATTACTTGTCCCAGCTTCGGCCAACCTAGCAGTTCGAAAGCACATTAAAAAAATGCAAGTAGAAAAAGAGGGACCACCTTTGGTGGGAAGGTAACAGTGTTCCGTGCGCCTTTGGTGTTGAATCATGGTGGCCATATGACCACGGAGACGTCTTCAGACAGTGCTGGCTCTTCGGCTTTGAAACGGAGATGAGCACCACCTCTTAGAGTCGGAAACGACTAGCACATAAGTGCGAGGGGATCCTTTACCTTTATTTATCTCCATCCATCCACCTATTATGTGATCTATTCCTTTTCTACCCATTAAGCAGAACGGGTTGGTAGAATAGACTGAATTTCCAAACTTTCGTTGCGACTCCCCAGTTCTGTACCAGGGACTATGGGATAACTCTTTTATATTCATTAAATCTCCTTTGACAATTAGAAATGTGGATTTGACAATTAGAGATGTGGATATGGAAATTGTGAATCAGAAAAGCATGATGCAAATTCACATCATCATCACTACCTCAGTACCCCTGGTCTGCACACACACGTTTATTATCTAAATAACATTTAATGAGAATTAAATATTTGTTTATTAAACATTTGACTGGTAAATGAAATTCAGTGTATTTTTTGAGGTTTCAACATTGTATTTGAAGAAATTAAACATTCTGCATGGGGAAGAAAAGTTATTTCTATTGGAATAGTGGCAACAGTGTTGGGCAAATGGCATTTAACATGTACTTGCCATGTCCTTTTAGCTTTTTGGCTTTTTGTTGTAGGACTATCACCTATAAAGCAAAATTGAGATAGCTTTGAAACTTCCAGACTGGAAAATTTTAAGTCTAATTTTTTTCTGGCTCAAATCTCTGTCAGTCTACTGTTTCAGCCCATAGATTAAAAACATATTTAGCTTGTAGCAAAGATCACCCATCCATAATCAATATCTATCTCTCTATCCCTTTATCTATCTATCCATCCATCTATCTTCCCTCCGTCTACTCATGCACATAAATAGATCCACACCCACATATATAGACACGCATATGTGCACAACATCCAATATATATAAGCACAAATATAAAAGTATCTGTGTTGTGAGTACATGTCAGAGATCACTGACAAATGGTGCATCTCATACCATCATAACAGGTCATGCTGCGTACTTTGAACTCCTAGGGTAAAAAAAAGGAATATAAATCTGAGAAATAATTGTATCATTTTCGTTAGCTGACCTCCGATGGTTGCCAACCCTAGCTTCTTTGCCCATTTCTTGATCTAGTGCAAATCCAGTTTGAGTAAATAGAGCTTAGTAGCAATAGCACTTAGACTTATATGCTGCTTCACAGTGCTTTTACAGCCCTCTCTTAAGCGGTTGACAGAGTCAGCTTCTTGCCCCCAGCAATCCGAGTCTTCATTTTACCAACCTTGGAAGGATGGAAGGTTGAGTCAACCTTGAGCTGGTCAGGATTGAACTCCTGGCAGCCGGCAGAATTAGCCTGCAATACTGCATTCTAACCACTGAGCCACCGCGGCTCTTTAACATTGATGTTAATGTTAAACTCTTATTTATGCATGTCAGCTACTAAGAATTGATGTGAGCATACTGGATCTGGACAGCACAGCCCTTGATGTTGCAGTGAGGCTTTGCTTCGCCCCTTTTGGCCATCTTTTGGTGTCAACGTCCTCCCAGAAGGTCCTGGTGCTGGATGCCAAGTCTGGACGCTTAATCCGAGTGGTAGGAGATCCACAATTTTTGTTTCCCTTTCAGAGGTGGGACTTCCTTGTGATTTCATATTTTTCTGTTTACCCATGTCTTGTGAGGAAAATCCCAAATGTTCTATGGGTCTAAAATCGCTAAATTATTACTACCGTGTTTCCCCGAAAATAAGACCCTGTCTTATATTTTTTTGAACCCTGAACTAAGCGCTCGGCCTTATTTCCATGCACTCAAAAGCCCGATTGGGCTTATTATCAGGGGATGTCTTGTTTGCGGGGAAACAGGGTAATTGCAGGTAGTTCTCGATAGTTCATCTAGGGGGCGTTCGAAATGACAACAGCACTGAAAAAAGGGACTTATGACTGTTTTCCACACTTACGACCATTGCAACATCCCCATATTCACATGATCAAAATTCAGACACTTAGCAACCAACTCACATTTATGACGGTTGCAATGTCCTGGGGTCATGTCGCAAAATTCCCTTTTGCGATTATCTGACAAGCGAAGTCAGTGGGGAAGCCAGATTCATTTAACAACCATGTTATTAACTTAACAACCGCAGTGATTCACTTAACAACCGGGGCAAGAAAGGTTGCAAAATGGGTTAATTGTCTCACTGAGCAACATAAATTTTGGGTTCCATCGAGGACTACCGGTATTGATGTTTGAATGGGTGGCTTTGAAGATTTTAAATTGATGTACTTGACTGAAACCACAAGGGGTGAGCTGAAGCTGTCATCTATACATGAATATGCTAAGGCAGAGGTCTTCAAACTTGGCAACTTTAAGATTTGTGGACTTCAACTCCCAGAATTCTCCAGTCAGCTATGCTGTTTCAGAGTGGGATCCAATGTTAGTGATGATTTCTATCGATTGCAGGTCCCTCAAGTTCACAGACAGACTTGTTCTTCTTTAACGCTGAGTCCCGATGGCCGGTATGTTCTCACAGCCGGTGATAGGACTATCAAAGTGTGGGATTATGAAATGAGATTTGATGTCAGCTGCCAGGTAAGTAAGTCAGGGCAATCTTAGATTTCTTTTCCTTCCTCATTACTGCTGTGTTTCCCTGAAAATAAGACCCTCTCTTATATTTTTTTTGAACCCCGAAATAAGCGCTTGGCCTTATTTTCGGGGAGGTCTTATTATTTTGGGGCGCATGGAGCAAGATGGGGTTCCTCTTGCCGTCTTACCTGATTTCCAGCTCTGCGTTTAAATATTTTCAGGGAGGGCTTATTTTTTTGGGGAGGCTTATTTTAGCGCATGCGCTCAAAAGCCCAATTGGGCTTATTATCAGGGGATGTTTTATTTTCGGGGAAACAGGGCAATGAATGGTTATTTGATAGGCATACTAAAATAATACAACATTCAGTCAAAGAATGTTAACAGAAATGGAATAGAATGGGACCAATGTGACAGAAAGGTGTGTGTGAGAGAGAGAAGGAGAGGGAAAGAGAGGGTAGAATAAGTTATCCGCTACATGACTCTCTAAATAATTAAGGTTTAGATAAATATTTGCTGCTCTTAACTTCTAATAATTCATGAATGCCTCTGAGTGGCTTGGTGGCCTAGAGGTGGAGTTTTCACCTCACAATCAGGAGGCTGTGAGTTTGATCCTAGGTAGTGGCAGGTATTTCTCTCTCTCTCTCTGGGCGCAATGAGTAATTGTTTGCTGCGAGCTCTGCGTAGGCATCAGGAAGGGCATCCGGCCTGTAAAGGCTCAACTCCATTCAGTTATCCCAACTTCACCCTGATGCAAGGGATTACAGGGTCATTAAAACAAAAAAAAGTCATTAATGCCTCTGGGTCGTTTGTATCTTAAGTTAAAAACTACTTCCCTTATTTGCCTAAAAACAGTTATACTTAAACTGAGAATTGCCAGCCCCAAAACCAAGAGAAGAAGCATACTTCATAAAATATACATGCCAGTCCAGAAGATCAGCTGCTAAAATGAAAATCTGAAGCTGAGGGTCCAACTTTCTCTTTAAAGCCACAGATAGGATGAGGTTCCGAGCTGAAATCGCCCCAAAATGTCAAATACTACCATGATCCTTCCTGTAGTGCAGGGGTTTCAAACTCAGTTTCATTGTGGGCCGCATCAGGGCTGTGGTTGACCTTGGGGATCTGGGTGGGGGTGGCCGACTGGGTGGGGGTGGCCAGCTTGACACCACTCACTGAGTGTAGCCGACTGGGAGGGCGTGGCCAGATTGATACCATTCCCCAACTCAAACTCTGGCATGTTTCATCTTCGCATTGGGTAGGCCAGGCTGAAGCTACGCTGGTCCAATGTTTCCTCTTTGCATCGGGTAGACTGAGCCAATGCAACGCGGGCTGGCCCTTTACATTTTCCAGGGTGGCCTTGTAGGCTGGATCTGACCCAGTGGTGAAATGTAAAATTTGTTACTACCGGTTCTGTGGGCATGGCTTGATGGGGAGGGGGGTAATGAGACTCGGTGGGGGTGGCCAACTTTCTTTTTTTACTTTTAAAAACATTTTTTTCTACAACCTCTTCGGCCAAAGAGGTTGCAGAAAAAATGCTTTTAAAAGTTAAAAAAAAAAGCCTCTGATGATCGCTCAGCTGGGCGTGGGGGGGGAGGGATTTTTCTACCGGTTCTCCGAACCACCCGCCGCTATCGTTACCGGATCGGGCGATCCGGTCCGAACTGGGAGCATTTCACCCCTGATCTGACCACATCGCGGGCCGGATCCAGTACCACTACAGCAGGGCCCTGTGTTTGACACCCCTGCTGTAGTGGTAAATCCTGTCTAGGAACAATATTAATCCCAAGATGTGGAAATGAAGCTCTGAAGGAGAAAACTGTTCTTCTGCTTTTCTTTCTCCCAGGTGTTCATCGGTCACTCCGAACCGATACAGCAGGTGAGGTTCACTGCTGACCAAAAGCAGGTCTTCAGTGTTGGAGATGCCATCTTCCTGTGGGATTTCCTAGGTGTCTTTGCAGAGGAGCCCTTCAAGGATGAGTAAGAACTCAGCATTTCCTCATTAACACCTTGAAGATACTTTTCTTGAACCCGCCTCTAGATTTGAACATCGTCATCTCATTTTGGACTCATTGTGTTCTCATTGCAGGATCGATTCCCCTGGGCCCTTAGTGGTTCTTCAAGTTGGTAAGTTGGCATTTGCTTTTGAGTAATACAGTTGGTATTGCACCTCCCACAGCAAGCCTACAAGACATGAGGTTGATATTTATTAGTTCGGAATGGGACAACTCTCTGTGGGAGAATTCAATAAACACAAAAATTAAATTCATTTCAACGGAACCGTGGCCAATAAAATAAAATAAAGCCAATCCAAAAATACAAGAGTTACTTGTACCTTTAACATATACTCTGGGAACTGTTGGGAGGAGCCATCTTAACTTTCTTCCTCCCAGACAAACTGTATATCAGGGTGCCCAACATTGGCAACTTTAAGAACTGTGGACTTCAATTCTCATTGTTGGCTGGGGAATTCTGGGAGTTGAAGTCCACAAGTCATAAAGTTGCCAAGGTTGGACACCTCTCATCCACACTCTTGCTGTTCTCAATTGCACTCCCTCCCTCCTGGGAATTGTTCTGACCTAGGCTTCCCAAGAGCATAAAGCACACTCCTTGTCCCAACAAAAACTTCTTTTTATTAAATTACTGTAAATTCTTCTCATTCACATCCAGCAAAGTCTTTCAAGGGAGGATTTACAGTCACAGACCTTATCTAGCTTGGAGAGCTGCCAGGCCGATATCTTCAAAACTTGGCAAAGAGTCTCAGAGAGTTACAAACCAATTAAGCAAACTAATTATCTCCTGCAAACTCCCCTCCCCTTTCGCTCCTCTTTTATTACCCTTGGGAGAGGCCATTTATCGTCCACCTGTGGCCTTACTCCCAAGTCGACCCTTGTTCTTTAGCTGTTCCCTTTGTCTGGCAACCCTGCACTGGGAACAGGCTCCAGCTGTTAGTCTGCCTCACTGATGTCTGACTCCAAAGGCATCTGATAACTGTCATATGGTCCTGGCCCCATCTCTGCCTCTGACGCAGAGCCCTCATCAGAGCCTTCCCCAGACTCAAGGACTGGCCCATGTTCCTCCCCAACCTCCTCACTGTCTGAATCTGTTGGCAACTCCTCTGGCCGCTGGTGGGCCACAACAGGAATCCGCCAATATTCCATAATAGAGAGATAGATGACATTGGAGCTGAACAAAACTGTGCGTCAAAGATACTGGGAATATATCTCCATCTCTTCCCCCATTCCTGATGTGCTCTTTTGCAGCAAAATTTATAAAGCTGGTTTTGGCTGAGAGTGGATATTTGGCACAAACTTACACAGAATCAAAGTGAAGGTCTGAACCTGGAAATCTGAACCCTAACCCATCCTCCAATTTTGCCTCTTCTTTGTTCACAGACGCCAATTCAGGGAAGGCACAAAATTCACCACCTGGGTCCAGTGATGCCCCCCGCCAGCTGGTTCCTTTGCCTACTGTGGTGTCTCCTCCATGTCTGGATCTCAGCGCTCTCCACCGACTGGTTGAGCATGGTGAGCAAAGAAAATTCCTCACCATAGGAACCGATCAGGTCTTCTCTATACAATTCTATAGGCAACTTAACCCCCCCCCCCCCCGGTTGTCTATCACCTGCCTTTCCAAAGACGTTTGATCAAAACACAATAGATCTTGCCTTTCCATTAAAGATGATACCAGTCATTCCATAAAATAGGCCCTATCTATCTATTTACTGGAAGGGACGCAGTGGCTAGGAGGCTGAGCTTGTCGATTGAAAGGTTCAGTTCGAATCTCTAGTGCTGCGTAATGGAGTGAGTTCCCGTTACTTGTTCCAGCTTCTGCCAACCTAGCAGTTCGAAAGCACATAAAAAATGCAAGTAGAAAAATAGGGACCACCTTTGATGGGAAGGTAACGGTGTTCCATGCGTCTTTGGCGTTGAGTCATGCCGGCCACATGACCACAGAGACGTCTTCGGACAGCGCTGGCTCTTCGGCTTTGAAACGGAGATGAGCACCGCCCCCTAGAGTCGGAACCGACTAGCACATATTTGTGAGGGGAACCTTTACCTTATCTATCTACCAGCCGGAAAGGAGAAAGGAGATAATTGGTCCATTGGCATTTAATACATTCATATAAATAAACCATGGAAAATAAAGATTGCCCCTTTCCCTTTGACAGTTTTCTGTCTTCGTCTCCAATCTCACTTCCTTCTGCACGAAACAGAGATTTTGACGGTGTAATTCTCTGAAGGTGTCTAATGAGAATTGGACTATACATTTTTCTGTTCATGGGATTGCCAGCATAATGCTGTATATCTACCACCACCTCTGGAGAGAGGGAATATTCTTCCTTGCCCAGAATTCCTTTTCCAACACAGCAACTAAGACCCTTTTGAAGATTGTCTCTGCAGTGGGAAGATAAATAAACTAGGCAGCTCCCAAATGGGTTCCCTTCTTTTATTCCTCTTATCTTCTAAAACAAGGTCTCTCAATCTCAGGAATTTTAAAAGAGGTGGACTTCAATTCTGCATGGTGGCTGGGGAATTCTGGGAGTTGAAATCCACCCATCCTTAAAATTCCTGAGGTTGAGAATGAAGAAGTTATCTCTTTAATCGTGTCTGACTCTTGGTGATTCTATGAGCCAGATGTCTCCACGTCTTCTGATTGTTTTAAAAGCTGATGGAGCTAGTTGCTTCCTCTCTGTCATTTTCCTCCCCTTTCTCTCTTCCAGACACTTGGTCTGACTCTGAAGAAGAAAAAGAAGCCTATTTGAAAAAAAAGAATGGGGACACGATTAATGGGACTACTGGCCACTCAGTTCTTGTGCTAAATGATGTTGTCCAACATGAAGCGCCTCTGCCTGTGAAACCTGATATCACTCCAATTTGTTCAAGCCCTCACAGTCCTGCAGGAGGAGGTAAGTTGTCTGTATCCTGGTGAATTTAAAAGATTCCACATTTTAAGGAGAAATGTGAATAACCTCGGAGTTGCCTTGAGCCATGAGATAAGCAGCAAATAAATTTGATAATAGTAAAATTGAACATCATCAACATTGACAAAAATTATCATCGGTCAATTGCAAAAGGCGACCTTGCTCAGAACAGCTTACATCCTGTGACCTTTAAGGTCATCATACAAGAAAATCTGCCTATCCCAGGTCCTTGGGAAGGACTTGATAGGTGGATAAAAATGCCAAACCCAGTCTGAACATCTGGCTGAGTGTGCGACAAAACGAAGGCCAGCTCAGTGACATCATGGAGAATGATTTCCAGCAGTGGCAATCAGGAAACATGATTAGATATTTGTTCTTTTTTTCCCTTTAAAAAAAAAAAAATATTAAGCAATTTGAAAAAAAGACAAACAAAAAGAGGAGAAAAAGTATAGAAATTATAAAACATGAAACAAATAAACGGGAACTACAAATATCATGGAATTGGGTTAGAATTTTGAATATGTAATTAACTGCTTTTAAGCACTTGAATATTCCATTTTATAAACGACAGGGTGACTGTTAAAATCCAGGCGGTTCGTAAATATCAGTGGCAGAAGTTGGCACAGTACGAATCATAAAATAATGTAAGGATTGCCTCTCCTCCCAACTTAAGAAAGTAAAAACTCTTGAAACGGAGTATTTCAAAAGGACCCTTTTATTAAGCAGAAGGGACAACAATGAAGTCAATGCAAGGTCTGAATACCCTTAGGCAAGACAAGTAGGATTAAAGCAGTAGAGACCCCTCCCTTAAACCAGAATGCAGATTTTAGCCAATACATAAGTGTGAAGATGTTTTCTTTACCAGCTGCCCTGAGAACCGGATAAATATGTATTCAGATCGTTTCTCCTTTATTCTTTAAAGTGAAATAGCCCACATGGCTGTCATAAACATTCCTCAACGTTAAGGGGATCTCAGGGCTCTTTGGCGCCAGGATATAGGTTGTAAAATATCTGTTGACACAGGCAATGCTAGTAAATCGAATCCAAGTCTCCCCCTTCTCCCAATTGAATGGCAGTATCACTTTTAGGGATCTGACAATAAGATTCAAAGTTACAGTACGTTCTATCCCAAGAAACTAACCATCTGTATGGATTTAACTGATCTTTTTAGAGCTAGAATATTAAAACTTTATGTTAAGACAAACTCAGCGTGTTTGCTTTTTCTCATGTGCTAGACAGAGGAAAAGAAACGAAAGGGTCTTTACCCCAAAATATCATCCGGCCAGATTGCTACCGGCACTTCATACCCCGTTTCAAATCTTCTGCAACTTCCAAGGTGAGACCTGGCTTGACAGTCTGGGGCAGGGGTCAGCAACCTGCGACTCTGGAGCCGCATGTGGCTCTTTCACCCCTCTGCTGCGGCTCCCTGTCACTCAAAATATGCGTCACAACCGCCAATGTGCGACACCCACCGACATGCTATTTATTGAATTTTTCAACCCCCGATAGGCCAACCATGGATAAATCCAAGAAAAGTTTCAGAAGAAAACAGAACATTTAATTCAAGTACATAGGCTAGTTTTGTGGCCGTTCAAGAAATAGTCAGGCACAGGATGGGTTTTGTGGCTCCCGGTGTTTTCTTTTCTGTGGGAAATGGGTCCAAATGGCTCTTCGTGTGTTTAAGGTTCCAGACCAGGGGTGAAATGCTCCCGGTTCAGACCGGATCACCTGATCCGGTAGCGATGGCAGGTGGTTCGGAGAACTGGTAGCAAAAATCCCTGCGGCCCCCCCCACCATGCCCAGCTGAGCTGCGCAATCATCAGAGGCTTAGTTTTTTTTACTTTTAAAAGCATTTTTTCTACAACCTCTTCCGATGAAAAAATGCTTTTAAAAGTAAAAAAAAAAAAGCCTCTGATGATTGCGCGGCTCAGCTGGGATCGTCAGAGGCTTTTCAAAGCATTTTTTTCTGCAACCTCTTGACCAAAGAGGTGGTAAAAAAAATGCTTTGAAAAATCTCTGATGATCCCAGCTTAGTTGCCTGATTGGCAGAGAGGCATTTTTTTAAAAGCCTCTCTGACGATCCCAGCTGAGTTGCCTGACCGGCAGAGGCTTTTCAAAGCATTAGAAAAAATGCTTTGAAAAGTTTTTTAAAAAAAGGAAGAAAGTTGGCCACGCCTACCCAGTCACATTACCCCCACCCCCCACCAAGCCACGCCCACAGAACCGGTAGTAACAAATTTTACATTTCAGCCCTGTTGCAGACCCCTGGTCTGGGGAGAAAAGGTTGTCAGTTGTTCAGTGCTGATTTATTCTATAAAACTAATTTGCGGGGTTCATACGCTCAGCCATCAGTCCTGGTTTACAAATCTTAAAGGCTGGGTCTGCCCAGTCTTGTAAGGCAAAGCCAAACAAACAAACAAACCATAATTTGGTGTGATTAACCCAGTCTGAGTATAGAGAGAAATGTTGATCAATGGCTTAGCTATTCTGAAATCGTTTCTCAGGAAAACAGCTATAAATTAATTTAACAAGCAGTGCTGCCTTGTCTACTGATGCGTAAAGTACAAATAGTCCTCGACTTACACTTAATGACTGTTCAAAGTTACGAAGGCAATGAAAAAGTGACTTATGACCATTTTTCACACTTAAAAGTATTGCCTCATCCCGATGGTCACTTGATCAATAATTTGGACGCTTGGCCAACTGACTCAAATTTATGACGGTTGCAGTGTCCCAGGGTCATATGGGTCCCCCTTTGCGAGCTTCTGACAAGCAAAGTCAATGGGGAAGCCAGATTCACTTAACAACCGTGTTAATAATTAAATTACCGCAAGTGATTCATTTAATAAACTCTGGCAAGAAAGGCCGTACAGCGGGGCAAAACTCACTGAACAAATGGCTCACTTAGTAACAGAATTTTTGGGCTAAGTTGTGGTCGTAAGCCGAGGACCACCTATATAATGATTTATACTGAGCTCATGTTTTGGCTTTTCAGGTATTTTCTTCTCCAACCGCTAACGAGGGTCTGAAGCTGAAAGCTGTGATTGGCTACAACGGGAATGCCCGAGGGAACATGGTGTGGAACCCTGACACAGGTACAGCCCTGAAATCAGGGGTGAAATCCAGCAGGTTCTAACAGGTTCGTGAGAACCGGTAGCGGAAATTTTGAGTAGTTCGGAGAACTGGCAAATACCACCTCTGGCTGGCCCCAGAGTGGGGAGGGAATGGGGATTTTGCAATATCCTTCCCCCAGAAGTGGGGAGGGAATGGGGACTTTGCAATATCCTTCCCCTGCCATGCTCACCAAGCCACGCCCACAGAACCGGTAGGGAAATAAATTTGGATTTCACCCCTGCCTGAAATAATATAAAAGATTTTATTACCTTCATTTACGAAGCCCTCAATGGAGCTATGGCAGCCTTTGGAATATTTTGAAAGGCTTCCTAAGACTCATCCCAAAGGTGCTTTTTCAAGAGTTCAAAAGTTTTCAAGAGTTTCAAAATTTTTCCGAAAGCCCAATTGCCTCTTGAAAAAGCACCTTTGGGACAACCATGGCCTGGAGGACTGAGAATCTCCATAGACTTTCTAAGTCTCTTTTCAAAAAAACAAAATGAAAAACCATGGTCCAAATCTACCACGATGATGCCTTCAGGCTTACCGTATTTTTCGGACTATTTAGACGCATCTAAATTTAGAAGAGGAAAATAACAAAAAAAAGTTTTTGGCCTCCCTTTTTTCAGGCCTTTTTCCGGCCTGTTTCCAGGGCTTTTTTCAGCCCATTTTCGAGGCTTTTTTCGGCCCATTTTGGGGGGGCTTTTCTTGGCCCATTTCTGATACTTTTCTGGGCCCGTTTTCAAGGCTTTTGGGGACCATTTTTGAGGCTTTTTTTGGTCCGTTTTTGAGGCTTTTTTCAGCCCATTTTTGAGGCCTTTTTCCGGAAAAACGGGCTGAAAAAAGCCTCAAAAATGGGGCAAAAAAGCCCCCAAAACAGGCCAATAGAAGCTTCAAAACGGGCTGAAAACGGCCCAAAAAGCGCCTCAAAATTGGCCCCCCAAAAAAAGCCTTGAAAATGGGCCAAAAAAAGCCTTGAAAACAGCCCCCCCAAAAAAGCCTTGAAAATGGGCCAAAAAAAGGCCTAAAAAGGCCTGAAAACAAGGCATGTGGAAGCCAAAAAATGGCTGGCGGGAGGCCGGGCTTCGGGAATATTAGGTTTATAAGACGCACAGACATTTTCGCCCTCTTTTGGGAGACAAAAAAGTGCGTCTTATAGTCCGAAAAATACGGTAGTTTGAATAGTCTCTTTGGCTTGCAATATTTCCTTTGCAAAATATCCTGAAGTCTAGTTGCGTGTTGTAATCTGGAAGACATAAACATCATATTGGGGGAAGTATGTGTGTATGGGTGTGGGAGATTCTAGTTGTTATAGGTCAGTGATGGCTAAACCTTTTGCCGTTGTGTACCAAAAGCGGGGAGAGCGTGGGAGGGTTGTGTGTGTGTGTGCCCACACCCATAATTCAATGCTGCGGTCCGCGCCCCCCCCCACATGCATGCGCAACCCCTCACTGACCCCCACTTTTGGGATGCGATGGCACGGTGGGCCTGGTAGGCCTATTTTTCGTCCACCCCAGGCTCCAGAGGCTTTCTAGGAGCCTGGGAAGGCGAAAACAGCCTTCCCCACCCCCGCGGAAGCCCTCTGGAGGCCAGAAAAAGCCCATTTCCCAGCTTCTGGTATGCCCAGAAGGCCCGAAAATCAGATGACCGGCGCGCGTATGAGTGCTGGAGCTGAGCTAGGGCAAAACTTGCGTGCCCACAGATATGGCTCCGCGTGCCACCTGTGGCACACGTGCCATAGGTTCGCCATCACGGTTATAGGTTATTTTTTTCCCCCTCTGCCAGGTTTCTTTGCCTACAGCTGTGGTTGTGTGCTGATTGTGGAAGACTTGCACTCTGGATCCCAACAGCATTGGCTGGGTCATCCGGAAGAGATTTCAACCTTAGCTCTCAATCATAATGCCCAGGTAGGGTCATCCCACCATTTTTCTACAGATAACAAATGTGATTTACCAGAATCACGGATGTGTTGGTTGGATCGGACAAAACGCGAATTTATTGAAGCTCAGATTGTGATAATTTTTGAATAAAAGGTAATCCTTCACTTATGATCATAACTGAGCTCGGGTCGTAAGTTATAGCTGTCATTCAGTGAGGGTCACCGTGCCTAATTTTATGAATTGCTTTGTGGCTGACATCAAGCAAACACTGTGGTCATGAATGCTGCGGTCATTAAAGAAGTCCATTTTTCCAATGGGTATTTTTTTCTCTCCCTGAAACTGGAAGTTAATACTGGAAACGGGCAAAAAACTAGCAAAAATTATGGTTGGTGCAAATGTCCATAAATGTGAGCGAGTTACCAAGTTCCCAAAATGTGATCATGTGACTGTATGTGTGTGGGGAGGAGGGTCAGAACTCTCTCTCACACACACACACACAAATAAGCATGCATATTTTACAAATATCCATTGTGCTTTTCATGTAAGTGAAAAGTTGTTGTTTTTTTGCAATAGCCTACGCAGTAAGCTATTTAATTATATATAGACAGTATGAGTGGGAGAAAGCAATTTATTCTGAGCTCTCCCTAAAGTTAAGATATATTCTGGTAATTCTTCTCAATATGCACAGTCTTTGTTAAAACAATGTTGTTAGTTGCGAAGTCATGTCCGACCCATCGTGACCCCATGGACAATGTTCCTCCAGGCCTTCCTATCCTCTACCATCCTCTGGAGTCCATTTAAACTCATGCCAACTGCTTCAGTGACTCCATCCAGCCACCTCGTTCTCTGCCGTCCCCTTCTTCTTTTGCCCTCCATTGTTCCCAGCATTAGGCTCTTCTCCAGGGAGTCCTTCCTTCTCATTAGGTGGTCAAAATATTTCAGTTTCATCTTCAGGATCTGGCCTTCCAAAGAGCAGTCAGGGTTGATCTCCTCTAGGACTGACTGGTTTGATCACCTTGCAGTCCAAGGGGCTCGCAGGAGTCTTCTCCAGCAGCAGAGTTCAAAGGCCTCCATTCTTTGGCGCTCAGCCTTCCTTATGGTCCAACTTTCACAGCCATACATTGCAAAGGGGGAAAAAATTGTTAAAACAATAGCTGTATCTTAATATGCTTTAGCCCTGCTGGAAATTGCCTGTGGGTTTCTTAATCACGAGACACGTGGACATCACAGTCCTTTGTCTGAATGTGGTTTTGAACAGCATTAAAAACTCATTTTCTCCCTGTCTTCTCTCCGCGGCTTTGAGTTGCCGCTTTATTTTATTTTTTGGGGGGCTAATTGCATTTTTCCACTTATTAAACAGTTACTCTCCTAGCTCTTTACTGAGATCTCCCTGATGACATGGGCTGTTCTTCTCTAGGTTCTGGCCTCTGCCTCTGCCCAAGGTGGTGGAGACCTGCGGTGTCAAATTTGCATCTGGAACGTACAAAATAGGACTTGTGAAAAAATCCTCTTTCATCATGAAAACCAAGTGCAAGCCATGGCATATTCTCAAGACGACCGCTTCCTTGTCACTCTAGGTTGGTATAGCCAAGGGGGATGAGAAGGCATCAGGCATTCCACAAGTGGTGGGTGGGTGCATTTTTGTGGGTTTAGTTTGGACCAAGGAATGACACTTGCTGTGGCATCCTAACTGAAAGTAAGATATTTATTTTAGTTCTGCATTTTCCCAAAAATTGCGAGTGAGGCCTTTGAAAAGCCTTTACCTTTAAGATGTGTGGGTTTCATAGCAGGCTGGGTGTTCTGCCTCAGCTATGGACCCCAAAGAACGCAGCATACACAAAGTCTGTACAAACCTTAGTTTACTAAATTAAATCAGTTTTTTTTCCCAAACAAAGGCTGTTAATTAACTTTCTTAACAGCCTACAAGAATCCAAAGAATAAATAATCGTAATCTTACTATGGTTGGCAGAAAGCCCAGAAGCAATTTGCAGAGAACTAAGATCCAGATGCGAAGGAGAGTGAATGAAATTGTTCCCTGCAAATTGCCTCAGTCGTCGTCCTTCCTTAAATAGGCTAAGGGAGTGGCCAATTAGCCCCAAGCCTTACTCTCGAGGAGACCTCCTCCTGAGGAGCCACTCCTGTCTTTTGGCAGCTCTGCGCGCCTGTGCATCGAGAAGAGGCTCCTCCTCTTTGTCCTCTTCACTTATGGGAGCTCCTGGAGGTTCTGAAGGCCCTGGCTGAATCCCCGCCTCTGGAACCACATCTTCTCCAGCCTCTTCATTGTCTGACTCGAGTGCCAGCTGCACAGGCTGCTGGCGCAGCACCACACCAGCCTCCTCGCTGTCGGAATCAGCTACTAGCTGCACAGGCCACTGATGGGCCACAACACTGGGGGAGTGTAGGAGTTGAACTCCACACATCTTAAATCGAAAGTGCTTTTCAAAACACAACTGGACTTTGTTTGTTTTTTTTCCCTTGAAAAAGTTTCGCTTCTTGTGCAAGAAGCTTCCTCGGTTCATCTTCAGTTCTTTTCTTCAGAACTGAAGAAGCTTCTTGGATGAGAAATGAAACATTTTCAAAGAAAAAAAAAGACCCAAGAAAGTCCAGTTGCCTTTTGAAAAAGCACCTTTGGGACAAGATCATTGAGAATCTCCAGAAACATTCACACATCTTAAAATTCCCAAGGCTGAGAAGCACCGAGTTGGATGGAATATCTTTCTCATATTTATTTTTTTTGAGCAGATTTTAACATTCATGTTTTATGAATGAACGTTTATGAATGTTTATAAGAGCCGTGCTGGCACAGTGGTTAGAATGCAGCATTGCAGGCTAATTCTGCCCACTGCCAACGGTTTGATCCTGACCAGCTCAAGTTTGACTCAGCCTTCCATCCTTCCGAGGTCAGTTAAATGGGGATTCAGATTGTTGGGGGTGTGGGGCAAAGTGGCCTGTAAACCATTTAGAGAAGGCTGTGAAATGTCTTTAAATATTAGTAGCTCGGATTGGTAGTTATGTTGTTGGTTTGAGCTCCGAGCTTGGTGATTTGATTGCAAACGTTTCATCCCCATTTGAAGAGACATCTTCACTGAGCTTTGGATTGTGCTGGTCTGGGAGAGCAGGAGCCTTTAAATACCTTGCTGAGTCCTGGTTTGATTTTGGGTTGTGTGGTTGGCTGTCTGTAGTTGCTGAGTCACAGTCCTTGGTTTTAAGTACCATCTGAGAGAGAGAAGACTGCAAAGCAGTGTGAAGCGGTATATAAGTCTTCAGTGCTCCCCAAACATGACAAACCCTCTGAAGTGAACTCAAAGATTCCTTTAATTAGGAGTGCCGGCAGCCCAGCAAAAAAGCTCCTCTTTCAACGCAGGCTAAGAAGTCCATCCAGCCAGAAGATGAATAGTTGTCTGCCACACCTATTTATCTCTGCCCCCTGCCTTTCATCCCCAGAGCTAGGGTGGGGCCTCGCTAGAAGCGGTGGCTCTTCCATCCCAAGGACCAGCCCATAGATTTCCACTGCTCTCCTCTCCTCTGCCTTCTGCACATCCGGGTGTCAGGCACAGGACCCAGCTGTTCCTCCTCTTCCTCATCAGCCACCTCATCAGCCACCTCCAGAACAACCTCCAGGCTGTTGACTCTCTATCTGAGGGCTGACGGATGGCCCAGGCTCAGCCTCTGTCTCTCTCTGACAGCTCCATTCCCTCTCCCCCCCTTGGAGCCCTTAGGTTGCCTTGTTGCTGACCCTGACTCCAGCACTTCCTCTTCCTCTGATTTGGTTGTTGGAGGGGCCGGCAGCCGACGGGCCACAACATGCTATTGCATTTAAGATTATTTTGAATCTGAGAAAAGCAAAGTGTACCCAGATGCTAGGGAGAAGTCCAGATTTATCAGGCATCGAGATTTCATAAATAAATCCATGTGTGTGTAAAAAAAACCTGATTGCCATCTACCTCTGTCCCTGCAGGAGATTATGTAGACAGAGTCATTGCCTTGTGGAACACCCAGACTTACGACCTCATGTCCTCCACCCGTCTTGCTGAGCCTGTCCACGACCTGGCTTTTAATCCCCTTTCCGTGGGACAGCTTGCCTGCGTGGGGAAGGGAGCTGTGACCTTCTGGCTGATGAAGCAACAGGGCTCGGACATCAGCCTCAAAGTAGGTATTCTTTCCCCCGTTATACATTTGACATTTTGCCCGATTTCACAAGGAGTCCTCAACTTACGAAAGCAACGGAGCCTGCTCATGACAGTTGTTAAATCGTGACGGTTGTAAAATAGGTAAAGGTGAAAACCTTTTTGTGTCGCACTTGTAAAGCAGTTGCTGTGGTCATTAAAGCAAACTGTCTAGTGGCGAAGCCAACCAATGATTCGCTGTGGGCCTGGTTTTGCCAAAAACTGGAAGTAAATGCCAGAGGGTCTGAAGTTCAGTCATATGACCAACATGGGGGGGGCGAGCGTTGGAACGTCGAATCTGGGTCGGGCAGGTAGTCCTCAACATACAACCATTCATTTAGTGACCGTTCGAAGTTAACAATGACAATGAAAAAAAGTGACTTATGGCCAGTCACACTTAACAACCATTGCAGCATCCCCCCCCCATGGTCACATGATCAAAATGTGGGTGCTTGGCAACTGGCATGTTGCCAACTGGCATGGTATATATGACAGCTGCAATGTCCTGGGGTCATGTGATCACCGTTTGCAACCTTCCCAGCCGGCTTCCGACATGCAAAGTCAATGGGGGAAACGAGATTCGCTTAACAACTGCAGAATTCCCTTAACAATTGAAGTGATTCACTTAACAATCGTGGCAAAAAAGTCATGCAAAATTCGTTAGCAACTACCTTGCTGAAATCTAGGACCGTGATGGCGAACCTATGTCACAGTTGGCACGCGTAGCCATATTGATGGGCATGCGAGCTCAGCTCTGGCGCGCATGTGCGTGCTGGCCAGCTGATTTTCGGGTCTTCTGGGCCCACCAGAAGTAGGGAAACAGGCTGTTTCCTGCCTCTGGAGGACCTCAGGGGGTGGTGGGGAAGGCCCGTTTTTCTCTTTCCCAAGCCTCCAGAGACTTTCTAGGAGTCTGGGGAGGGCGAAAACAGCCTTCCCCATCTCCCGGAGGCCAGAAACAGCCCATTTGCCAACTTCCAGCCTCCGAGGGTGTGGGGAAGGCCGTTTTTGCCCTCCCCAGACTCCTAGAAAGGCTCTGGAGGCTGGGGAGAGCAAAAAAACAGGCCTACCGTGCCATTGCATGCCAGGAGCGGGGGGGAGGTGGTCGCAGGTGCAGGGCGCATAGAATTCTGGGTGTGGGCACGCATGCGTGTGACACACACACACACACGCACACTCCTGGCACACGATGGCAAAAAGGTTAGCCATCACTGGTCTAGGATTACCTGTATTTAGCCCCCCCACTCCCCCTCCCGGGTGGGTCCTTCGTAACTTTGAATGGTCTCTAAGTGACCAGTTGTAATTTGAGGAGTCCTTGTAGACCGTAGTCAACGAGAAAGCCTTCAGCTTTGTCAGTGATAAGCGATCCAAGGCAGCTTTGGGGTGCCTATTATGCATATCATCTTCCTTCCTCCTGCTAGGTCCAGCGAGTCCCAGCTCCTGATGCTATTGGTGGGGTGGAGCTCACATCCATGTGCTACAGCTCTGGTTGTCTACTCTACACTGGGACAAGCACAGGACAGATCTGCAGCTGGGACACGGAGACGAATTGCTGCTTCATGACTTGGGAGGCCGTGGACGGCGAGATTGGTGAGTCTCCGCACTGTGTTACATTTAATAGAAATTAGAATAGAATGAGCTGGAAGGGAACTTGGAGGTCTTCTAGTCCAGACCTCTGCTCAGGCAGGAGATCCTATACCATTTCAGATAAGTGATCGTCTAGACTCTTCTTGAAAACCTCCAGTGATGGAGCACCCATGATTTCTAGTTTCTCATCTCTAACAAGGAGGACTGATCTCTGCAGCTCCAGCAGTATTTGGATGAAATCTGTGTTAATCGGAATAATCCTTTCCTTGTTTAGGAGTACTGCAGTGTCGCCATAACCGGCTGGTCAGTGGCAGCAATACCAAGAAGATCCAGATGTGGTCAGTGGCCGCAGTCCAAGAGCTGAGAGTCAAAGGATCTGATGCCAGGTGTGAAGGGACCACAGGGTGAACAGTTGGTTCTGTAGATACCAGATGATGGAGAGCTGCTGGGGCTCCCTTTTCTCCCTTATTCTCACAGTGTCCGTGAAAGACGATTTTGTTTGTTTACAGCATTCCTACTTTCCCTACTAGATCATTCCCTCAAGGGAAGCGGATTTAAACATTTTAAATCTATTTCCAACCTCTAAAAATGTCCTTAGATAGAACTGATCAGTTTGGTTTCTCTCTCCTTTTGAAAAAGCCATTGCAGAAGTTGAAGTTCCCAGACCAAACTGGAATTCTGTTCCAAATTAATTGCACTGTTTAAACTCAATGCGACAGGAAGGACCATCTGATGTGTCTTGCTAATTGAGGAGCACGGAGCACAGAGAAAGAAAGTGGACAAGGGTTTTCCAAGAAATCTATCTATCTATCTATCTATCTATCTATCTATCTATCTATCTATCTATCTATCTATCTATCTATCTATCTATCTATCTATCTATCATCTATCTATCTATCATCTCTCTCTCTCTCTCATCTCTCATCTATCTATCTATCATCTATCTATCTATCAATCATCTATCTATCTATCTATCTATCTATCTATCTATCTATCTATCTATCTATTCTAAAAGCCAAATACCACTCACTCATCACAAAATCTCCAGAACAGTAAAGCCTACAAACTTGAAATTTGGTATGTATGTTCCTCTTGGCTTCTAGGTGTTCTCTAAGAAAGGATTTTCGAAATGACCATCAGAGCATTAGTATTTCATATACAGTATTATATTCACATGCTCTGATGCTAAGGAGTTAGATGTTCTACTCCCCTTCCCCAACTGAAAAGAACTCTGTTCCAACTGCCAGTTGCCTTATATTAACACTCTCTGATGCTACAGAGTTGTACATTCTACATTAAGTTTCAGGCTTTAAGTGTCAATTTGTCATGCCCGATCACATAGTTTTGTAGTGAAGCAGGGGCATCCAGCTAGTATTCAGTAAAAAGCAAAACATTTGGATTTCCCTGCCACCAGCAGGGTTCAGGCAACTAATGCCAGAAACCCAGAGAATGATTGAGAAAACAGTTTAAGCAATATAGAATTAGCAAAGGTAAGACTCCGGTTTGGAATAAATTCTTTCTGGTTGGAAATCATTCATGAGTAAATCTCAAATAAATCTTCCTTCCTAGACTTTGCCCACACTGACTGATGGCAGCCAGTTTGGTTGTTCCAGCTAGCTGGAAATGTGTGAATGGAGTAGGCGGTATGGACAGTCCATACTGGAGCCTAGCACATGTCTGGCTTGCAAAGTTAAGAAGTGTAAATGTGGGGCATTAAAACCTGTCTTGAAAAAAACAGATCTGCTTTGGGCAGCTAATCACAGAATCACAGGCCTGGAAGGGACCTTGGAGGTCTTCTAGTCCGACCCCCTGCCCATGGCAGGATACCTTATAACATAGTTATGTGTGTGTTTGTGTGTAAATGTATGTATGTGTGTTCATGTGTATGTACGCACACATATACACACACATATACATGCAGTGGTTCCTTGGTACTCAATTGCTTTGAAACTCATCGAATTTGGTACCCAACACATTTTAATACAAAACGTTTTGTTTAACGCAAAAGTATGTATCGTTTGTTTGGTACTCAATACGCAAGCTAGGATATGTCAGTGTCGGCTGCCTTGTGACTCACTCACTTTCCCATTATTTCTTATGGGGAAAAATTGTTTGGTATTCATCATTTTTGGTACTCATAGCAACTCCCGGAACTAAGTATCAAGGTACCACTGTGTATAGGTTTGCGTGTATGTGTGTATGTGTGTACGTACTCTCTGCAGGCCTGATGATAACAGATGTGCAGCTAAAATGGAATATGTTTAATTTCTCTTCTTTCCTCTTTTGGGCTCTTTCCTGTAGATCTAACTCCGTTCTCTTGGAGCAGGAAATCACTCTCGATGGGACCATTGTGAGTGCCGCTTTTGACGATGCCATGGACATGGGCATTGTGGGCACCACCGCAGGGACCTTGTGGTACATCAACTGGACAGAGAACACCAGCATCCGGCTGATCAGTGGCCACAAGAACAAGGTTTGCCTTGGAGTGCATCTTGGCAGTCATGGATAAATCCAAATCACGTGAGCTGCTTCCTTGTTGAGGCAACCCTTTCAGTTGTCATCTCTTCTCTGTCGCTCCAGGTGAGTGAAGTGGCCTTCAGTCCCGGAGAGTCTCATTTTGCTACCTGTGCGGAAGACGGTAGCGTCAGGGTTTGGTCCCTGGCTAGCTTGGAGCTGGTGGTGCAGTTTCAAGTCCTCAATCAGGTAATTTTGGAAGAATGTGTTGGACTCTCCAACTAAACTGGAGGGAGGTGTTAAGAGGGGGCCAAGCTTAGAGTCCTTGCATTGCAGAAAGTGGCACAGGCCTGATCTCCCCAAGAATCCCCGAAGCCTTAATTCGCTGTTCCCAAGGGAATGCAGTCAGTCTGGCAAGATTCTTATAGCATGGGTGACTTAACAGTAAAGAACTTGAGCGTATTCTCAAGTGGTTCGAGTTGACTTTGCTTGTCAGAAGATCAAAAAAGGGGATCACATGATCCCGTGACACTGTAACAGTCATAAATACGAATCCCTCGCCTAGTGCCTGAATTTTGATCACGTGACCATGGGGATGCTGCAATAGTTGTGTGAAAAACAGTCCTAAGTCACTTTTTTTTTAGTACTGTTATAACTTTGAACGGTCACTAAATGAACCGCTGTAAGTCGAGGACTACCTGTAGTTCAAATTCTTGTAGAGAGCTTTAGTGTGCAGCAAACCTACCCGTGTTTCCCCGAAAATAAGACTGGGTCTTATATTATTTTTTGCTCCAAAAGACACATTAGGGCAGTGATGGCCAACCTTTTTGCCATCGTGTGCCAAAAGCGGGGGGAGCACGGGGGGGAGGGGCGTGCGCGCGCCCAAACCCATAATTCTATGCACCCCGCCCCCGCACATGTGCACGCAACCCCCCGTGCTCCCCCCGCTTTTGGCATGTGATGGCATGGTGGGCTTTCTAGGAGCCTGGGGAGGGCAAAAACAGCCTTCCCCACCACCCCAGAGGCCCTCCAGAGGCTGGATACAGCCCATTTGCCGACTTCCGGTGGGACCAGAAGGCCCGTTTTTTGCTCTCCCCAGACTCCAGAGCCTTTCTAGGAGCCTGGGGAGAGTGAAAAATGGGCCTTCCCCACTCCCCCGAGGCCCTCCAGAGGCAGGAAGCAGCCTGTTTCCCTACTTCCGGTGGGCCCAGAAGGTCCGAAAATCAGCTGGCCAAGAGTTGAGCTCGCGTGCCCACCGATATGGCTTCACGTGCCATAGGTTCACCATCACAACATTAGGGCTTATTTTCTGGTTAGGTCTTATTTTGGGGAAAATATGGTACTAAATGCATCCATCTGGCTGACGATCTTATCTGGGGCTCATTTTGGGGGTAGGGCTTATATTATGAGCATCCTGAAAAATCATGCTGGGGCTTATTTTCCAGTTGGGTCTTATTTTCAGGAAAACAGGGTATATATTCATTTGAACTGCCTGGATTTCTGATTTCCTGCGCTTGACTGCATGCATGATATGAAAGTGGGACCGCTATTCCTTTCCCATCTTTCACCTGGTTGTGGTTAAGGCATGGCTAACCCCTAGTCTGTTTCCCCTTAGAGTTGCTTGTGCTTGGCCTGGAGCCCAGTGCCCACCTCCATCAACGGGCTCGAAAGCCATCATATTGTGGCAGGCTATAGCGATGGCACCATCCGCCTATTCAGCATTTCCCGGACGGAGATGGAATTGAAAATGCACCCGCATTCCATGGCCGTCATGGCACTTGGATATTCTGCAGATGGTACGGAACAAACCATCATGTTGAGTTGGGCATCACCCTTCTTGCTGTCTTCCCCGTTGGCTTGGTTTTTTTTCTCTTTTCCAACCCTCCCAAGCTAAGATCTCAACATTTCCCAACTTTCTTGACTGAGCTCTTGCCATATTGGCTGATGGAGATGTAGTCTAACTCAGTGGCCCCCAACCTTTTGGGCACCAAGGACCAGTTTCGTGGAGAGAGTTTTTTCTGTGGACAGGAAGGGATGTGGTTTCATGTGCTGCCGGCATCCCATGGATGGAGCTTCACTTGTTTGCAAGGTCCGGTTTCTAGCATGCCGCAGCCTGGTGCCAGTCCATAGACCGGGGATTGGGGACCCCTAGTATGTCAGCCGAATCTCCAGCATGGTTTTCTGAAGCTTGCTTGCTCCTGGCTTCCATAGAAACAGGGAGGGGGCCACAGGCATTTGGAATGGGGAAGTGAGCTAGTGTAAAGTAGTTCCATGAGAACTGGGAGGGAGATTTGCACTCATGAATTATGGTGCTGCTGAGTGGAGTTTTTTATAGTCCGTCAAGGCCAACCATCCTGAGACGCCAGATGCGAGAAATACCTGCAGAGGAGCTTTCCCATAACATCATACTGGACATTGATTGTCCTCTTAGTGCTGGATCCTGGGGGGAGGGATTTGGAGTTAAACATTGACTGTTTATCTTTCGTGCACTTTGATTCAGATCTTGCCTTGCTTTCGCTGCTATCATTTCAAATTTGGTAAAAGGACCTCCTTCTCTAATCCAATGGAGTTGGGGGTTTTCTTTCCTGACTTTTGAACGTTAGGCCTGACACTAACTAACTGATAATGATATCTATTCAATTGTGTCAAGCTCCTGACGATTCTGTGGGCCAGGTCTTTCCACATCTTCCAATCTTGCACTACCTCTTTTGAGTTATTCAATGCTCTGTCTGGTGTCAAATTTGATGGTGTCCAGCCATCGGATTCTTCGACGGCCTAGTTTCCTTTTATTGCTAACTCTTCCAAACATGATTGCTTTCTCTAGTGAGTCTAGCTAACTAGAAGCTAGTTTTAATACTTACTTTTATTAGATTATTTCTGTATAGCACAGAGATTATCTGGATTAATGACAGTAGAACAAATGAAATCAAATGCTCTCTTCTTGGCTTTGCTAACAATCTTTGTGTTAATTCTGGTGTTTTCAGCCCTAAGTTTTAAGTTTCTGGGTGTTATCATAAAAGAGGACCTGACTTGGAGTGCTCACCTTGCAGCACTGGTCAAAAGGGCCCAGCAGAGATTATGTTACCTGGGACTTCTCAGGAAACAACAACTGAATGAAAAGCTGCTGGTGACCTTCTACCTCTGCACCATAGAGAGTATTTTAACTTACTGCACCTGTGTATGGTTTGGCAATGGCACAGTGGCAGATAGGACAGAGCTCCAGAGAGTCAACGTCATTGCCCAGAGGATCATTGATTGCCCTCTCCCCTCTTTGGAAGAGCTTGATAGCTCCCGCTTCCTTAAGAAAGTTCAAAACGTTCTTAAAGAGCCATCTCATCCCAGGCACCCTTTTTTTTTGAACTATTACCATCTGGCAGACGGTACAGGATAATAAAAACAAGGACAAATAGGCTGAAAAACAGCTTCTATCCCAGAGCAATAACTATATTGAATTCTACTGTATAGTGCAATATTAATGCAATATCAGGGGTTTTCAATTCAATTTTATAGAATGCGAAAGATGTGTGTTTGTGTTTTATTTTTATAGTTATAATGTACACTGAAGATGGCATTTAATTTCGTTGTACGAGGTGCAATGACAATAAAGAATATTCAAACTTGAATAAAGGATTCCTGAAAGTATTTGAAGAATCTGAAGAGGTTACAAGTGTTTGTGTGCATATTTGCTTCCTATGACTGATGATGCCTTGTGTCTGTCTCTAGGGCAAATCATCCTATCAGGAAGCAAGGATGGATTGATTGCCATTAATAGCCCACGTACAGGGATGACCATCAGAGTCCTTACTGACCACCGACCCTCGGCCATTAACGTTATCCATTGCACCAGAAAACCAGTAAGGCATGCAAATTGTTTTACTCATCTGTATGTTACCAGATAAATGGAATTCAGGTGGGGAGAGAGAGAAGAGAGGGTTACAGAATGGAAAATAAATAAAATACTCCACAAGTCAAAAAGAGGGCTGTGAAAATATTTACAGACCCCTCGCATCCTGGACATAAATTGTTTCAACTCCTATCCTCAAAACGACACTATAGAGCACTGCACACCAGAACAACTAGACACAAGGACAGTTTTTTCCCAAACACCATCACTCTGCTAAACAAATAATTCCCTCAACACTGTCAAACTAGTTACTAAGTCTGCATTACTATTAATCTTCTCTTCGTTCCCACCACCCATCTCCTCCCACTTATGACTGTATGACTGTAGCTGGTATCCTTAAGATTTATATTGACTGTTTTCTAATATGATTTGATTGCTTATTTGTTCCCTATGACTATCATTAAGTGTTGTACCTTATGATTCTTGATGAACTTATCTTTTCTTTTATGTACACTGAGAGCGTATGCACTAAGACAAATTCCTTGTGTGTCCAATCACACTTGGCCAATAAAGAATTCTATTCTACTCTATTCTATTATTCTATCCTATCCTATCCTATCCTATCCTATCCTATCCTATCCTATTATTCTATTCTATTCTATTCTAAAAATATCCTAGAGGCCAATAACCTAGCTATGTAGTCAGCACAAATGCAGAAACAACAGTGGAGTTAAAACCAGTCCAGGTGGAGACTGATAGCAAACCAAGAAATCAAAAACGGATTTATATAAACAAATACAAATTCTCATTTTCATACCATTTGTCTCCAGTACACCGAACTTGGGACTGAAGGAAGCGACCTCTGGCTGGCTTCCAGCAGTGATCGACGGGTCAGTGTCTGGATTTCTGACTGGTTGAAGGACAAATGTGAGATCATCGATTGGTTAAGCTTTCCAGCTCCCACAGGTCCTGAGGTGAGAGTAGGTTACTTGTTTGTAGTATTTCCATCACATGGCAAATCATGTTGTCTTGGTTATGTTTCAAATTTAGATCAATTTATGGTCCAGGAATTACTCAAAAAGGTAATCCACAACTAAGATGTATGTGTATATATCTCTATTTGTTTAAATAAAACGATACATTTAATTTCCATATTAAAAAGTGCTTAGGAAAGTAAATTTTCTGGAAGGCAGTAATGATTTTTTATGTCATTACTGAATTGGATATGGACTGGTTAGCACTAGCACTAGCGCTTAAGACTTATATACCGCTTCACAGTGCTTTTACAGCTCTCTCTGTGGTTTACAGAGTCAGCCTATGGCCCTCAGCAATCTGGGTCCTCATTTTACTGACACTGAAAAGATGGAAGGCTGAGTCAACCTTGAGCCAATCAGGATTGAACTCCTGGCAGTGGGCAGAATTTGTCACTCACTACGCAGCCCCTGCTTGCAACTAGACAACTGTAACGGGAGTGGGGAGGGAAGGCATTGGAATGTAAAGAAGATTTGGGAGAGAAATTTGGAATGCAAAGGTGCCTGCTGGAAGTCTGAGACAGACCCAACACCTCAAGGTCGCCAGCTGGGGAAGTCCAAGGTTGGTCTATGACAATTCCCCATGGCTAACACGCCACAGGAGAACTCACTGCGGGAGAAAAGTTACACTAATACCAAAGAAATGGTATTAGAAAGGATGCAAAAGGAGGGGACAGAATGAAATGTGAATGGCAAAAATTAAAATAATATTTATTTATTTTAAATAATTAAATGGAATTATTAAATTGTCCTGCAGCGAGTTGGCCGCGGCAAGTTGTCCCATTCCCATCCGAGGCAGACAGACCGTTCTCAAAAGAAAGAGAGTGCAAATAAGTGGTGAACAATGGGAGGTCCAGGAGGAAAAAGGGAAAGTTTTCCTATGCTGTTTTCACGCGAAATAGTTAGAACTGACTTTTCTGCTTCTGGACCCACATGGAATCTTCAGTAAAGTTATAGTCTTAATTTAAAAAAAAAAAAAACATCCCAGGAGGATTTTTTTGCTCTTACCCAGTGGGCTGGTTGACAACTACATTCTAGCCACTGTGCCACCAAGGCTTTTTCCAGATTACATGCGCTCGTCTGATAATGGATCTTTTCCTTTTCAGATTCCCAGTCCTCTACCTCCTAGCCTGGCAGCGTTTTGCCCTTGGGATAAAAGTACTATTGCTTACGTTGGCTTTGGATTGCAGAAAGAGATCCTCTTCTACAGCTTGCAACAGAAACAGGTATGCAGCGTTGTCTTGGCCAGTGGCTGCATCACTGTGGTTGAATCTGGGTGGGGTGTATATGTTGCTAGATGAGACCACTTCAGCCTTCAGGTTTGGAGAGAAGGTTGAGGTACAATTGAGAGAGTTTTAACAAACTGCATCACTGTTTAGTTTGATGACAGCAGTGCCTCAGATAAAAAGTCCCTTCAGAGAGTGGTGAGGACAGCGGAGATTATAGGAAGCTCACTTCCCTTTATTCAGGATAGTGCTTATAAGCGCTATGTGCTTAGAGCTCGAAGCATTGTTAGAGACTCCACACACCCACTTTACAGTTTGTTTCTGTTGCTTCCCTCTGGAAGGACGTTTTGAAGTATCTATAGCAGGACTACTAGACTCTGTAACAGTTTTGTTCCTTATGCCATCCGTCTTATAAATTTACAGGATTATTTTTTTTTTTTGCCACGTATATGTATATATTTGAACTAGACTGTGATGTTTCTCTTGTCATATATGTGTATGTATCTGGATATATGCATGATGGTTGTTTTTGAGAGCTGAATGTGATGACATTTCATTTTAATGTATGATTAGTGTACATTTAAAGTGGCAATAAAGATTCTATTCTATTCTATATTCTATTTATTCTATACTATTATTCTACCCTACCCTACCCTACCCTACCCTACCCTACCCTACCCTACCCTACCCTACCCTACCCTACCCTACTCTACTCTACTCTACTCTATTCTATTCTATTCTATTCTATTCTATCCTATTCTTATTCTATTCTGTTCTATTCTATTCTATTCTATTCTATTCTATTCTATTCTATTCTATTCTATTCTATTCTATTCTATTCTATTCTATTCTATTCCTCTCCCTATATCAAGATCTGCATGAATTCTGGATATGATAAAATATCAGAACCTCTGATACCCACCTAAAAAACACAGCAGCCAAGCAGTAGAAACATCTCACAAGACCTGTGACTGTCTATTGTATCACAGAGTTGGACTACATTAGAGAGAAGCACAAATGCCAATTTACCGCTGTCCGAATGTTTTCAGGTGCTCCCTAATTTCCAGCATGATTGGATACCATTTATTTGTTTGTTTGCTTGTTTGTTTGTTTGTTTGTTTAAAGATTGAGGGTATAGATTTTTAATGGGCAGAAGAAATACCTCAGAAGTACAGGACAAAGAACTGTAACCAAGATAACGTCAGATTTTTTTTTTAATGAGATTTTTTCCCCTTCACATTACGTAGGTCATCGAGAAGATTCCCTTGCCTTCCTTTGCCGCTTCGCTGAGCCTTTCTCCAGTTGCCTGCAGCATAGCTGTTGGCTTCAGCGGTATGTATCTGGAGAGGTTAAATGGTCATGTGTCATTTTCTCTCAAAAGCAAGCCAGCCAGCCCTGGATGTTACCAGTGTATTACCAATGCTCAAGAAATAAGAGCATCGGTGCAAACAAATCAGCTTGCAGGGAGTTTGATTAATGCTTTTGTTCATTCTCAAGTTTTTTTGAAAAAGCACCTTTGGCACAACCTGGATGACTAAGAATCTCCATAGACATTTAGGTTACAGGTAGTTCTCAATTTATGACTGTAACTGAGCCCAGAATTATGGTTGTAAATCAGGCCAGTCGTTAAGTAAGGTATCCTGTGACCAACCTGATTTTATTACATTTTTTTGGGTGGCAGTCGTTTAACCAATCTCCATGGTTGTTAAACAAATCCATGGTCATTAAACGAATACATGTGTCGTTTTCTCTCAAAAGCAAGCTAGGCAGCCCTGGGTGTTACCAGCGTATTACTAATGCTCAACAAATAGAGCATTTTTTTAAAAAAAATTGATTTATATGCCGCCCTTCTCCGGAGACTCAGGGCGGCTTACAATGCGTTAAGCAATAGCCTTCATACTTTTGTATATTTTATACAAAGTCAGCTTATTGCCCCCACAAACTGGGTCCTCAATTTACCTACCTTAGAAAGGATGGAAGGCTGAGTCAACCTTGAGCCTGGGGAGATTCGAACTTGCAGTAATTGCAGGCAGCTGAATGTTAATAACAGGCTATTAATCTGCTGCGCCACCAGGCTCTTTCATTGCATTGATGCAAACAAATCAGCTTGCAGTGAGTTTGATTAATGCCAGGCATTGTTCATTCACTGTCAAGCATCTGTTTAAGAGCTTCAGACAACACATTCTTCTTCAAGTGTTTAGTTCTTAGGATTAGAGACAGAACCTGAGATGAAAACTGGGCAAGCAAGCCACATTTCTTTGGAGAAGTTGACTACCGGACTACCTTTGATGTTTTACTTTCCCTGTAGTTTTACGACGTTTCAGCCAGCCACCCACCGTAAAATTACCTTCTCTTAGCCAGTCCCTTTCTCTGCCACCCAGAACGTATGCTGAGGCTGATTGATCGCGCAACAAGGACATCGGAGGACTACGCGGGACACAACGACACCGTTTCCCTCTGCAGATTTGCCCCCTCCGGGAAACGCCTCTTCACAGCCTCCTACAACGAGATCCTGGTGTGGGAAGTCCAGAGCAGGTGAATGGAGATCATCCCCTTCACCCTCATCCTGGCCTGATGTCCAGTGGAATCATGCCCAGATGATGGTTGCTTGTGAAACCTGGAATGGCACTCATCTCCTCTTACCATGGGCCAGCTGCAACTTTGAGCCCCAAATTTGGGGGGGGCAGGGGGCAGGCAGGTCTCTCTGTTAGAGCTGAGCTGTCACTTGAATCCCAGTCGCTGGGATTCAAGTGACAGCTTGAATTTAGCCACTAGCATAGAAGTCAACTCAGAAGAGTGGTGCGGTGGCCTAGAGGTGGAGCTCTCGCCTCACAATCAGGAGGCTGTGAGTTCAATCCTAGGTAGAGGCAGATATTTCACTCTCTGGGCACACTGAGAATATATATATCTGCTGTACAAAACTCCGCATTGGCAACAGGAAGGGCATCCAGCCATTTAAACACTGATGATGATGATGATGATGATGATGATGATGATGATGATGATAGCAGTCAATTCAGAGCCTGCAGGGTTTGGAAGAAGTTCTTCCCCTTCTGTTTACATAAGGATCATTCTTTGTAGGATACAGGTAGCTTGCAAGGTGCTTTTTCAAAAGGCAACTGGACTTCGTTTTTCCTTGGAGAAATTTTGCTTCTCATCCAAGAAGCTTCTCCAGTTCAACTGCAAAGAAATGTGGAACTGAAGAAGCTTCTTGGATGAGAAGCAAAATCGCTTCAAGGAAAAACAAAGGTGCCTTTTGAAAAAGCACCTTTGGGACAACCTGGATGACTGAGAATCTCCATAGACATTTAGGTTACAGATAGTTCTCAATTTACGACTACAATTGAGCCCAGAATTATGGTCGTAAGTCAGGCCAGTCATTAAGCAAGTTATCTTGTGACCGACCTGATTTTATTACATTTTTTTTGTGGCAGTCGTTTAACGAATCTCCATGGTTGTTAAACAAATCTGTAGTCATTAAACGAAAACGGTTAAGCAAACCTCATTGTCCGCAATGGACATTTCTTTGCTGGAAATGAAGTGAAAGCTGGTTTTCGGCAACAAAAAATGGTCATAATTTTCAGTCATGTGACCACAAAGTGCTGCAAATGCTGCAAATAAACATGAGCTAATTGCCCAGTACCCAAAATATGATCATGTGACTGTGGGAGGGGAGTGACCATTGGAGCTTTGAATTCAGGTTGTAAGTACCGTATTTTTCGGAGTATAAGACGCACTCCCCCCCCCCAAAAGAGGGTGAAAATTTGGGTGTGTCTTATACACTGAATGTAGCCCCGCCTACCTGCTGGCCCCCACCCTTTGGCCTCTGCCTCCCACCAATTTACCTCCTTGCAGCAAACAGCCAGTTTCACCTTCAGCACAGCCTGATTAGCACAAGCAGCTGATTGTTGGTTGGATTGGCCTCCTGACCCTCAGCCGTATCAGGCTGCAGGGATTGCCATTGCTTATTGCCGCGCGGGCCTCTGTTTGCTGCAAGGAGGCAAATTGCTGGGAGGCAGATTTTTTTTTCTTGTGCTAATCAGGCTGTGCTGAAAATGAAACAGGTTGTTTGCTGCAAGGAAGCAAATTGCTGGGAGGCAGAGGCAGATTTTTTTTTCTTCTTTTCCTCCCCAAAACAGGTAGTTGCGTCTTATACTCCAAAAAATACGGTACCTTTTTTAGGATCCATCATAAATCAAGGATTATCTGTAGCACACATTTCTATGCATTTGAAGTCATGATGCTAAATTGCCTTACTTCCAAATACTCAAGTTTGTCTCATTCTTTTTTCAGCTCACCAAAGTAGCTTGATCAGGCCCTCTGAACCATGAGCCAAAAAGCCTTGGCCGGATGTTATGGGGGATGGCCGATTCTCACTGGCTTTTTGACGTGATACAGTTGGCAGACGCGTCAATTGCGAGAGATCTCGTCACCTCTGGAATTGGCATCTGTCCAAATGCCTTCTAAAAAGTGGGATGATTTATAGAATCAGTGGACCAAGCCATTGGTCTGTTCCAGCCAATTGGCTGGACAGATTGCCCAATAACTGATCTCCATACTTCTGACGTCCCTACAAGAATGTGTGAATTTTAAGTAACATGCTAACCCTAGCTAAAGTATCTGGCCCAGGGGAGAACTGTTGTGAAACAGGGAAGAGGGCAGCACAATGTTCCTCTCTTCTATTGCAGTTGGTTTTAGTCCCTTTACTCTTAGCATTGTGTCAAATGTATATATGTATATTTCACATATTTTTCTACAACTAAAATAGCTGCTTCTTTTTTCTTTTTTAAAAAATTCATTCTCTCCCAGGACCATATTTTGATTTTATAGTTTTGTCACTTTCAAGTGACCATTTAGCTGAAAAGAAAATGCCTTTCTCCCATTCTGCTTTTGGTTTTCTCAGTAACAGAATCACAAAAAAGCATTAAAAAACAAAAACAAAGAAACATCGCTGAGTCTTAACTGCTGAATAGGCTTTTAAAAGCACAGGTTGACCTTATTAAGAGTTTATTTTAGAGATCAGGAACTTTCAAGCTCATTTTATACTCAGAATTTATAAAAATGATGAGTTTTGCTTTTAGAAATGCATGGTTAACGAAACACAGGTTTGTTCCTCAGGTAGTGTGAGCCGATATCAGCAGTGCAACAGGTATTTCTTTCCTTTCTTAACCTTGGCCTGTAACAATCGAAGCAACAACATTCACATTGCACTTGTTTTCGTTTGTAATTGATAACGAAAGAAAAGAATTGGACTTGTTTACATTTTTTAAAATTCCAAATAAACGAAGAGTTTTGTGTATTCAACCTCTGCGGCTTTCTTTTGTTCCAGAAGTTCCAGATGACTCAGCAAAACGCTTTCTCTTTCATAAAACCTAAGAAAATTGCCCCCATTTTATCTGTATAACTAACCTCAGAGATATCTGCAGGGCACAGTCAGAAAAGTCAAGATTCTGGCAGCCAGAAAGAGGCGATCAAATTTTCACCCATTTTTAATGGATATCAAATATAAAAATAGATAAGAGATTCGATCCCATGGTCACAGCCATCATCTTGGGTTTTTTGATAGCATCCAAATTGGGTCAGTCAAAGTTTGAGCTTTCAGACTTGTAGTTGTTGTGGCTCCGTTGCCTGAGCCTGGGCTATCGACAGATGCAGACTCTGAGAGTGAGGGAGAAGAGTTGGCAAGGCCTCCCTCTCCAGGACCCTCCTCTTTGGCAATGCCTCCGGAGGACACCGAAGGCCAAGAGATAGGCCCAGAGCCAAGCACGTCCCCACAGCCACAGGTGGACAGCGACAATGAAGATAAGTGCTGGCTGGACCCTCGGCAGAGGCGCAGGGAGAAGCGTGCGCAGCAGAGGGGAAGGCGTGCCAGAGATTATTTATTTATTTATTTATTTATTTATTTATTTATTTATTTATTTATTTATTTATTTATTTATTTATTTAAATTTCTATACCGCCCTTCTCCAATATAGGACTCAGGGCGGTGAACAGCCGAAAATAAAAACAAGACATACATACAAAACATACAAAATCTAAAAACTGATTAAAATAATTAAATCTTTTGGCCGTAATTAAAACAATTCCAATTTAAAATCAGTTTAAAATTTGACTCAAGCCAGCCCAGCTAGTTGAAATAAATGGGTTTTCAGGGCCCGACGAAAAATCCAGAGGTCTGTTATTGTACGTAACTCTGGGGGGAGGTTGTTCCAGAGGGCGGGCGCCACCACAGAGAAGGCTCTCCCCCTGGGGGTCGCCAGCCGACATTGTCTGGCGGACGGCACCCTGAGGAGGCCGACTCTGTGTGAGCGCACTGGCCGGTGGGAGGCTATTGGTGGCAGAAGGCGGTCTCGTAAGTACCCCGGCCCTAAGCCATGGAGCGCTTTAAAGGTGGTCACCAACACCTTGAAGCGCACCCGGAAGACCACCGGGAGCCAGTGCAGCTCGCGCAGGAGAGGTGTCACATGGGAGCGCCTCGTCGCCCACATAATCCCCCACGCGGCCGCGTTCTGGACCAGCTGGAGCCTCCGGGTGCACCCCAGGGGGAGCCCCATGTAGAGAGCGTTACAGTAGTCCAGGCGGGAAATGACGAGTGCCTGAGTGACTGTGCGTAGGGAGTCCCGATCTAGAAAGGGGCGCAACTGGCGTATCAGGCGAACCTGATAGAAAGCCCCCCTGGCCACGGCCATCAAATGATCTTCCAAAGACAGCCGTGCATCCAGGAGGACGCCCAAGTTACGAGCCCTCTCCGTGGGGGCGAGTGATTCACCCCCAATAGCCAGCGATGGCATCAGCTGGCTATATCGGGACGCCGGAAGCCACAGCCACTCGGTCTTGGAGGGGTTGAGTCGGAGCCTGTTTCTCCCCATCCAGGCCCGCACGGCCTCCAGGCACTGGGACATCACTTCAAGGGCATCATTGGGGTGGCCTGGGGTGGAGATGTACAGCTGGGTGTCATCAGCGTACTGATGGAACTCCACCCCGAAGCCACGGATGATCTCAGCCAGCGGCTTTACATAAATGTTGAACAGAAGGGGCGAGAGGACCGACCCTTGTGGCACCCCACAAGCAAGGTGCCTCGGGGTCGACCGCTGCCCCCCTGTCAACACAGATTGCGACCGGTCAGAGAGGTAGGAGGAGAACCACCACAGAACGGTGCCTCCCACCCCCAACCCCGCCAACCGGTGCAACATGATACCATGGTCGATGGTATCAAAAGCCGCTGAGAGGTCTAACAGGACCAGGATAGAGGAGCAGCCCCTATCCTGGGCCCTCCAGAGATCATCCACCAATGCGACCAATGCCGTTTCCGTGCTGTGCCCAGGCCGGAAGCCGGACTGGAGCGGGTCTAGATAGACAGTTTCATCCAGGTACCGGGGAAGCTGTTGCGCCACCACACTCAACAACCTTCGCAACGAAGCGAAGGTTGGAGACTGGACGATAGTTAGCCAAAACAGCCGGATCCAGAGAGGGCTTCTTGAGGAGGGGCCTCACAACCGCTTCTTTCAAAGCGGCCGGCAGGACCCCCTCACTCAAAGAGGCGTTAACAATCTTCTGGAGCCAGCCTCGTGTCACCTCCCGGGAAGCCAGTACCAACCAGGAGGGACACGGGTCCAATAAACATGTGGTCGCGTTCAGCCGTCCCAGGACCCTGTCCATGTCCTCGGGAGCCACAGGATCGAACTCCCCCCAGATAACGCTCTCAAGACCTGCCTCAGTCATCCCGTCCGGACATACCCAGTCAGAGGCCAGCCCTTCCCGAATCTGAGCGATTTTGTCATGCAGATACTGCACAAAATCCTCAGCTCGACCCTGCAAGGGGTCATCCCGCACCTCCAGATGGAGGAGGGAGCGGGTCACCCTAAACAGGGCAGCCGGGCGATTATCTGATGACGCGATAAGAGCGGCAAAATAGCTAGTTTTCGCCGCTTTTATCGCCACTAGGTAGGTCTTAATATGAGACCTCACCAGTGTTCGGTCAGATTCGGAGCGGCTGGTCCTCCAACTACTCTCCAGGCGTCTTTTCCGGCGCTTCATCTCCCTAAGCTCCTCGGTGAACCAAGGAGCTAGGTGAGTTCGGTGCCGGGTCAGAGGCCGCAAAGGCACGACTCGGTCCAAGGCCCCGGCAGCCGCACTATCCCAGGCGGCCACCAGGTCCTCAGTCGAGTCATGAGCCAGAATCTCAGGAAATGGCCCAAGCTCCATCTGGAACCTATCAGGGTCCATCAGGCGCCTGGGGCGGAACCACCTGGTCGGTCCCGCCTCCCTGCGGCGGGGTGCAGCGGTTAGAAAGTCTAGTCGAAGGAGCGAGTGGTCAGTCCATGACAAGGGTTCGATGGCTATATCCCCTATATCAAGGCCACTCAACCACTGACCAGAGACAAAAACTAAGTCCAGGGTGTGTCCCCCTGTGTGAGTGGGGTCATGAATTAACTGAGTAAGGTCCATGGCCGTCATGGAAGCCATGAACTCTCGAGCCACCTCAGACGTTTCACCGATAGATGGCAGGTTGAAATCCCCCATGATGACAAGTCTGGGGGTGTCCACCGCCACCTCGGCTATAACGTTAAGCAGCTCGGGCAGGGCTGTTGCCACGTGGCAGGGAGCCAGGTACGTGACCAGCAAGCCCATCTGTACTCCACGACCCCACTTCACAAAGAGGGACTCACATCCGGCTATCTGTGGAACAGTGGTCTCCCTTGGATCCAGACCTTCCTTTATAATAACCGCCACCCCCCCCGCCCCTACCCTGAGCCCTCGGCTGATGAAATGCACGGAAGCCTGGTGGGCATATATCCACGAGGGGGACTCCCCCCTCCTGGCCCAACCAGGTCTCCGTAATACCCGCCAGGTCCGCCTCCCCCTCCTGAATAAGATCGTGGATGAGGGGGGCTTTATTAACAACGGACCTGGCGTTGCATAACATCAGCCGGAGGCTCTGGCCTTGAGAATCTGGACAACCTGGGGAACAAGAAAAGCATTGGGGACCGGAGTGCGCAATCGCTCTAAGATAGCAAGTGCGCATTCCCCGAACATGATATGGTCCCCAGCTTCCACCATATCTGCCCCTCCCACTCACTGTGTTGATGGAACAGCCCTCTTTAAATCGAACTCCAACCCCCTCCCCGACCTCCGGTTCTACGTCCCTAATGTCGCAGCCCTTCGCTAAGGCTGGTCTTGAACCCGGTGGATTTCCCCCAGAACCCACCCTAATCCCCCCCGAACCCCTTAAAATTTTTGTTAAAAACCCACTAAAAAACCCACTTAAAAAACCCCTCAAACTCTTCTTTGCCGCATGCCATCTCTCGGGGCTCCAACGCCCGTCATCAAGATAGGCCCTCGATAACGAAGAGGGCCAACCTGCGAGAGGGGGGAATCTCGCAGGGCACGAAGGTCATTCACCGAATACATCGAACATCAAAGGGAGGTGATAGTCCATGGCCAATAACCAGGGGCCAATTTGATGTTATCACAGTCAGAAGGAGTGAAATGCCAGACTTCCATAGAGTTCCAATGGAGCATGTGGAACCTCAGTGCCCTCTCACGGCAATGGCGGGAGTAGAATGCTGTTTTGATCCGGCAAAGGGTGACCCAGCCCCCCTCTCACGGCGGCTGGTCAACCACGATCGTCCAAAAAGCCGGAGTTGAGACAGCAGCTATAGACCCACTCCACCAAGACTTGAATCCCCAGATGTAACCTCCATTCAACGGAGGGAAAGAATGGGATCAGGTCAGTCCACATAGTCCAGACAGGCTCAAACAGCAGAGATCATAACCGTCATTACCTCCGGGGAGGTCAAGATGGCACCTAGACCCGGGGATGATTGTTCAGCAGGCATACGCAGCATGGCATCACCACATTCAGGGGGATAGGGGTGAAAAAGGAGAGCAGAGGCCACAAACGCCTCAGGGGGAAAACCCCTCAGTCATAGTCCAGCTCTCCCCAACCCCTCCCAGATCTTCCTTGCAACCATGCTGCTTGCCTCGCCCAGCCTCGCCCAGCCTCGCCCAGCCTCCATGAATCCTCATGGAGGTCTCTGGGACGACCAAGGGGCCAAACAACGCCCCACGGTCACCCAGGAGATCCAGCACGGCAAGCGAGCAACTGCCAACCTCTCCGACGCTCCCACGCACCAAACTATGGCGGCTTCTTCCTTGTCCCGGCGGCCGCCGTTTCCACGCCACCAGCATCGCCGCCGCCGCTGCCAGCCTCCCCGCCCTCACCTCGCCCCCCCCCTCCGCCCCCAACACATGTCCAGGGCAGATTGGGCTGGCGAGGATCCCAGCGAGGGTGCCGCA